AATTTGGCGCTTTTTGTTATTTATTATTTTTACTAATCTAAACGTAATCTTTTAGTTTTTTGAAAATGTCGAATTTTTTTCCCAGTTTGATATAGTTTTAATAGTATTAAAAATTCAAAAATTTACCGATTTGCCGTTTTTTGTATTTTTAGTCCAAAAAGGTATTTATTCGACTTTTAGAAGCTCGTATAAATAAACAGACAATATTTCAATTCATAAGTTTTGAAGTATGTAAAAATAACCTACCTTACCGTAACCTCCCAAGAAATAAGCAATAACAGCATTCATGATGTCCAAGTGGAGTAAATTCAGATAGCCGTCAAGAGAGTTGTTTCTTCCACGTGATAATCCATTCTTCCCATAAATTTAACATTTAGAAACACTATTTCACTGGAAAAAAAGAAAACCGACACGAAAAGAGTTAAAACATATTTAATTATTTTAATCTCATGGATAGTGATTTTTACGATTTCGAAACAAACGTAACCTCAAATTTACATGAAAACTTTTTAACTCTCTCTATATACATATAAACGGATTGTAAAGATTATTTCATAAAATACAGTCACGCAAACATTTGCATGGTTAAAGTTTACATTTTAGATTCGAGATAATACTATTTTTGGATAATGAAAATCACTTGCAATAAGAATTGAAAATATTTACGCATTTTCCTCTTGGTGTAAATAATAAATAAACACCGACACTTAAAGTCAAGGAAATTGCAATAATTTTTCAATTGTTATTTACTGTGTGCAAAAGGTGATTATCGTGAATGAAATCAATATTTATTTAGCTTTGTGAAAATTATTTTCTTAGAATATTGAAACTTAACAAAATTTTACTTGCTTCAATTTATTCATTTCTTGACTATTATCAAAATAATATTTGCTTTGAATGATTTTTATCTCAAATTGTCGAATTTTTAATAAATAAAATTCATAATTTTTCTGTGATAAAAGGCATAAATATGTCCAATATTTAATATAAAAAAATGAATATATGACAATAAAAATTAAATTAGTCGATTTAAAAATACATTATTTTTATGCAGAAAAATAATGTATTTTTAATTATTTCAATAACTTTGTATTATTCATCATCAGTAATTATTAATCATACACTTAGGAAAATAATATAGAAGAAGGAGAAATCTGAAAATTATTATTCATATTCAGAGCTGAAATGCTCTCAAAAATTTTCGATTGCGTTTGTCTCTTTTATCCATTAATTTAAATTTATATATTATTTTTTTACCAAAACTTTAATTTTATATACTTTTTCAACTTTATTTTTAACCGCCTGCAGACAACATTATAAAGACCGTGATTTTACTATACGCATTCTTACCTTTACAACATAACCTCAAATGTAATAAGAAATTTTTCGAAAAAAATTAAAGATAATTTCGACGGAATTCAGCGATGATTTTATTTGCACCGTTAAATTGATTATTATATTTCACGATAATAGTGTTACTTAAACTTAATAAGAAAAATATCATTTAACTTTCTAAAATACATATTTCAATTGACAAAAAAGCTGCCGTCAGCAAAAACGTGAATATAGCAAAACTCCTGTCATTTAAACACGCATGCCAACTTAAATGGAAAAGAAAAAAAACTGCGCCTGTAGGATGCTTAACATTCTTACCTTACTACATAACCTCAATTCTGATGAAAAAAACCAAAAAAACTCCTTAATAAATGATTACTTTGATGGAATCCTATGCTGCGTTTATCTGTATCGATAAAATAATTATTATATTTCGCGATAATAATAATATTCAGTACGAAAAACACTTTTTAACTTTCTAAAATACCCATTTTACTGAACAAAAATAGACGCCAGCAGAAATGAGTATGCAGCAAATCCTTGAATGTTTCCCGAGATGTTTCATATTTTTCAGGAAAAGAAACACTTTTCTAACCTTGAAATATTCCAGTCTTATATGCGAAACATGAATTTTTTGCAGTACAAATTAAATAAACTGGATTGAAAACAAAAATACATTGTGAGACTGGAAAATAATTATGTTGCTTGCGCTTGCAAAGTTTCGCAATATACAAGCACAGCGATAAATAATTGTGATGAAAGGGTTAATAACTTCCCTTGGTGAAACATATTTCTTCTACTTATTTGCTCGAGTAAAAGAAAACTAAGAAAACAAAGTGTAAATAAGCGAAATACTTACACTTCCGTGGTTTAGACAAAAGACCCGATGACAGCGCCGCATCCATCTTTGTTCAGTTTCCAAAGCTAATGGTTTCACACACTTCGACAAAACAGCGTAGCGTCCCTTTTTTGACGCTGCAGTTTAATTTTCATGATTTTCATGAAATTTTCCGAAAATCCTGTAAAGGCCAACGCAGAATAGAAACTTAACCGGAAATCGTAAGCGCCAAAACGATAATGAAGACAGATTCCCTTGAGATTTAACCACGTGTACCAACTCAAATGAAAAAGAAAAAAGTTCGCCCACGCGCAAAGCTAAATATTCATTTGTATTGATAAATTAACTATTAAATTTCACGATTCTAATAATATATTAGGTTTTAGGTATTATCTTTTAGGCTTCGGTACTATCTAAAATACAACAAAAAAAGAGACCCCGCAAAGGAGAAAATTGCTGCTAGCATTGCGGCACTTGTGATCATGCGTACCAACTTAAACGACGAAGCAAAAAAAGTCCGGCAAAATTTGAATTTTCAACTTTCAATGCGTTTACAATAAAGGAAATTATTAATTGTATACTGTTTAATATTTATTTCTTTTCAGTAGAAAACTTATTTTAACAATAACAATGTTATTATACATTGTTAAAATAACAAAAATATTTATTTTACGTTTTTATCTGATTTTATGCTCACTAGTGTAATTATTAATTTCACACTTTTTATTGAACTTGAAAAATTTAATTATTAAAAAAAACTTGTTAATTTATTTCAATAAATTTTTTTATTTATAGAAACTAATTATTCATTTTTATTTAGTCAATTATTTTAATTTCTCTTTTAAATTTCAATTTTTTTATTAATTTTTTTTATTTTTTATTAATTTCATTAATTAATAAATTAATAAAATTATTAATTTTTTTTATTTTTTATTATTTTTATTAATTAATAAATTAATAAAACTATTAATTTTTTTATTATTTTTATTAATTAATTTAATAAAATTTTTAATTTTTTTAATTCATAAACTTGAAAAAAATAAAATTTTTAATTAATTTAACTTAGTATTTTAATTTAAAATAAAAAAAATGTATAAAAATAATTTTAATTATTTACATTAGTCCCAAATTTTAATAAATTAATTCATAATTTCATAAATTGAATTTTTCTTTCAATTAAGAGAAATTTTTTAATTTAAAATTATTATTATTAGTATTATTATTATTATTATTATTATTATTATTAATTTCATTATTAAAATTATAAAATTATATAAAAATAATTATAATTATTTACATTAGTCCCGAATTTTAATAAATTAATTCATAATTTTCTAGATAGAATTTCCCTTTCAATTAAACGAAATTTTTTAATTTAAATTAAGAATTTATTATTATTAATTTAAATATTTAATTAATTTTCAATTCAAAGAATTTGCGTGTGAGTAAATTTGTCAATGAAAAGAACTGTTGAATATTTGTCATAAAACACTTTTTAAAAAAAAAAAATTTCTATAAAGCAGATCGTGGTAAACAGAATACACTAGCTTCACTTCACAAAAAAGCACTTCAACAATAGATGAGAACATGAAGAGTATTTGAAAGACGTTTGAATAAAAGACCCAACTCTAGTTCATTTTTGAAGAATACACATTTCTTCTTTTACCGATCTAAACTCTTTTCTTGTATTTTTCCACTTCAGTGCCAAAGGAAAAAATTTATCAAGAAAAGAAAAATTATTTTTTCTCTACTATAAAAATATCTCGTGAATTCAAAAAAAAGTAATACAAGTTCAAAATAAAAATTTTACAAGATCAAAAATATTGTTCTAAAAATATTACATTTTTAAAAAATTATTAAAAATTATAACTAATTTTACTAAAAAAACATTTAGCATTTTAAAAACCAAATTTTTTCCAAATTAAAAAATAAAAATTTGTTTTAAATAGTGAAATTATTAAAATTTTTAATTTTAAATTATTCAATTAAATTATCGAATAAAAAATGAGTTTCATTGAGATAAAATTTGAGGGAAAATAAATTTTTCCACTAAAATTGAAGTTATCTCAAAAGTTTTCTTAAATTGATTGCCACAATCTTTCAAGTGGATCGAAAGTGCCATTGACTTGAAATTCGTGCCAAAGTTCCCATTTGAAATTCCAGTAGCAGAATCCCACTCACTGATCCCTTGTTCTAATTTGTAAGCCATTTGTTTGCTCCTCTCACACATTCGTTGCTTCCCGTGTGATTCAAGATGCCTCATAAGACAAGAACTCGCCTCTCCTCTCAATGGTTTCAACTTTACAACTCCTTTATCTTACAATTCGAATTTCAAACGAACAATATAGTGAAAATTTAAAATAGTTTTGAAAATAAATTAAAACCCCACAAAAAAAATAAAACAAAACACACTTCTCATTCATTACTGAATACAAATTTTTCATTTATTAAAAATCGATTAATATTAATTGACAATAATAGTGTGTATATTTTTTTTTAAAAACTGAAGAAAAAAAAGTATATTTCATTTAAAAAAAAACAAAACAAAAAAAAATGATAATGAAACACTTAAGACACAAGACTTAGAAAAAACATTTCAAGTTATAAATTTCTTTCCATAGGAAAAAAAAGAGAAAAAAACACTTCCTATTTTGTCAAACAATTAATTTGTTGCTAATAAGTCCTGGTCACAATAAGGGATCAATATATAATCTCTTTTCAATTATTTAGCAAAACGAGATGTTTTTTTGTGTGTATGTGTATTTTAAAAAATACGCAAAGTTGATTGTAATTTAATGTACACATTAAATTAAGCTAATTTTTTTTCTTTAAGATGCCATTGAATCGTACATCATTCTATCGGGAATTCTGTATTTTTCTTCCTCTTCATCATTTTCGTATTTCACCGCCGTGAAATACGCAGGATTTGGATAATTATTTGTGTACTCGGGATAATCTGAAAATTAATGAAAATATTTCTGGTCACGTTGAAATAATGAAAGAATAGGAAATTTATAAAATCATAAATAATAAACAGTAATTAATAATAATTAATTTTAAGTGGTCGAAATTTAGGAAAAGTGGGAGATTGAAATTTCAACTCACCGTCCAGTGGCTCCTCTTTAATTTGAACCTTTGTATCCTCATCGTTACGATCACCACGATCCTTTCGATCTCTGTGTTCGCGATCACCACGTTCACGATCTCGCCTATCCCTCTTCCTCTCCCTGTCCTTCTCTCTCTCGTTACTCCTTGAACGTCTTCTTTTTCGATCACGTTCACGATCTCTCTCACGATCACGACGATCTCGTGGGGGACGCTCGATCTCCTCAATATCAGGATCAAATGCTCTTTCCCTACTGCGACGTCTCTTTCGATCGCGAGATCTGCTTCGACTTCGTCTCTTTCTCTCGCGTGATCTTCGTCTTTCCCTATCGGCTCGATCGCGATCCCTGAATAACAAACAATTTTATTTAACAATGAAATCAAAATTAAATTAAAATTAAAATTAAAATTAAAATTAAAATTAAAATTAAAATTAAAATTAAAATTAAATTTAAATTATAAAAAGGGAGAAACCCCTGAATAATAAATAATTTCATTTAATAATGAAATTAAATTTAAACAGGGCTCGAACCAGTGAAAGTATTAAAAAATACGGAATTTACGGACCAAAAATTAAAAATTACGGACCAATTAATGACAAAAATATAACGGCTCCGAGTCAAATAAGAGAATATTTTACTTAAAACTATAAATTAAATTTTTTCATAACTATAAAACATGAAGATATCCATCGCTCCTCGTCGAAGACTCAGAGTGATCAATTTCTTCATGTTTTATGTTTTATAATAATTAAAGATCATTATTTTATATTATAAAAATATCGTACTCCTTCAAAATTATTTTCATTATTTTCAAGAATTTGTAACTAAAATTCTTTTAAATCAATTATTTTTAATAATTTTCGAAAAAATTCTTTGACAATTCTCAAATTTATTTGTTTACAATATTCAATTTTACGAAATTCCAATTATTCGTAAATTCTCCAATTAAATATATATTAAAAAATAAAAACTTTAAATAATATAAAAAAATTCACTTAAACTTTTTCAAAACAATTAATTTCAAGATTCAATTATTTCTAAAAATTCACGTTTTAATATTTAATTACGATATAAAATTTTAATTGAAATTCATTTAACAAATTTTTAAATAATTGAATTCTTTAGACGAATTTTAATAAAATTTTTAAGAATAATTATATTTTTCGACGAATTTAATTAAAATTTTATTAAAATTAATTGAAATTCTGCAATGAGTTTTATTATTTATGAAAATAATTGAATTCCTAAAAAGAATTATTTTATTATTTACGAAAATAATTGAATCCATGCAAGAATTTTATTATTTATAAAAATAATTAAATGATTGCGAAGAAATTTATTAAAAAATTTGTAGATAATTGAATTCCTGTGAAATTTTTATTATTTTATGAAATTAATTAAAGGTTTGCATAAAATTTTACTAAAATTTTTTTTATATAATTGAATTCTTTTCGACAATTTTTTAAAAATAATAAATATTAAAAATCATTGAATTGACGTAAGTTTTTAAAAATAATTGAAATTTTGCCAAAAATTTTATTAAAATTTTGGAAAATAATTGAATTTTTAGAGAAGAATTTTAATATTTCTAAAGATAATTGAAATTTTGACGAGAATTTAAAAGAAATTTTGTAAATAATTGAATTTCTGAGAAGAATTTTATTACTTTTGAAAATAATTGAATTTCTGCAATATTTTGTAATTTCTCCAAAATTAAATTTTTTTTAAGTGTTTTAACTAAAATTCTTCTATAAATTCATTATTTTTAATAATTTTTGAAAAAGTTCTTTGAGAAGTTTTAAAATCATTTGTTTACAATTCAATTTTACTTTCAATTATTCAGAAATTCTTCAATTAAATATATTAAAAAATAAAACTTAAAAAAAAATAATTTCAAGTAAAATTGAAACAAACTTTTTCAAAAAAATTAATTCTTCTACAGAATTTTTAGTTAAATGTATGAGAAATTAAAATTTTTAAAGACTTTAATATAAAACCTTTCCAAAATTCAATTTTTTCTAAAAATTCACACTGTAATGCTTTTAATATTCAATTTTTATCTAAAATTTGAAGTGAAATTTATTTTTAATTCAATTATTTAAATAAAAAAATAATTTATTGAATAATTGAATTCTCATAAAGAATTTTGTTAACAAATTTTTAAATAATTGAATTCTTTCGACGAATTTTAATAAAAGTTTTAAGAATAATTACATTTTTCTAGGATCTCCATTAAAATTGTATTAAAATTCAGCATTGAGTTTTATTATTTATAAAAATAATTGAATTCCTAAAAAGAATTTTATTTACGAAAATAATTGAATCCCTGTAAAAATATTATTATTTATGAAAATAATTGAATTATTTAGAAGAAATTTGTAACAAAATTTGTAAATAATTGAATTCCTGTGAAATTTTTATTATTTTATGGAAATAATTAAATGTTAGCGTTGAAATTTATTAAAAATTTCTTAAATACTTGAATTTTTTTTTGGTAAATTTTATTAAAATAGCAAATTTTAAAATTCATTGAATTGAGAAAAATTTTTGAAATTCACTGAAATTTTGTTCAAGACTTTTATTAAAATTTGTGAAAATAATTGATTTTTAAAGAAGAATTTTATTATATTTCTAAAAATAATTGAAATTTTGACGAGAATTTTTTTTAATTTTTTAACATAATTGAATTTCTGCGAAGAATTTTATTACTTTTGAAAATAATTGATTTTCTACAATCATTTGTAATTGCTCTAAAATTCTCCAAATTATATCTTACAATTTACGAACTTTTTGTCCTTTTTCTTTCAAATTGCGGACTTTACGGACCTTTTTTCAGAAAAACGGACTTTTTACGGACCTTTACGGAATTTACGGACCTAGTTCGAGCCCTGTTTAAATTAAATAAAAAAAATGGAGGCAAACGACAATAAATACCTGTCTCTATCGAAGCGACCGGTGGCTTCCCGTTCCCTCTCCTGTCGATATCGCTCTCTTTCCCTTTCGTTATCCTCTCTGCCTGAGTGCTTAATATTTACCTCCGGACCTCCTCTTCTTGTACCTCCCAGTCCGCCTCCTAATCTTCTGGGAAGCCACCCTTTTACCGTCCTTGCACGTTCAACATCCACTAATACTCGTCGTCCATCTATTTTTTTGCCATCAGCATGCTTGTATGCAGCTAAAATTTCCAATATTCTGGTTGTAACTTTATCTAAATTATTTGTCCATAAATACCTACAAGTCGTGTCGATATAATAACTTCTAAAAACCTCATCTCTATTTATATCATTTTTTTTTCTACTTTTCAACTTACTTTCAACTTTCTTGAAGAGACAATAAAAAAAATTTCTTTCTAGATAAAAAAATTCTTCCATTTTTACATTTAATTTTTATTATAATTTTTGACAAAAATACTTACTTTTTGCAAAGAAAAAAAACATTCTTAACATTTCTCAAATATAGTTTTCCTAAATTACAAATACAAAAAAAAATCCAATTTTTGTGGAATAATTTTTTTTTATTAAATTTACATGAAAACTGATAGAAAATCAAATTGGAAAAAATACAATAATATGTTAATCATTGTCATTGATCAACACAATTGTATATCCACAAAAATTCACATTTATTAATTTTATTCATAATTTATGTAAATTGAAATTTACATAAATTGGAATTTATGTAAATTAAAATTCACGTAAAATAAAATTTACATAAAATAAAATGTGCAATACCTGAAATAATTTTCAAAATCCAACTGAAATTGACAATTTTCTTTTTCTTTTGACAGTAATTTTATTTTATTAGGTATTTAAAATCGACATTTGAAAAAATGCATGGGAAATTTTTTCGACACGACTATTATTATAGAAATTGAACGTGTTCTTTTTGGCGAACTTGTTGCGTGCACGTTACAGAACAAATCGATACTGCAATAAAGGATATAAAAAAAAAGTATTTACAATTTGCAGTGAGAAAAAAAAATTTATGAAAAATTGCAAAAAAAAAATGCATTGGTAATTATAAGAGGATTTTTTCCATTCTCTTAAATTCCGGACTTTATATTCAATATAATATACTTGGCCTGGTATCGGTTTGTGTTATATGCAAACAACTCGAAATAATTTCATTTCAATGAGGAAATATAATTTTTTTTTTTTATTTAAATTAAAAAGTTCTGACAAAAAAAAAACCTACCGAATTATTTATAAATATTACCGAGTTTCGTATTATTCTCTCCATCAAGTTTCCTGAAGATCTTTGTTTTGACATTCTTTAAGTCACCTTACCCAAATGACTATAATTTTTTTTCTCTTCGAAATTAATTTTATTTATAGGTTGATAAGAGATCTGCTAATTCAATCATTCGATCAATTTTATGACACAATAAATAATTGAAATCGAAAGGAATTGAAAATTTTTTACCCTACAAAAATAAAATAAAGAAAAATTTTTTTTTTGTAGATACTAATTAATAATTAATTTCTGAATTTGTACGAACGAAAAAACAAGAGATATTCATTTGATTTAGAAAAAATTTTTAAAGCCTGGTAATTAATTTAAAAAATACAAAATAATATTTTTTTCTTAAAATAAAAATAAAAAAAAAAAAAAAACAATTTCCACAGAAAAAAATATCTTGACTCTATTTTACGTATCATATTTTCAATTTATCTCGAACAATACTGTGAATCGTATAACATAAAATTCTATCAAATTGAAATTAAATCGACTGTCGTGAAAATTTTTAAATTGACAAACTTTACATAAAACGATTCACAGATATTTGCAAACGAAATTAATGAAAATTCACGATCAGAAATTCTTAAATTGAACAGACTCTTTAATACATCAAACCTAGAATTTTTTTTTGATTTATTTGGAAAAAGAGATTATTATCATATACAAAAAATACCTACCGCGGCTACTTACGTACGGAAGTTTAACACAAAGTTTAGAAGTACTTTTAATCGTGAAATGAACTTGTGACTCGCGAGCCCAGTCTTCCTTTAAGTTCGTACAATTTCCAGAGAAGTTTATTTTGCATTTACCTGGTGCGCTTACCATTTTTTTTCTTTTTTTTTTACATTTACTTACTATCAAACCGTGCGCAATTACTGTTTTATTTTTATGATTCTAATGTTATTGTACTAATTTATTTGTTTTTCTTTTAAAAATCTGTCAGTGTAAATAATGTACTATTTCGAGACGAAGAGAGAAAAGAAAATTTCCTTTCATATGTTCGCCGAAATATACAAAATTTATACAAACAGTATTTTTTAGCACACAATTAAAAAAAAAAGAAAACGAAATAAATGAATTTAAACAAAAATTGACAAGCTATTTTGAATTAGTCTTCTAAATCGAAATTGAGTCTTAGAGACTTTTAAGGAGCCAGGTTTTGATCTAAATTTAAAAAAAAATACTTTTAGAACGCGACTTCTCTTTTTTTCTACTTCAATAACGACGAAAATTTGATAAATTAAAGATCTCTTTGGAGAGTTAGTAGAATATATTTTTAGAATTAATTATTCGGTTACAAATAATAAAATTATAATTCTCTCGATTTATGGTTAATTATAATTTTGTTATTCATAATTAGTCATTTAGTAATTGTGAGTAATGAAAAGTCCAAATAATTAATAAAAATAAATTACTATTAATAAGCAAAAAAAAAAAAATAACTAGTTCTCTTTCACGCAAAATAAACATTCGCACCTATTTTTGCAATTAAAACTTTTACTTTTCCATAAAACCTACGAATTTTTCAGGGCGAAAAGAAAATTGTAAATATGTAAAATTTGTTTTAAAATTAATCTTTAGCCTTAAGAATGGCTAAAAATTCACCTTAAAAAATGTATCTAAAACTCAAAGATTTCAGGAAATTTCTCAATTCCATGACATTGGCGAGATGAGTTTAATTTTCCGGGTAGAATAAAGTGACCTAAAAATACTATAGAGGAACGCATGAATATTCTCGTTTCTATTAAATGCCAATTTTTCTTTTACCGAAAATCGAATTTAATTAATTTTAATACTTTCTCTTCAAAACAAGAAGTTAAACTTCTGTTTTTTCAACTAAGCAGAAATAAAAAATTATTGAATTATTTAAAATTAAAACAAACTGACAATGAAATTTTGAAATAAAAACTCCAAAAACAGAAATTAAAGCAAACTGATAATTAAATTTAGAATAATTGTTTTTTGAATTGAATTTTAAAAATTGTGCGACGAGATAAAAAAGAATAAATAAAAACTAGTTAATCGAATTTTTAGTACGAGAAAAATTACACAATAGAAGATGAGAAAAATTCACGAAATTCGAACATTCCAAAAGACTGGGTATAAAAATTCCCCACGCGACGAATTTTCCCGACACGATTTTATTTTCCTTCTTAAAACCTTCAAAGAAACAAGTCCCTGAACCTTTTTCCTAAATCCCAAGAATCAATTTCAATGTAGAATGCTAATTTTATTGAATCGATGTGAACGTTAAGAAAAACGGAACTTTAAATCTACAAGAATCGTTAAGATTCGAGCATTAATTAACGAGTGTGGCCACAAAAGAATTATCATTTCTTTTCTCAAAAAAATCCCTATCGGCTTATTTAGTCCACAAACGTTAGAGTTTAATTTTTGAATTCTTTTTTTTTTCTTATCAAAATTAGAAGCAGGATAAGCAGAGACTAACAAACTTTCTTGTATGTTGCATACACATACAAACCTATCATATCAGGCAGGTTCAGGGATTTTGCATGGAATAGCGAACGGCACTAGTTGCCGGCAGCGGCCACCACGCTGTACCAAGAACAAGATAAAAACTGTATTAATGAAAATAGCCAATATTTTTCTTTTCATTTGAGTCTTTTTTTTTATCAACATAGGCAAAATTTTTGTTTTTTTTTTTGTTTTAATTAAACTAGAAATCCTGCATTGGATACTGTTGGGATTTATTTTTCCCCCCCTAACAACTCTGACCTAACCAGACCGATTCGTTTTCGAAATGTACGAAAAAATTGCGGGTAAGTTTTATCTCGTGCTCCCAAAAACCTTTTGCTATTCTAAGTAAGTGACACTAACGCGAATGAACTTTGAAATTATCTTTTTTTTTTTTTGGATCACCGATGAATAAAATTGAGGATGTTTTCAATTGCATACTTACAATGCATGTCCCTTTCGTGTTCATACTCAATGAAAGCGTATCCCCTCGGCTTTCCATTTATTGTATTATGAATAACCAGAATCTGAAAATTGAATTAAATATTTAGTCGAATGTAAAATGAATTTTTATTTTATATATTCTTTTAATTAAAAATTGAAGTTAACGATCACTCCGCGTCAATTTTTAATTATTTGACGACTAAGTGATAGAATTATCATTCTTCTATTCTTTTAATTTCAATTTTTGAATAGAAATTAAGTAAAGTTAATAATTAATTTTTATACTGAAAAACTCATTTTCAAATTATTTAATTAATGAAATTTTTAAGTACTTTTTAATAATATATTTTTGAGTCATTCCATTATATTTCGACTAAAGTCGTTGCTGACTAATTTTAAAAAATTATAATATTTTGCAGGAATGATGTTAAAGATATTAGGATCACCGAACAAAAAGAATTTTTTAAATATTTTTTATATTTATTGTAAAATAAGCATCTAAAGTATATGAAGTCGTAAAAACTGTCACATTTTCATCTATTAGAAAATATTAAAGAAAACACATAATTTACTATAAAAATGTAAAAAAGTTATAAGAATTTATTAAGAATGAATTGTTTTATTATTATAAATTGATAGAAACAATTATTAATAAGAAATATTAAATAAAAAAGGATTTTAAAGTTCACCTGCCAAATAACCTAATTTTGCAAATTTCATTCACTAAATGTGAGAAAGAGAAATCATTAAATTGAATAAAACCTTATGAAATATAAAGAACCTGTGATTAACTTTTAGTTTTTCTTATCACTTTCTTCCTTTTTTCTTCATAAATGTTAAAAAATAAGCAATTAAAACTGGCACTTTGCTTATTTTCACGATTTTAAAATGCAAATAACTTCTGCCCAGAAAAATGAAAAATTACGAAAATTGGACAATAATTATTTGATCACTAAATACACTCACTGGAAAAAGATTTTCTTTGGTCCCGAAGCTATTTTCCGAAATAATTAATTTTAAACTTTTCACTATTTCTATCAGGTTAATACATGTGATTTTTTTAAAACTGAAGTTGGTTCAAAACGATTAAACAAGAAGAGCTAACTTCGTCCTTTAAAAAACACATGTATTAACCTGATAAAAATAGTAAAAAGTTTAAAGTTAATGAATTCGGAAAATAGCTTCGGGACCAAAGAAAATCTTTTTCCAGTGAGTGTATCTAGTGATCAAATAATTATTGCCCAATTTTCGTAATTTTTCATTTTTCTGGGCAGAAGTTATTTGCATTTTAAAATCGTGAAAATAAGCAAAGTGCCAGTTTTAATTGCTTATTTTTTAACATTTATGAAGAAAAAAGGAAGAAAGTGATAAGAAAAACTAAAAGTTAATCACAGGTACTTTATATTTCATAAGGTTTTATTTAATTTAATGATTTCTCTTTCTCACATTTAGTGAATGAAATTTGCAAAATTAGGTTATTTGGCAGGTGAACTTAAAAATCCTTTTTTATTTAATATTTCTTATTAATAATTGTTTCTATCAATTTATAATAATAAAACAATTCTTTCTTAATAAATTCTTATAACTTTTTTACATTTTTATAGTAAATTATGTGTTTTCTTTAATATTTTCTAATAGATGAAAATGTGACAGTTTTTACGACTTCATATACTTTAGATGCTTATTTTACAATAAATATAAAAAATATTTAAAAAATTCTTTTTGTTCGGTGATCCTAATATCTTTAACATCATTCCTGCAAAATATTATAATTTTTTAAAATTAGTCAGCAACGACTTTAGTCGAAATATAATGGAATGACTCTTTTAATTTTTAAAAATATATTTATAATTTCAATAATAATAATTTAACAATATTATTTAATATTATTAAATTAATATTAATATACTATTTAATAATAAAATATTCTTTTATTAAACTACTTAAGTAGTAAAGCAAAAAAAATAAGTAAAAATTTTCTCTATAAATATTTTTCAATAACAGGCTTCACAGTGCCCCTAAAAAGTATTTTAGGTGAAATAGGGGATTGAAAATTAAAAAATAGGGGACTTTTAGGGGACCAGAAAAATTGGTTAAATAAAGATAAAAATATTATTTATTTATACAGGGTTGCCACAAAAATTTAACTTTATTTTTCCCTGACTTTTCCCTGATTTCCAAACACAACTTTGACTTATATTTTTCCCTGACCCTAAAAAATATTCTGATTCACTCTAAAAATTATTAGATACTCAAAAAATTGTTTTATTAAATTTATTTAAAATTATATTAAAAATATTTGAAATTTTATTAAAAATATTTGAAATTCTGCGATAAAAATAATTCAATTCGTAAATGAAATTTTATTATTTATGAAAATAATTGAATCTTTTCGTAGAATTTTATCAACAAGTTTTTTCTATAATTAAATCTGTTGAAAAATTTTATGAAAATAGTAAATATTTAAAAACATTGAATTGCAAAAATCTTTTGAAAATTATTTGAAATTTTGCAAAGAATTTTATTTAAATTTTTGAAAATAATTGAATTTTTGGCGAAAAATGTTGCTATTTATAAAAATAATTGAATTCGTGCAAAGTATTTTAATAAATTTTGTTTAAATTATTGAAATTTTGCCAAGAATTCAATTAAAATTTTTACAATAATTGAATTCTTAAGAAGAATTTTGATATTTATGAAAATAATTGAATTGATTTTATGGGGAGAATTTTGTTGGTTATCAAGATAATTGAATTCTTTTGCCGAATTATTTAAAAATTATTGAAAATAATTGATTTCCTGCGACGAATTAAAAAATATTTATGAAAATAATTTTCAAAACAAAAGTTTCCAATTGAAAGTGTCAACGGCACTTTGCTAAATTTGGTATGAATTCATCATTAAAAGATAAAAGAAAAAAATAGGGGAAATTTTCAAAATAGGGTACGTTTAGGGGCCAAAATTAAAAAAAGGGGACTTTTAGGGAAATAAAAGGGACAGACTGTGAAGCCTGTCAATAAAGATTAAACGAATTAGTTTTGTAAAATATAAAATTACCTTTTTCACTGGGCCGTAAACCTCAAATTCTCTTCTTAGTTTCGATTCTGAAGTATCGTAGTTCTAAAACAAAAAACAATGATTAGATTAGTAAACCGACGAAATAACACTGAGGAAAACTTATTTCCAATATGTGCTATTTTAAAAAAAGAATCTGCATACCACTTAAATTAAATACATTTACCTTTATAATTTTGTATTAATATCATTAAATACTTGCAAAGAATTTTCTCAAAAAATTTAAAAATAATTGAATTCCTTTAAAAAATTTTATTATTTATGAAAACAATTGAATTCTAGCAAAGAATTTTATACAAATTTTCGAAAATTCTGCCTAATTAAAAAAAATTCTTTTGAAGAGTTTCTTTCATTTTTTTTTTTAAATAATGAAGTTTCTTTAATCATTTTAATTGGAAATTTTGAAAATAATTGGATTTTATATTTTCCTAAAGTTTTGAACATTCAATTGAACGAAATATTTCTTTGTGCACAAATATGTTTAAAAAATTATCTGATTTAAATGAAAATTATTGTAATTGAACTAGCAAAAAAGCGCGCGCATTTGCGCGTGTGCAACGTTCCATTTGCCACTCGTTTTTCTAAACTGATTACTGCTTGTACATAATTATATTTACATTAGTACATACATTCTCTTCTATTTCTTCGCAATGTTTATCACTTTCAATACACACAGCAACTTATTCATTTTTCTATCAGTCAAAAGTAAAATAAATTTTTTTTCTATTTCAGGCGGACAGACAAAATTTCTAGTCATTTTTTTTTTTTTTTTTTTTACTAGAATTTTTAATTAATTTAATGTTTTAATCTTCGACATCACAATTTTTGACCTCTTCTGCATCATCTACGACCAAAAATACATCTAGGATTGCAATATAGAAACTACATATGTAAACTCTTATATTTTTTTCGACAGCGCGGACAGACAGATTATGTCACTTGTACTTTATTATTATTAATATTTATTTTAGTTAAAAATTAAATTTTTAGTTAATAAAATGAAATAAACAAAGAATTTTTTTTAACTTTTTATAATAATCGTGTCTCTTAATAATTATAATTGAAAATTTGGTTATTAAATTTTATTAAAATTATATTGAAAATTTAATTGAATTCCTGAGAAATAATAATAATTGAGGCCTTGGATCCAATAACTCGCCCGACGCTCGGAGGAACGCGCAACTGCCAGTCAGTGAGCAGTGAGCGCCTCTGGGCCACTCACTGCTACCCGACTGGTATTAGCGCGTGCCTTCAAGCGTCGGGCGAGTTATTCGATCCAAGGCCTCAAATAATAAAATTTAATCACCAAATTTTCAATTATAATTATTAACAGACACGATTGTTATAAAAAGTTAAAAAAATTCTTTGTTCATTTTAATTGTTTTCAAAGTTTTCAATTGAATTGTTTCAAAAAATTTAGTAAAATTTAAAAAAATAATTGAATTCTTTCGAAAAATTGTATGAAAAATTAAAAGTAAAATTGAATTCTTTCGTGAAATTGTATTAAAATGGTATTAAAAATATTTTAATTTTTGCAAAGAATTTTACTATTTAATAAAAATAATTGAATTCTTCCAAAAAATTAATAATATTTTATTTTAAAAAACGCTAATTTTTTAAAATCAAAAACTTACAATTCGGGCAACGAAAAGCGTTTTGAAAGGATCTGCTGTGACATTTGGAATTCCTGCAGGATCCCAAACTGCAATCTCCTGCTCTAATTTATAGGCCGTCTGTTCAGCTCGTTCACGTCGTCTTCTTTCCAATCTTTCCTCACGTGTCTCAACGCGAACAGGAGGTGGCGTATCTTTAGGATCCTAAAATCAAACTTTTAATTAATTCCAAGAAATAAAATAGTTTAAAGAATAATTTACAAAATCTTCCAAGTTCTAAAATTTTCTCTGAACAAAAAATAAACAAACTGAATATTAAAAAAAAAACAGCTAAAATATTTCTCCAAGAATGAAAATGTTGAAAAAATAAGCAGAATTTAAGATTAAATTAATTAACATTAATCAAATTTAATAAAATTAAATTTTTATCATTAAAATTTTATAATATTTTATAGTTAAAAATTACTGATTCGTGATTAGCTATCAAAATCTATTGTTTATTTTAATTTCCAAAAAAATATTCCAAATTTACGAACGTCTAAATGAATGGAATTTATTTATTTCTCCAAATTTTAATTTTTATTACAATAATTTTGCTTCATTGTCAAAAACATTAAATATAAAGAAGTTTCAAATGTAAAATTGAAGTTTTTAATTTTTATTGGTAACAGTATACGAACATATTACCAATAAAAAATATTCCATTCATTTGAAAGTTCAGAACTTGTGAATTAATCCAAAAATAAAAATAGTTAATCTTTCTTTCAATCTTTATTACCAAATAAAATTTTTATTAAAGTAAATGAATTCAAAAAACTAAATATGTTACTGAAATATTTCATATTTTTGAGAATTACTGAAAAATATGATAACATTTATCAGAATAAACATAATAATTTATGTAACTCAAAGTTAATAATAAATATTGAATGTGTAGTTTGATAAAAGTTTTTTATCTTTCAAACTTTTTGCTTATTATTAAGAAAATACATTTATGTAAAACAGAAAAAAATTGTCCCGATTGTCTGTTTTTTTATGTATTTTATTGTCTACTTTTGTCTAAATTATTGAAGTAAATTATTAAAGCAAATTTGGAAATTAAAATTTGGATTTAATTAACGTAAGCTAGCGTAATTTAAACAAAAATAAACATCAAGGTGAAAGTACACTCGTCGTTTTAAAGCAATAAAACTCGTGTATCATTCACAAATGTGCCTTTGTGAATACAATGAATGCTCTCGAATCAATAGGATATTTATAAATAATCCCTTAAAACATGAAAATCCATTTTTACTCATCAGTGACTACGCTTTTGTTTCAATTTCAAAATAAACAAAAAGACTAAAAAATATTATTAGAGAAAAATCAAAACTATATGTAAATATAAAAACTATTAATATACAGTCAGTCGAGTTAAATGAGTTAAATAGACAAAGGTTGATAGGTAAATAAAAATGACGTCGCAATTATAATGCGTAGCCAGTGGAAACCAGCAATAAAACAATATCAATCGATAGAATATATAAATATTACATTTATAACCATTATACAATACTAACCTCAAAGAATTTCAGAAAAGATCCAACACCCAAATAGCCACAATTTTTTTTCTCATGGGGAAGTTTTGATGCCGGTGGCAAATAAGGAATTGGGTCACGCGGTGCAAATAAGGCAAACAAATTTGGAGGCAAATATTGCGTCATTTTGTTGTATTTAAAATTCTCACTTTAGTTAGATAAATACTTTACGTTCATGTTGATAATATTCCGAGTAAATATTAATTTAAAAGAACCTCCACGCTTCACCAGATTGTTACTGCAAATGGCAGAGGAAAATGGCGACGGGCGTCGTGCCTGGTGACGACTTAACAACTGCACATGCGTAAACATCGAAACATGACGTCAATGACGTCGTTATCCCCGTTATCCAAATAGGAATAATATCACTTTACAAAATTTCATGTAAACATTTAATTTCAAGATATTCATATTCTATACTATCAAATCAAATATTTTGTCTTGTAATTAATATGAATGATATATAAAAATAATAAAATGTATGTTTTAAATTTCCCGCGTTCATACGTCTTGTCGTCTGCTATTTTTAAGAAAAATGTAAATTAAAATCCTCTTTCTATTTTCTTTTTTTTCTCCTTTGAAATGTATACCTATTTAACAATAAAGTTATAAACCTCTTAAAATTGTAAAATAGTAATGGTTTTTATTGTTTTTTTGTAATAAATAGACAATTTTCGGATCCGACGTACCATAAAGAGATGTTGCCAATTCTGATTGGCTGCGCTCGGAGAAAAGTTCCAAAAAATTGGAAATTTTCAAAAACTCTTTATGTGGAGAGCCAATCAAAATTAGTGAAATATCTACTCGGTCGGAGGTGAGGTGCACACTGTACAGTTTACTCATTAAAAAATACAATGATCTGTGTTTTAAATTATTAACCACTGACCTTATCTATTATATATGTGTAAATATTGAGCAATCGACGAATTGTACTCTCTGTAATTTACAACAAAGTAAACATAAATTTACAGCAATTTTTGAAAAGCCATTTTAAAGTTTACCCCATTCTCCGCTAGAGTTTTTCTTGGGTGTTCTTCTCATCCTTTAATATCGTCAGTGCCTGTGAATGTGTGACAATTGTATGTTATTTTGTACTTGCTTTCTTTCGTGCATTGTATACATTGCATGTCGAATTTCAAGACCGCATCAAGGTGAGTGTTTAATTAAAAGTGTCAATTAAACAATGAAAGCATTATTTCCTAATGAACAAAATACTTTCTCCATTTTCTGTATCAATCGAGTGATGTGAACAAGTTTCTTGGAATCCATTACTTTTTGTGTATCATTGACGTTTAATTTTTTTCGGCCTTTCACATTTGTTTTGTACAAAAGTTTTACAAAGTGGTTTTTCTTAATATTTGTGATTCAATTGTTGAAAAAAATGGAATTTTATTGCTTTTTGGAGAGGAAGATTTTCTTGTTTCCGCAACGGGCGTGTGTTAGGTGAATGAATGATGAAGACGTCACGCTCCGAGGATTGACGTTTACAATATTTTCATAAGGTCTCACCCTCGTTCTCCAGTGTATACTCATACTGCAGTAGAAATTTTATAAGTGTTGGTGTAACTGAAAAATGTATGCCTATGAAAAGATATACATGCAAGTCACGTTTATTCTTTAAAGAATATTAACTCCTTTTTTACTGTTTAATTACGGGTTTAAAATTTCCATCATTTGTTTACTCTATTTTCGAGATCTGATCAAACATAATGTAAGTGGGGAAATTTATTTGATAGATTACACAGGTTTCATTGTTATCTTTTTGTTTATTATCAATATTTTCATTTGTTTTTTTTTTACATAATGTAATTATTGGCATTTTCTAACCTCAAATTACAATAAAATTATCGGCGTAAAATTACATTTGTCTGTAATTTTCATTTTGTCTATTTGTTGTTTTTTTTTCTTTAAGATATATTTAAATTTACTGAAATGTATGAATAGGCTCATTTTGACAGTTTTACGCGTTAGGGAAAAAAAGAGTAAAAGTGAAAACGATCAATGCAGTCATGGTCAGTTAAATTCTTAATACTATTAATTCTCTTTAGAGAAACCTTATTACGGAAGACAATATGTGTAGTTTCCTCTTTAGAATGTTGTGGCAAATGTCTAGAATTTTCAGACTTGTTATTAGGCTTCCAACTTTTTTTTCCGGATTTATTTCCTTCCTAAAAAGTTTGAAATATTTACATTCAAAAATTGAGGAAACATTGTTTTAGTCATTTTCGTTTTTTCTTTCAAATCGTCTAAATTTTAATGAAAAACTTAAAATTAAAAGTAATTTACTAAATTTTCGAAATATTAAAATTTTTAAATTTTTAATCGATTCATTTTGTGTTTTATTTCCTTTCGACAATTAGTGATATTTATTATAGTTCGAAGTGTCTTAAGAATGCGCATTTTTATAGAAGTGTTTTTTTTCCATAATCCAAAGGAATTCTGTTTTCCTGCGTTTAATCAGATTCTATCTCTCGGTAACAATGACCTGAATGCTTGGCATTGAATGAAACATGAATGGAGACCCTGAGAAATCTTAAAACAGCTTCTTCTTCGTCTTTAAATGACACCGGAAATTATATTTTCGGATACAATCAAATCTCGACAATTTCATATTGTATTTGCATGTTAGAAGTTCTTTTCACATTTTAAATAAAAAGTTAAAACGAATTATTTTTCCTATTATTCCTTTTTATCTTATTATCAAAATGGAGACAAGTTTATTAAACGTTCTTACGGAAAACGACTTGACGTATAAATTTTCATAAATTAATGAATTATTTTCATTCCTGAAAGAATTTTTTTTTTTCTAATTTAATTTCTTTACTGATTTAATTATTATTTATATAGAAAAATATTTATTGGTGAAACATTTATTTTTGAAAAACAGAAGAAAAAAATAAGAAAACAGGAAAGGAAATGATTTTCAGAAATAATTTTTTAAAAAAACAGTTTTTGATAAAATGCGACGAAATGTCTTTTATTTTCACGTCATTATCCATTTGTGTGTCAAGATAAGATAACAAAGTTCTCTAAGTGCTTAAAAAGAAAAGGGACATGTAATTTGTTAGTGGGAAATAATTAAAAACAAAAACCTTTCATTTTCATTGTAATTAATTAATTAATTTTTCTTCTCTGTTTCAGGTTGAAAAGAACAATTTTAATATAGAAAAAAAAAGATTCAAACTTATTAAAAGTGAGTGATTAACTTGCCTATTGGTGTGAATGGAAAAACAAAAAGCAAGACTTTATTTTAATTTGTTATTCACAATTTGTTTTCTTTTCTAAAAAAAAAAAAAAACGGAAAGATCTTAATTTTCAATTTAATTTTTTATTGTGTAAACACTATAATGTTTTTTAAAGAGGCAAGAAAAATGAATGAGGAAAGAAAAACATTTTTTTGAAAGAAAGAAAAACAGGAGATTGAATTAATTTTTTTTTAGCAAAAGCACATCGAACAACGTTTGTCACAATTGAAATCAGTTAGTACGTCTTTTTTTTAATAATGAATTTTTTGAATAAAATTCTTAAAATCTAATGAGTTATTTAAGTTTCTTTTTTAGAACGGTGTAGGGTGTAGTTTTCTCCAATTATTCTTTCTATGGAAATAATGCGAGATTATAATTTAAATAAAAAAATGAGAATGTAATTATTCTCTATTTCTATTGCCGGATGGTATAAACTAACCTGGTTCGATTATTTTTTACTATTAAAATACAAAAAAAAAAACTAATCGTCAATATTAATCACCTGATTTTATTTTACGCTTTACTTGCTGGCAAATTTTTCTATAATAATATTTTCTTCTGAAAATATTTTTTCTTTCTTTCGGCGAAAATGGCAATTCTTCAATTTTCTTTTTTTTAAAGTTTATCTATTTTATTTATTTCTATTTATTATTTTTTAAATTACTTTTTTATTTTATTTCTTTTTGTTTATTTTCTTTTATCTAATTTATTTATTTTCCATTTCTATTTTCTACTTGTTTTTTTCTATTTTTATTTTTTATTTCTATTTTCTATTTATATGATTTTTATTTCGATTTTTTATTTCTTTCTACTTGATTTACTTTTTATCTAATTTATTTAATTTCTGTCTCTATTTTATTCACTCGATATAATTAGGCATGTTGATTAAATTTTCAATTAATGGTTTACAATATTTGACTGCATGACTTTTAGTGGTAACTAGCGTTTTCTATATTTATCGTCGAAAGAAAAAAATTACTTATAGGCTATTAACATTCAACTTTTTTAATTTATTTCTAAAAAATTAATTTTAAATTACTAGCGACGATAAATTTAGATTTTTTTTTTATATTTACAGGAAGTTCCAAATAAACTAGGAAACTTTAATAAAAATTCTAATTTATTTTCTACTTATTAAGAAATTAAATTAAAAATTAAAAATACAAATAATTATAACTAAGAAAAATAGAAAAACATTCTATTATTTGTTTTTGAGATTAAAAAAAGAATCGTTTGGAACTTCTTATATTTAGATGAGCAAAACTACTTTTTTGTTTAATATTTAGCGAAAATGTTTTAGATGCGAAGGCAAGGACAAGACGTCATGCAGGTCAACTTAGCAGGAATTAGACGAGATATTTTGAATCTCGCTCACAATTACAGCAATGCTCAGGTAAATTGATTAAAATTGATTAAATTTCCAATAATTTCTATTTAATTCAAAGTTTCCTTTTTTTCCATCTTCTTTAATTAATGTACAAATAAAATAAAACTAATTTTATTTATAATACAAAACTAAAATGAATTAAATCGTCAATAATTTGTATATTTTTTTTATTTACAGTACTAAGTTATATTTTATTAATAATTTTTTTTTTTTTTGCTTTCTAACAAAGAAAAGATTGTATATTTATTTATTTTTTTTAATAGTTGGAAAAAATGGATTAATGATGGAAAAAATGGTAATTTTTCAGAAAGCTGTGCGAAAAGCAACAAGCAACGATCCATGGGGTCCAAGCAGTACGCTTATGGCAGAAATTGCTGATTTAACATACAATGTTGTGGCATTTACTGAAATAATGCAAATGCTTTGGAAACGTTTGAATGATCATGGCAAAAATTGGCGACATGTATATAAAGCCTTAGTTCTTCTAGAGTATCTCATCAAGACTGGTTCGGAAAGAGTTGCTCAGCAATGCAAGGAAAATATCTTTGCCATTCAAACATTAAAAGGTAACAAATCCCTTTTAAATAATTTAAAAATAAACAATTAGACAAAATTTTCTTTATTTTCTTTTCATGAAATTTATTTTTCAAAAAATATATAATATTCAATTTAACAAATCCTTACAAATAGTGAAAAAATAAACAAAGAAACTAAAATAGACAAATAGACAAAATTTTCCTTACTCTATTTTCATGAAATTTATTTTTCAAAAAATATATAATTGAATTCAACAAATCCATTCAAATAATTAAAAGTAAACAAATAGGAAAAATTTATCTATACTTTGTTTTCATAAAAAATTTTTTTTCTATTTTTCAAAAAATATGTAAAGCAAGAAGCTTTTTCTAAGATGTAATTTATTTATTTAGAAAAAAATAAGTTAATAAATATTTCTCTAAAGAACAAGAGTTTTCTACGTATAAAATTTTTGTGGCCCTAAAAAGGGCCGATTTTTTTTGTTTGTATTTTTTTTTTTTTACTTTTCTTGATGATTTTTTTCTCCTAGATTCTCGTGAATGTTGCGCAAAGATTTTTAAGACTACGTATACAGTGTTTAATAATTTTCACAATACAATTAACTTCTTTATTTGGTAGTGTTTGCCCTCTCTGTCTTCTACTCATTCTCCTCGAATTTCTTCTGATTAATTTCAATTCCCTCTTTGCTCTATTCAATGATAGATAGAGTAAAACTTGTAATCGTAAATTGTTTTTCTCCTTCTTGGTGCTATTCTTTTGTTTCGAAGAAAGTTCCTTTATCCAATTTTGATAATTTCGAATCAGTAACAAATTGTCCCTGTACTGTTCCAAAGAGTTTTCATTCATTATGCGAATTATTTAAATTCCAAATTTATAGATTGTTTTTCTTATTTTCCGTATTAAAAAATATTTAATACTCTTTTTCAGTTTTTTATTAAATTATTACACTGTTTTTTCCTTTTTAAATTACTGGTTTTTTGGGTAACACTAGTTTGGAACTCAAATGAGTTGGAAGATCACTTGTTAATTACTTTGTCAACACTGTAAAACTAATTTAATTGTAATATTTTTATCGTTGAGTGAAGAGACCTCTCTTGTGTGTATATAATGGATTTTGTTTTGATAAGAAAATTTCTCCCTTCCTGAAATTTCGATATCCAATGAAATCAATATTTAATTTGTATTCAATTGCGGTTTCTTTTTTTCTAATTATACGTTGAGTATTTGGGGGAATTTTCCTATTGCGACATTAGGTTTTTAATATATTCAACAAATAGATTTAGTTTTATGGATAAAGTTTTATTTTATTTGTTATTTTTACTTCTTTTTATTAAACTACTGTATTATTTTTTATTTTAACAATTAACAAAAAAATTTTTTGAAATTAATTAGTAAATTAGTTAATAATAGAATTTTTTTAAAGTTTGAATCTGAAATTATTCAAAAATTCATATTTGAAAATAAAAACTTTTGTAATTTGCATAATAATAATAAATTGAATATCACGTTCCACGCGCGCTAACATTTGCTAGTTAAATAATAAAATTAAATATATTAAATTAAGTTTCTTTTTGAATATTATTTTTTTTTTTTTTTTTGCAAAATTGCGAAATTAAATTAAGAATGAATTGTTGCAGATTTCCAATACATGGAGGGTCCCAAGGATCAAGGAATAAATGTCCGAGAAAAGGCGAAGCAATTAGTGGCCTTATTGAAGGATGATGAAAGATTGAAAAACGAAAGAGCAAGGGCATTAAAAGCGAAAGAAAGATCGGTACAATCTATGCGTGGATTTGGAAGCGATGGAGCCGACACGATTTCCCCAGGCAGTGGCGATGTGAGTGTTTTAAAATATATTCTACTTATTTATTAAATTTTTTACAAGCTAAATTTTTTTAATTTAAGTTAAAATTAGATTTAAATAAATGAGAATATTTTTTGCAATACAGGGTTGCCACGCAACTTGTAAAACCTGGAAATGTCAGGGAATTTTGATCGGAATCCTGGAAAATTATTGTTTTCTAAAGTTATTGTGCTTATTCTTGAAATCTAATTATTCTTAAATATTTCAAAATTAATTCGATTTAAATATAATCAATTTTAATATAATTAAATTATTTTCCATAAATAATCAAATTTTTTAAACAGATTCAATTCTTTTTATAATTAATAATACTCATCGCAGAATTTCAATTATTTTTAATACAATTTTAATCGAGTTCATCGAAAAATGCAATTATTCTTAAAACTTTTATTTAAATTCGTCAAAGGAATTCAATTATTTAAGAATTTGTTGTTAAAAATCTTCTCAAAAATGTAATTATTTTCAATACAATTTTAATTAAATTTTTTGAAATAATTTAATTATTTTTAAAAGTTCTTAATAAAAGTATTCAAAACAAATAAATTCTTCTTAAAAATTTTAATAAAATTATTCCAAGAATTCAATTATTTGCAAAAGTTGTAACAAAATTCTTATCAAGAATTCAATTATCTTAAAAATAACAAAATTCTTTCCAGAAATTCAATTATTTTCAAAAAATGTAATAAAATTTTTCTCAAGAATTCAATCATTTTACAATACAATTTTAATTAAATTATTTGAAATAATTTAATTATTTTAAAAAATTCTAAATAAAATTCTGTAAAATAAATCAATTCTTCTTAAAAATTTTAATATATAATGTTTCCAAGAATTCAATTATCTACAAAATAACAAAATTTTGTGCAAAAATTACATTATTTTCAAAAAATTTAATAAAATTCTTCGAAAGAATTCAATTATCTTCGTAATTCATAAATAACAAAATTCTTCTCAGAAATTCAATTACGGCTAAAAGTTTAAAAAAAATTCTCTTCAAAATTTCATTTATCTTTATAAATAATACAATTTTTCTCCAAAATTCAATTATTTTCAAAAATGTTTCAAAAATGTTAATAAAATTTTTGTCAAAATTTCAATTTTTTTTAAAAGCTTTTCTCAATTCAATCAAATTTTTTTATAGAGATTCAATTATTTTTAATACAATTTTAATTTAATTTCTCGAGAAATGAAATTATTCTTAAAAATGTTATTATATTAAAATTCGTCAAAAGAATTTTAAATACCATTTTAAAAATTTGTTGATAAAATTTTTTATGAGAGTTGAATTTTAAAAAACATTTAATTCTTCAATAAATTATTTATTTTTGTATTTAAGTAATTGAATTATCGTAGAATTTTCTAATAAAAATTGATTTAAATATGAATTTCAGTTAAAATTTTAGATAATAATTGAATATTTAACTCTAAATTTGAATTAGTAAAAATATTTTCTAATTTCACTTTTTATTGTATTAAAAATAATTGAAATTCTGCGATGAGTTTTATTTATGAAAATAATTGAATTCCTAAAAAGAATTCTATTATTTATTAAAATAATTCAATCCTTGTAAAAAATTTGATTATTATTTATTGAAAATAATTAAATTATTGCGAAGAAATTTATTTAAAAATTTGTAAATAATAGAATTCATATGAAATTGAGGAAAATTTTTGAAAATAATTGAAATTTTGCCAAAAATTAAAAAACAAAATTGAATTTTGTCAAGAATTTTATTAAAAATGTTGAAAATAATTGAATTCTGGAGAAGAATTTTATAATTGAATTTCTGCAATCATTTATAATTTTTCCAAAATTCAATTTTTTTTAGTGTTTTTGAGTAAAATTCGCCTATAAATCCATTATTTTTAATAATTAATTAAATATATATTAAAAAATTTAACAAATTTTAGAAGAATTTGAATTATTAAAATTTTTAAAAATCTAAGTAATCTTTAAAGTTTCTAATGAAATTCATTGAAAATTAAAAAAAAGTTTGCTTTTTTGTGTCCTAATTTTTGAAATAATTTTCCTTTTTAAATGTTTTCAATTTTAAAATTAATATAAGTACTGAAAATCATTGAATTCTTGCAAAGCATTTATCAAAAATTTTTTTAAATAATTGAATTTCTTTGAAGAATTTTATTGGAATTAATATAATATTATATTATAATATTATATTATATAATATTATATTATATTAATATTGTTGATTCTAATAATTGAATTTAAATAATATTTTTAAAAATAATATTGTGTATTCTTTCGAGAAATTTTATTAAAATTTTATTGAAAATAATTGAATTCCTTTGAAGAATTTAATTCCGTTTTTTAACCTGGAAAATCTGGAAAAGTCAGGGAATTTGAAATGAGCAAAACCGTGGCAACCCTGCAATAGTTTTTAATTTATTTTTTGATAAATAATGAAAAAAAGTTTCAGGACTGGGAACCTTGTCAGCTTTCTGAAACATCATCGAGACGTAAGTGTTGTGTATTTACTTTTCTATTGTTTGCGTATAATTTTTCTAAAAATAAAGAGTTTGATTTTTTTGTTACATATATTAATTGTACTATAATTGAACAGCGGAATTAGAAGCTGCAAGACCGCAGACAATTGGTGAGGAGGAACTTCAGTTACAATTGGCATTGGCAATGTCACGAGAGGAAGCTGAACAGGAAGAACAAAGAAGACGTAGCGACGATGTCAGATTGCAATTAGCGCTTAGTCAGAGCCAACAAGACTTTAAGTAAGTTTACAAAAATTCTAATTTCCTAAAAAGAAAATAAATTTTTTTTCTGGTATTAAATAAAAATTAGTCTTTTGTAGTATTATTAGTATATTTATTATTAGTCTCTATTATCTCAATGTTTATTATTCGATATTTTTACCAAGTCCCACTTGATCTACTTTCCGATAAGTGTCTTGATAAATTTATTGCGCGTTTTTTTCTTATGACTATCTAAAATTTCGATCAATGGGGCTTAAAAGGTAAATTTTTGCATAAAAAGTAACAAAAGAATACAAATATTTTTGTGAATGTTTATATTACATTTTTTATTTTTTGTTATCTTTTGTGACTTTTTAAGTCGAATATTACTGTGCAGAAGAAAAATTTATTATAGAGGTAAAATTTGTCAAGACAAAAGAAACTGAATAAAATTAGGAAATAGAAAAAGTGAATTGATATTAGAATTATAAATCGCCAAGGGATAATTTTAGAGCGTTGGGCAATGAAATAAACAATACTATTAAATGTTTTATTTTTAGAATACCACAACCTGAGAAGCAAAGTCATATGCTTGATTTACTTGATGTGAATTTGGGGGAGGCTAGCGGAGCTAGTGCACAAGTTGATCCTTGGGGTGTTCCAATCGCTCAACCGCCACCACGACCACAGGTAAATAATCCTTGAAATTCTATTTAATTGTACTCGTAATTTTTTTTTTATGAATCCAATTCGCATGTTGCATGACAGTCACTGGATTTATCGTACTTTCGATTCAACGAGGTACGTGAATGTTGCACTTTTAAATAAAAAACTACAAAATGATTACAGATTCAAAACTTAAAGAATTCACTAAAGTACATAATATTAAATATTCTTGTTTATTATTATTCAAAAATTTTAATCAAATTTTTCGCAGGAATTTCATTTTCATTATTCTCATGAATAATTAAATTCTTCGCAAGAATTCAATTATTTTCAATAAAAATTTTTATAAAATTTCTCTAAAGAATACAATGATTTTAAAAAATATTAATTAAATTCGATTATTTTCAAGAATTTTAATATAAATTCAATTATTTTCACCAATTTTGATGAAATTCTTTTAAAAAAATCATTCTTAAAATTTTTAATAAAATTCCTTCAAAAAATTCAGATAAAATTCTTCGAAACAATTCAATTATTTTTATATAAATTGTAAAATCCTCCGCAAGAATTCAATTATTTGAAAATAATTGTGAACAAATAAGAAAACTCTTCGCGGGAATTAAAATATTTTCATATTTTCATAAATAATAAAATTCTTCAAAGGAATTCAATTATTTTCAATAAAATTTTAATAAAATTTCTCGAAAGAATATACAATTATTTTTAAAAATATTATTTAACTTCAATTATTAGAATCAACAATTCTGATACAAAATTCTTCGGAACAATTCAATTATTTTTATAAATTGTAAAATTCTTGTCAAGAATTCAGTTTCTTTTTGTAAATAAAAAAATTCTTCGCAAGAATTAAAATATTTTCATAAACAATAAAATTCTTCGAAGAAATTCAATTATTTAAAAATTTTTTTGATAAATGCTTTGCAAGAATTTAATGATTTTCAGTACTTATATTAATTTTAAAATTGAAAACATTTAAAAAGGAAAATGATTCAACAAGTTAGGAAACAAAAAAGCAAACTTTTTTCAATTTTCAATGAATTTTATTAGAAATTTTAAAGATCACTTAGATTTTTAAATAAATTTTAATAATTCAAATTCTTCTGAAATTGGTTAAATTTTTTAATACCTATATATTTAATTAATTATTAAAAATAATTGATTTATAGGCGAATTTTACTTAAAAACACTAAAAAAAATTGTATTTTGGAAAAATTATAAATGATTGCAGAAATTCAATTATTTTCAAAGTTAATGAAATTCTTCCCCAGAATTCAATTATTTTTAACATTTTTAATAAAATTCTTGGCAAACTTTAAATTATTTTCTAAAATTTTCCTCAATTTCATATGAATTCTATTATTTACAAATTTTTTAATAAATTTCTTCGCAATAATTTAATTTTTTCAATAAATAATCAAATTTTTTACAGTGATTGAATTATTTTAATAAATAATAGAATTCTTTTTAGGAATTCAATTATTTTCATAAATAAAACTCATCGCAGAATTTCAATTATTTTTAATACAATTTAAATCGAACTCTTCGAAAAATGTAATTGTTCTTAAAAATTTTATTAAAAATCGTCAAAAGAAATCAATTCTCTAAAAATGTTTTGATAAAATTCTTTTTGAGAATTCAATTCTAAGAAATATTTAATTGTTCAATAGATTATTTATTTTTACATTTAAATAATTGAATTCTCGTAAAATTTTCTAATAAAAATTGATTTAAAAATGAATTTCAGTTAAGATTTTAGATTTAAATATTTGTTATTAAACTTATTCAAATAATATTTGAATTTTAAAAGCATTATAGCATGAATTTTAAGAAATAATTTATTTATTTTATTTTCTAATATATTTAATTGAAGAATTTCCGAATTATCGAAATTTTTGGTAAAATTAAATTGTAAACAAATGGATTTGAAAATTCTCAAAGAACTTTTTCAAAAATTATTAAAAATAATTGATTTAAAGAAGAATTTTATTTAAAAATTTTAGAAAATAATAAATGAATTAAAATGATAAAAATAATTTTGAAAAAATTACAATAAAAATATTCCTATTATATGAAATAATGGTCTTATCACTCGGTTATCTTTAATTTATTATAAAAAATGAAGAAACCGATCACTCCGAGTCTTCGACTCGGAGTAATCAATTTCTTTATGTTTTATAATAAATATTCTTAAATTTTGTTAAATTTCAAAAAGGTTTGATTTTGAAATTTTTGGAAATCTTGATTCCTGTGGAAAAATAATAATGATTTAATGTTTATTTAGAAAATAAGTTATTGGTGTTTTCGAATAATTTTACAATCGTTTTTAACAAATAGAAATTTTGTAAATATTTTTTCCAAAATAAATTTAAAATTTCTCAATCAAAATTTGATTTATAACATTTTTTTTCTATTTAAAACTTGTACTCTGTTTATGAATTGTAATTGAAAAGCAGAAAATATGCAAAATATTTTCTACTTTCTAATTTTAATTTTCCAACAATTTTTAAATCTTTTTTAGAAGAATGGAAAAAATAGCTCGATAATTTCGATTTTTCAAACAATTAAGTTTTTCATATTAAAAAAAAGGAAAATATTTTGCAGGATTTACGTTTTTTAATTACCTAAAATGTTTGTTACAAAATGCTAATTTTTTTAGAAACAATGAAATAATGAATAACATTAATAATTATTTTAGATTAATACAAGTATTTTTGAATTATTTGAAAAATAAAGATAATTGAGGCTCCGGATCTTAAAAGGGCACTTCTACCATTTAAAATCAATGCTGAAAGTGCCCTTTTGAGATCCGGAGCCTCAATTATTAATTTAAAAAATAGTAAAAAAAAATAAAGAAGTATGGGTATAATATTATCTATCAAAACATATAAAAAATACAAAAGCATGCACAAAAGTCTAACTTCAAGTGTGGACAGAATGGACAGAATACCACGATTATTATAGTTAAATAGTTAATTAATAATTATAATAATAATTCTAATAATTAATTTTTTCACTAATTCTAATAATTAAGTTTCATTTAATTTTATTGAAGAAGAGAAAAGTTTTTATTTACTTTTCTAAACTGAAATAAATTTTAACGACTTTAAAAAATAAGGTGAAATCCTTCTGATATTATTTTTTATTTTAATTCGAATTTTGTAAATTAGACAAATTTTTTCAATTGCCGTTAATCGCAATAATAGAAATGTAAATTAATTGTTGCAATTTTTATCTAGGGACAAAATGATCCATGGTCTGTTCCTACAACGAGCACAACATCTCCACCAGTTGTTGATCCTTGGGCTCCAGCCCCTCCGCAAAGACCAAGTGAGTATCGAAACGAATCCATCTTCTTTGTTTGTTTATTCTTATTAACATTATCCTTGTTTTTTTTGCATGTAATCTCATCATTTAAATTGATTAGTGGTAGCTGAAATTACAGGTAAATATTATTTCCAGTTTGCAAAACTTTTGTTTCACATTTTAATTCACTCACGATAATTATTTCTTTACATTGATTTTTCTTTCTACTTGTTTTTAAACATTTTTTTCTGTCTTTTTCTTATTAATTTTTGTTTCTATTTGTTTCTAAACCATTTTTTGTTTCATTTTCTTCTTGAATTTTGTGTTTAAATTAATTTAAATTTTGGTCTTAAACAATTTTTGTTTAAATTTTGAAATTTTTTGTTTTGGGAATTTGGAAAAATAATTGCTGATTAAATTTCAGCTGCAACTGTCGATCCATGGCGTGCACCAGCTCCATCTCCGGCAACTGTATCATCGCCAGTGACCGCAGATCCTTGGGCTCCTGCCGAATCTAGGGTAAAAAGACAAAGAGAAAATAAAAGAATTTTTTAAATATTGATAACTTGATTTTTACAAGTAGTTATATTTTATTGTGATTTTTCAGCCTATTGGATTTAACGTTTTATCGTCAACCAATTCTAATTTTAATTCCACCACAAATGGTTTTTCAAATTTCAATAATGGCGTGTCGCCGAATCAAGGAAATGCCAGTCCACTGAACGATTTAGATGAATTCGACATCATCAGCAACAGAAATAAAATTGAAACCAGTCCTCAGATTGTAAACAACGGTAAAATGAGTCAGATTTAAAAAAAAAATACAAAACTCCAGTCAATAACAAGGAAAAAGTTAAAAATCGGAAAATTTTAAATGTTAAATTTAATTTAAGCAAAATTTAATTTCAACTAAAATAAAGCAAAATTTAATTTTAAGTTAAAATTTCATTTCCAGGAAGTTCAATTTCTCCAGATCCATTTGACTTGGGCGGCCTAGGAAATAATCTTCCTCAAAGTACCGGTGCTGTTAAAAAGACTCCACAATCATTTCTTGGAGAAAATTCTGCCCTCGTTAATTTGGACAATCTTGTGAGCGCATCCGCAATAAAACCTGCCGCACCAACACCGACAAGTGAGTATTATTTTTTTATTTCCACTTTATTTTTTGTTCTTCAATTTCAAAACAGGAAAAAAATTTTCCTTTTTTCACGAATAATTAACAAATCAATATAAAATTACAATTTTAGTTTTTAACTGTTGTTTTTAATTGTTAAAAATTGTAATGTTTTAAAAGTTTCTTTCTAATTGATTCCTTATTAATTGAATAATAATTCTAAAATTATTCTACGTAATTCTGTATTAACCAATAAATTACAATTTTTAAAATTGGTATTCTATTCTTTATGAGTTTATTCTCTTGGTAGAATATTTTAATAATCTATTTAAATATATTTTCTTCTTCCTTACTTTTTTTAATATACACAAATCTTGAATGGTATGTTTAAAATAAACTTTTTCAATTATAATGTGTAAAAAGAAAATGATAAATTTCTATTTTTCTTTTACATTTTGAAAATTTTCCCATTTTCTCTAATTTAGTTCTCGAGTTAATTTAATGTTTTTCTAATTTTATATTTTCCTGATTTATATTATAATTTATAAAGATTAAACATTTTCAAATAATTTACGAAATTTTTCTGATTTATATGCAATTGAACATTTTTCTCATTTAATTCTATATGTATATTTAATATTAACTTTGATTTATGAAATTTAATGTTTTTCTAATTTGAGATTTAATATTTTTCTAATTTGTGATCTAATATTTTTCTAATTTTTAATTTTAATATTTCAATATTTTTTTTCCACTTTTTAAAATTTAATACAATTTTATTACAATTAAAAAAATGGAATGAAAAGCATGTTTCTAACTTTTTTTTTTAACTAATTAATTGGATAATCGAACTTTTGTGAATTTAATTTATGTCTGCAAAACAGCATTTCATTGGAAATAAATTCGTGAGTATATTCTAAAACAAAAAAAAAAGTTTTCAGAGTTCGTTGCATGACAAGGCATGGCGTGCTGATTGTTATTCATTATTAATGTATACATTATATTACTAATGCGATTAACATTATTTTATTAAATTAGCCTTTTGCATGATATATAATTTTTTTACAGTTTTTTTCAGATTTTTTTAAAAACGATTTTCTAGAAGATTTTAATTTTAAATAATTTTTTCTTTAGGTATGGTTTTTTTTTCGTGAGTAGTATTTGCATTTGATGTAATTTTTTTCTTGTTTTTTTAAAATGAATATTTCCTGGTGTGCAAAGTAAGGAAGAAAAAAAATTATTACTTAACTGGAAGGAGAGAAATTTAACACTTTAAACAATTTTTCAGTAACTGTACCGTATTCAGCGAATCCGTTTGCAGCGGCAACGCCTCCACCCCGTCCTTCGATTAATCAAATTCGACAAGATCCATGGACAGCGAGCACAACCTCTCCAGCAAATCCATTTCTCTCCTAGCTTGATTAATTTTTCAATTCTCTGATGATATAAGAAACAAAAAAAAAAAAAAAAAAAGAAAAAACCAACCAACTTTGAACATCTGTAAGTGTCTTTGACATTTTATAATAATAGCAACTGTCATTAACAAATTTCTCCTATTGTATTAATCTAATTGAAATATTAAGAATTCACATTCTTGACATGTTTTAAAAAAATTCTCCTGTTCAAAACGTATTATTCACGTCAAGAAAAATCTTTTTAAAAGAATTGTAATCAGTTTACAAAACTTGTATATTTCTAAAATTGCAAGAATTTAAACTGAATTATTTTTTTTTCTTTCGTGTGAAGGGAATTTTAATATTTTCATTCAATAATGAAAAATACAAAAGCAAACAATTAAATGTTATTATAATTTAGAGATTTTGTGAAATTTTGTAAAAATAATTCCCATTCTTCTTAAAAAACAATTTTTTGGTATTAAATTTCTCAAAATGATACAAAGTCTTTAAAAAAACACCAAGTGTTGAAAAAGTAAATTTTTCCTTTTTTTATATGACAAAACTCTAATTATAATACATATTTATTTCGTCTACTATATCTTAGGCCGAAAGCACGTTTTATGCAATAAAATCATGAAGAACATCGAAATCTTTTAAAGCGCATTTGTGAATTTTTTCTATTTAAATGAAATCGTAAAGCGAAAATTCGCTGATTGAATATTATTATTTTTTTTACAATTATTATTATTATTATTACAATTATTATTGATTATTAAAAACTAGATTTTATACGCGTGCTATTTTTTGTTTTTTGGAAAAAACAAAACCGGCACCAAAAAAAAATCACTGTCTAATACTTGAGGCAAAAAATGGCCCGACTTTTTTTTTATTTCAATGAAATCATTTATTATCGTAATATTGTTTAATCAATTCTTTATAATAACAAGTATTTGATAATGGAAATTTTTGGTACTGAAAAATTGATCCACGCTTTTATTTTTATTTTTTTTTCTTCTCTTTTTTCCTAGACAAAAAAATAACAAATTTTCGAAGAACAAATCTGAAACAATTACGTTTAACGAAATTGAAAAAATTCTAGTTTTAAGAATAAAAAAAAAAATTTAAGCGAATTTATAAAAAAATATTTACAAATTTATTTGCAATTGTGAGATGATGTGGGATTTATTTCCCGATGCTTTAAAAAGAAAATTGTAAATATCATTGTTTTTGAAAAATGTTTTCATCGTCTTGCTTTGTTCGCTAAGTATTACCAGATCATAGCTATTTTTTTTTCTTCTCGTCTATTTTTTAAGAAAGCAACGAATGGTCTACGTCAGGCTTTTTTTTCTTCTCTTTTTTTTCGAAAAAAATGACTTGAAAAATTTACTGTAGCAATTTTTTTTTAAACTATTAATTATTGATTGTCCTCGATTTGAAACTACGGGTAAAAAAAAACTCACTCCATTTTTTACACACGAGAGTTTCTTCTAAATTTATATATAGAACAAAAGATATTGTCTCTTTTCTTCGACCTCAGGGCAAAAGAAAAAAAAAAATTGATGAAACATTTTTTTTCAAATGCCCTAAATTTATTTTCGAATACTTTTTATCAATGAGAAAAAAAATATATCTCAATTATTTATATTTATATATATATATATATGGTTTATAAGAATTTGGGGGCAATGTTATTTGGATATGTGAGAAAAAAAATTTTATAGGTGATAATTGGAAAATTGATGTCGTTAGGAGAAAAATCAAATTTAATGTAACAGTTTTTTTGTTACCTTTAATTTATACAGTTGCATTTACAATTTTTGATTAATTTTCCATTTTATTTGGGTAATCTCAAATTATATTTTATATTTTTTTTGTGAGTATTAAACAGAAACCAAATACAGAATTTGAATTTTCTCACAACGTCATCAATTGGATTTTTTTTTTTTTTTTGTAGTTTTTAACTATTATTAATTATTATTATTATTGATTCAAGAGCATTATTTTCCGATTCTTATTAAGAGAAAAAAGCATCGTAATAAATTATTAAACATATATAAATATATATTTTACTAGGTTGCGTTATACACTTATTAATATTATTCAGCAAAATGAAAAAAAAAAAAATTAAATGTAAAGAGTGCTGTATAAGTCCATCTTGTATTATGTGTTAAACTTCTGTTCAACTCAATTTTTTATAATGGAGATGTTACGAGAAATAGAATAAGAAAAATTATTCAATGGCATTAAGTGAAATTTTGTTTTGTCATTGTAATTTATTCTATTATGATTTTAAATATATTTTTTAATACTAATTGAAATAATAATTATGTTAATATTTAATTAAAAAAAAGACAATTATAATTAGTATTTTTAATTGAATCTATCAAGTGGAAATTTTACTAATCAATTAATTCTTCTTTGCTAATCTATACAAAAGTGAATAAATTAATCTAAGTTCTGTAAAAAGAATAAGTATTATATTATATGATATAAGCTTTGTAACAAATTTTTTTAATTAAAATTATTAGACATATTTTAATGTCTTATTTTTGTTTTCCTTTTTTGGCATTTTAATTACTATTTGTATTATAATTATTATTATTATTATTATTATTATTATTATTATTATTATTACAATTATTTTTATATTATCTCAGCAACTTGAAAATGACGTTTAATCTTTTTATTTCGAATAACATCTGTATTGTAAAAATTGTAATGGATTATAATAATGATTATACTTTAAAACGAATGATCGATAGATGAAAATATTTTAATTTCCCCCTATTTTACTTTCTTTTAAAACTATTTGTTGATATTTATACTCAGAGGAAAGACGTTTTATTATTTTAGAATTTTATAAATTTAATTTCAATAAAATTTTTAAACCGGTAAAATTTTCAATTTTTTCTCTTGTAATCTAATTTTTTTCTATCGATCATTCGTCTATTTTGACTATTTTATCTGATCATTCACTAACATGGAAGTAAAATCAAAAAGTGATATATTTAGTTAACTCATGGAATTTTTTGGTAAAACCCTTAATCCCTAAAAATTTAATACTTTTTCTTAGAATTTAATTTCATCCTCTTATTTCCTTCGTGGTGAAAAATTTTTTTTGATTTCATTTTTAAAATTAATTATTTTAATTTTTAAATGAATTAATTATTTTAATTTTAATAATTTTGAGTTTTAAATGAATTCAATATTTAATTAAAATCACTGTTCTTTAAAGAACATAATTTTTTAAACCTTCAAAAATTAGGAATACGGAATAATTTAATTAAAAGTATTTTAATTTTTAAATAAAATAGAGTAAGTTGAATAAAAATTCTGAACTTTATTTAAAAAATATTATTAAAAATAGATAAAAAAAAACAGGCGTAATATGATTTTGAACATAAGATAAAAAATATAAATGCGTAGCTTAAAATAACTTGATTTTATATAAAAAATAAAAGAGAATTTGTTTGAGAAAATTAAAGAGATGCCTCAGCTGACGTATCAACTGGAATATGTGGAAGAAAATGTTGCCTCACTTGATTATGCAGTCGTAGAATTTCCGAATCTTCTCTCTCTAGAGTTCTAATTAATTGTGCAAATTGAACTGTTCCTTAAAAAAAAGTATAATTCTTTTTTTCAATTGATTCCATCGCGACAAGTGAAATGATTAAAAATATCTCATTCCTGATTTCAAAAGATTCAAGATATTATTGAATTAACAAAACTGGTATTATAAATTTATAAACATTATTATTATTTATTAACAAACCTTCTCTTCCTTCAGGAAAACCGTACTTTCGTAAAACTTCCATTTGTATTTGCGTAACAATGGGAAAAACAAACTGCATCATTTTTAACATTTCATTACCAGAATTTTCCTTTGCAACAGACATTTTTTGTATATTTTCTGGGGCATTTAATGCCGTCAAAACGTCCGTTAGTACAGCTTAAAAAAATTATAATTCTTATTTATTTTGTACTTACAATTTGTATAATTATTTATAGTAAGAAACAATTCCTAACCTATAAAATTTTGTTTTGTTTTACCTTTTGCTGATTCTGGAGTGCAACTAAACGTTGTCATTTTTCGAGAAAAAATATAGATACTAAATTATTTAGTAGTTATTAAAACAAATTTTCCTTAAAATGGAGATTCTTATACTATATTTATTGTTTTCGACAACTGTCAAAATTTCTGTCACTGTCCCATGTTTATTTTTTTCTGGCGTCTAACCTAACCTATAAAAATACTTCATTTTTACTGCGTCGGTAAAGTAGATTGACAATGAACGCTAAATTTGAAATTAATTCATTATTTTCATTATTTTCTTATATAAAGCGACCGAACCGATTCGTGAAGAAGATGGGGAGAGGAATAAGTAAAGGGAAGAAAAAGTTTTCAAAAACTTTAGAAAATATTTTAAAAAACATTTATTAAATCTACTTATTCGTAAAGTGTAACAATTTAGGTTAAATTTTGACTTTTACATCACTCTTTCATTAAATCAAGAATATTAATAGCTCTCTTTTGTTTTCTTGCAGGTTTAACTTCTTCAAAGCGTGTCGAAGTGGTTCGTTCACGATCCGTTTCCAACTTTGAAGAAAATATCTCTCTTGTTTTATCGTAGATTTCATTTTCCGGAATTCCTTCCTAAGAAAATATTTTATATCTCACTAAATATGCAAAATTAGTCAATTCCAACTAAAAAATTAGATTATCAGTTACAAAAATAAAGAAATATATTTTTCATACCTTCTCCAATTTTCGATATTCTTCAATAAATTGTTGACATTTCGTTGGCTCATTGGAACTCAATGCTGGATTTGTCAAGCCCGGGAAGTCTTTATAAAATTTTCTAGAATTGTAAAAATTTTAATTTTAATTTCTCTTTGGTAATGTATTGAAATTGAAACTTAATTTAAAATATATTGAAACATTATTTACGCTCTTATAAGATCTTCAGTGTAATAAATATTTGACAAGGGAGCTATAGATCCTGGTCTATCGAATCTTGGTTCATATTTCGGTGGAAAAGCTTCATAAACAGCGTACCAAATTGGTAGTTCATCTTTTTTTAAAACACCTCCTTTCACAAGATTCTGAACTCTAGAAGAAATTTCAACTCATGAGGAATGATATATTAATTGAAAATTAGATTATAGAATTTTTTTTCATAACTACACGGCTCGAACTAGGTCTGTAAATTCCTTAAAGGTCCGTAAATTTGCTTCAAGTCTGTAAAAGTCCGTTTTTTTAAAAAAAAGGTCCGTAAAGTCCGTAATTTGAAAGAAAAAGGACAAAAAGTTCGTAAATTGTAAGATATAATTTGGAGAATTTTAGAGAAATTACAAATGATTGCAGAAATTCAATTATTTTCAAAAGTAATAAAATTCTTCACAGAAATTCAATTATGTTCAAAAATTTAAAAAAATTCTCGTCAAAATTTCAATTATTTTTAGAAATAATAAAATTCTTCTTCGAATTTAAATTATTTTCACAAATTTTAATAAAATTCTTGGACAAAATTTCAATTATTTTGAAAAATTTTTCTTAATTCAATAATTTTTGCTATTTTAATAAAATTTTCCAAAAGAATTCAATTATTTAGAAATTTTTTAATAAATTCAACCCAAACATTTAATTATTTCCATAAAATAATAAAAATTTCACCGGAATTCAATTATTTACAAACTTTTTTATAGATTTCTTCTAAATAATATAATTATTTCCATAAATAATAATATTTTCACAAGGATTCAATTATTTTCGTAAATAAAATTCTTTTTAGAAATTCAATTATTTTTATAAATAATAAAACTCAATGCTGAATTTTAATACAATTTTAATGGAATTTCTAGAAAAATTTAATTATTGTTAAAACTTTTATTAAAATTCGTTGAAAGACTTTAATTATTTAAAAATTTGTTGATAAAATTCTTTATGAGAATTCAATTATTTAATAAATTATTTTTTTTTATTTAAATAATTGAATTAAAAATAAATTTCACTTCAAATTTTAGATAAAAATTGAATATTGAAAGCATTATAGTGTGAATTTTTAGAAAAAATTGAATTTTGAAAAGGCTTTATACTAAAATCTTTAAAAACACTTAAAAACAAAATTTAATTTTAATTATTTTCCAAAATTTTAATAAAATTTTTGTCAAAATTTCAATTATTTTTAAAAACTTACCTCAATTCAATGATTTTCAATATTTATTATTTTAAAAAAAATTGTCGAAAAGAATTCAATTATATAAAAAAAATTTTAATAAAATTCTATGTAAACCTTTAATTATTTTCATAAAATAATAAAAATTTCACAGGAATTCAATTATTTACAAATTTTTTATAAATTTCTTCGCAATCATTCAATTATTTTCATAAATAATTAAATTTTTTACAGAGATTCAATTATTTTTAATACAATTTTAATCGAATTTGTCGAAAAATGTAATTATTCTTAAAAATTTTATTAAAATTCGTCGAAAGAATTCAATTATTTAAAAATTTGCTGATAAAATTCTTTATGGGAATTAAATTTTAAGAAACATTCAATTATTCAATAAATTATTTATTTTTGTATTTAAATAATTGAATTCTAGTAGAATTTTCTAATAAAAATTGATTTAAAAATGAATTTCAATTAAAATTTTATATCATAATTAAATATTAAAACGTGATTTTTTAGAAATAATTGAATTTTGAAATTAATTTTTATTGAAAAAGTGTAAGTGAATTTTTTTTATATTAAATTTAAAGTTTTTATTTTTTAATATATATTTAATTGAAGAATTTACGAATATAATTGAAATTTTGTAAAATGGAATTAAAAACAAATAAATTTGAAAATTCTTAAAGAACTTTTTCAAAAATTATTAAAAATAATGCATTTATAGAAGAATTTTAGTTAAAAATACGAAAAAAATTCAATTTTGTAAAAGTTACAAATTATTGCAAAAATTCAATTATTTTCAAAAGTAATAATATTCTTCGCAAAAATTAAATATTGTTCAAAAGTAATAAAATTCTTCTCAATTATTTTCACAAATAATAATAAAATAATTAATATAAAACATGAAGAAATTGATCACTCCGAGTTGAAGACTCGGAGTGATCGATATCTTCATGTTTTATAGTTATATGAAAAAATTTAATTTATAGTTTAGTTTCTAAGTAAAATGTTGTCTTATTTGACTCGGAGCCCTTATATTTTTGTCAGTAATTGATCCGTAAATGGTCCATAATTTTTCTTTTTTGGTCCGTTAAGTCCGTATTTTTAAATACTTTCACTAGTTTCGAGCCCGGTATCTATATTATAAAAAATAATGCCAAAGAAATTTTTTTAATTACCTCATAAAAATAGTTCCGATTTTTTCCAATCTACTCTGTGCCATATTTATTTTTTCTTTCTATATTAAATTATTAATTGTTCTTGAATTTTCATTAAACTATCTATATTAAATTATTAATTATTCTTGAATTTTCATTAAACTAACCTCAAAAAAAGACAACAATAATGTTATCAGCTGATAAACTGAAACCAAAAAAATCTATAGAAAGGCAACTCTTAAATTTAAATAGAAATATAAACTTGCGCTATCTATATTTCATCTATTTGCAATCTCAAAAATCTATGGATTTAATTTACAAGTAATTAAATATGAAATATTTCTCTTTCCTCACTATTATTTTTAATTTCGCAAATAATTTACACATAAATTAGAAAAAAAATTTACAAAATTGATCTTAAAAATAAAATGTAAAAATTAAAATGTATTTTTTCCCGCGATTTTAATCATATAGATGTCAGTGTAAGGACAGAATCTGTCTCTGTCTGTTTCACAGAAAAATGGCCGATTGTAAGGGTGCGTTTTACCGAATTATTTCATTTATTTATTATTTTTAATGTTATTTCCAGTGTTGTGCAATATTAATAAATAATTTCCATAATCCAATTAAATTATCTACATAATTATTATATAAAAATTTGTAATTTCTAAAAAAATTTAGTAAAATTTTCTAACCTAAATTTTAATACCGTGAGGATTGAGAGTGTTCGCATATATATATCTCCTTTTCATTCAGAGAATAATATTTAATCTCTTATTTTATTTCTAATATACAGATAGTAACGAAAAAACGAATGGACCTGAACCAGTAATCAATATGAAATACGACACTCCAGAGGAATCGAGTGAAAATTCCGCTAATGGTATGTTTAATATGAGAAAATTTAAGTATTGTTTGGTATGGATTTTGCACTTTTCCTTATGTTTATATATTCGTTTGAATAATAATAATCCTGGGAGTATTTTACAAAACTGTTTATTAAATTAGAACTTCGGTAATATTTAATTTTTCTTTACAATAAAGTGAATTTTGAAAATAATTTGAATATTTGTTTTATATTTTTGGAATCTTTGCTTTTTGTTTGTTAAATTTTATTTATGTAAATACATAGTGCGAAAGTGTTGTTTTCTTTAATTATTCAGTAACGATCGACGGGAATTAATTATTTATAGACATAACTTCTGTCCTTAACCTTGCAATTAACTTATGGAAAAATTTATTTAGTTGTTTGGAATTAATCCCTTATTCAAATTTTTCAACTCTTTACTTTCTTTGATAAATTGTTCTATTTTTAACTTTGAAGTTGTCGTACTATTGTAACGGAGTTTTTAATTTCGTTAAAATTGTTATTTTTATAGAAGAAGTTGAAAGTCAGTCAACTGATAATGATTCAGAAGCCCCTCTACCATCTCGGAATCAAATATCTAATAAAAGACTGATAAAGGGTGAGTTTTTATACTTTTTTTTTATAACTATAATTAAAAAAGGCGAAAATAAATTGCAATTCCAAATTAAATAGGTAACATACTGGCTTCGTCAAAATTGGGAAGTTCATTTGCATCATGTGACTATGTTAAAGCCAAATCTTCACTATTAAGACCATCGCAATTAAATTCCGTGGCTAATAATCCAGGACCATCGACAAAACTTGTCCTACAACCGGCTAAATTTCATAATCCATTCGCAAAATTAACAAATGATAATGTAATAGAAGGAGAAACGGAAACACCAACGGAGAATAATGCATGTAATGAGAAGAATGAATCAAAAGAGAAGCAATTAATGGACGTGAAACCAACATTTTTACCTCTCGGTGCAAGTTCAAAGGAAAATGAGAATAGTTTAAATAATACAGTAGCACCAAGTTCTTCGGCACCTAGCTTTGTATTTGGACAGAATATAAAAGAACGCGTAACAGTTGTGACCGATGGCGAAACATCCGATCAATCGGCAAACGAAGAAATGAAGGAGGAAACTAATGAAAATGGCTCTTCGGAATTATTATTTTCAAATGTGACTGCAGTCACGCGAAGTACAAGTCGTCCTGGTTTGACATTAACTCAAGCTGCACAGGAATTAGAGGAGGCAACAAGAGCGAATAAACGAAAATATAATGAAGTTGCATTGCTCACTGGAGAGGAAGGCGAGACAAATGTCTTACAGATCAATTGCAAGCTCTTCGCGTTTGACAAGGTTTCTCTTTTTATTTAATCTAATATTCTTACTAATTCAATTTAAATTAAATATTAAATATTTTCAGACCTCGGATTTTTTAGAATATTTTTTAAAAAATGCCCCTTTTTACTTTTCCATGTTTTCTTTTGATTTTTCCATATGGGGAATATTATTTCATTTAATTATTATTTTACACTATTCTTAAATCTAAGTGCACGCATTTTGTAGTTGTATTATGTAAATACAATTTGGATTCGTTCAATTTCTATTGAATGTCATTTGTTTATTTTTTGTTTGATCAATATTATTTATTTTCACAGAAGTGACAAAATAATTTGCAAATTGTATAAAGTATAATTATTTAAAACTGTTTAAAATAAACAGTGAAATAAATAATTTTTTGTGTCTCCTGTAAAATTTCAAAAAACCGAATTGAGCCCTTTTCGAAATTCTCGATTCAATTGAATTCTTGCGAAACAAGAAAATTAAAATTTTATTGAAATTTTTGAAAAGCTTAATTAAATTCTTTTAAAGAATTTCTTTGAATGTTACTATTATTTATGAAAATAATTGAATTCTTGCGAAGAATTTATTAAAATTTTTGAAAAAAATTAAATTGTTTCAATTATTAAAAATTTATAAAAATAATTCGATCCTTTCGTGAAATTTTATTAAAATTATATTGAAAATAATTGAATTTTTGTGAAGTAATTTATTGAAATTTTGGAAAATAATTGAATTCTTGCGAAAAATTTTATTAAAAACTAGTAAATGTTACGCGCGCCAGCGCGCGGAATGTGATATTCAATTTATTATTATTATGGAAATTACAAACTTTTTTATTTTTAAATATAAATTTTTAAAATAATTTCATAATCAAAATTTGAAAAATTCACTTATTAAGTACAAAATTAATTATTACTGTTCATATTTTCATCATTTTTAATAAAATTTTTAATTTTTTTAAGTTTTTCTAAACAATTCAATTAGGTATTTTTTAAATAGTAAAATCTTTACAAAAATTTAATTATTTTCAAAACAAATTTTAATTTTTAATTAAATTCCTGGGAAGAATTCAATTTTTTAAAAAAATTTTAACAAATTTAAAAAAAAATTCAATTTTTTTCTAAAATTTTAATAAATCCTTCGAAAAAATTCAATTATTTTTATAAATAGTAAAATTCTTCGCAAGAATTCAATTATTTTCAATACAATTTTAATAAAATTCTTCTTCATAAAATTCAATTGCTTTCAACATTTTCAATTAAAATTATTAAAGAAACTCCATTAGTTAAAGAAAAAATCAAAGAAATTCTTCAAAAGAATTTAATTAGGATTTTTAAAAATTTTAATAAAATTTTCGCGAGAATTCAGTTATTTTCCTAAATAAGAAAATTCTTTGAAGGAATTCTATTATTATCAAATTTTTTGATAAAATTCTTTGCAACAATTCGATGATTTTCAATACATTAATTATAAAATTGAAAATATTTGAAAAGAAAATGTTGAAAGAATATTAAAAAATTATTTTAAAATAATTGAATTTTACAAAAGTTAAAATTATTATATGATATTATCACTCGGTTGTTATAAATATTTAATAAACATTGAATTTAACGATCATTCCGAGTCAGGTGACCATGAGTCAGTCAGCCACCTGACTCGGAATGATCGTTAAATTCAATGTTTATTAAATATTTACAAAAGTTAGTTATTATTGAAATAAGGGGAAAAGTTTGAATATTTTCTGGAAATCAGGGAAAAGTCAAGGAAATAGAAAAACAAATTTTTGTGACAACTTCGGAATTGTCACAAAAATTTGGTTTTCTATTTTCTTGACTTTATAATAATTCTATATAGGTTTTCAATTATTTTCATAAATAATAAAAATCATCGCAGAATTTCAATTATTTTTAATACAATTTTAATAGAATTTCTCGAAAAATGTAATTATTCTTAAAAAATTTTATTAAAATTCATCAAAAAAAAAATTCAATAATTTTAAAAAGCCTTCCTATAATTTATGTATTATTTTCAAAAATTTTAATGAAATTCTCTTTAACAATTCAATTTTTTTTCAAAATAATTTTAATAAAATTCTTTGTAGAATTAAATTAATTTCAATAATTTATCAAAATTCCATTATTTTTAATATCTATGTATTTCAATAAAATTTCACAAAAGAATTCAATTATTTAAAAAGAAATATATCATTAAAATTCGGCTTAAGAATTCAATTATTTTCAAAAGTAATAAAATTCTTTACAGAAATTCAATTATGGTCAAAAGTTTAAAAAAATTCTCGTCAAAATTTCAATTATCTTTAGAAATAATAAATTTATTCTTCAAAATTCAATTATTTTCAAAAATTTTTCTCAATTCAATCAAATTTTTTTTTACAGAGATTCAATTATTTTTAATACAATTTTAATCTAATTTCTCGAAAATAAAATTTTGATAACATTTTTTTATAAAAATTAATCTATTTTCAAATATAATTTAAATTTAATTCCAGCAGATTCCAGAAAAGAATTGAATTATTTTCAAAATTTTTAATAAAAAATTCTTCAAAAACACATTTTAATAAAATTCGTTGCAAGAATTCAATCATTATCAAAAATAATAAAATTCTTTGGAAAAATTCAATTATTTTCGTAAATAATAAAATTCTTTGCAAAAATTCAATTATTATTTTCATAAATATGTAATAAAATAATAATGATTTAATATTTATTTAAAAAAGAAGCAATAGAACATTTTTCTAAGTAATAATTTTTAAACTGAATGAGAATATTCTTTAGAATTAAGGAGAAGTAAGAATTTTGTCTGGAATTCAAGGAAAAGTCAGGGAATAACAAAATTAAATTTTTGTTGGCAACAAATGTTGTAGTTTTAAAATTGGAAAAATTTCGTTTTTTAACCTGGAAAAGTCAGGGAATTTGAAATGAGTAAAACCGTGGCAACCCTGATAGTATGTATATTTTTATTTATTTATATTTAAAAAAAATTTATTTTTACAGGTGAGTAGTAGTTATAAGGAGAGAGGGAGAGGGACATTACGATTAAACGATCGAGATGATGAATCTCGTTTAGTTAGTCGCACGGCTGGTACGCAGCGATTAATTCTCAATACAAAAATATGGCCCGGCATGACTGCTGAGCGAGCTGGTCCAAAATCATTGAGGCTAACTGCAATGGACATTCATGGTGATCTTCGAATTTTCATTGTTCAAGCATCGCCGAAAGAAATTGATTTACTTGAGGATCATTTAACGCAACGATTAAAACGTGCCAAGGAACGTCAACCGAAACGACAGGCAACTAATCAGTGACAATTGTTCGACATTCATTGTGAAATAAGAAATTTAAAAAAAAAATCATGTACACTTCTATACTTGCAAAAACAGAAAGCTCCGTGAATTGGACGCATTTATGCGTAAATAAGCTCATCTCTGACACCCTCCAAAAAAAAGGCTTTATTTACATTATTAGAGAAACATCTTTTTTTCCAAACAGGTACATATTTTCCTTTTTTTTAAAAAATAATTTTTATACAATTTTTTTTCTCTCAAATTTTTCTCTCAACAGAGAGAAACAATAGAGAAAGTTATTTTTTTTACATAAGAGAATCGGAGGGCTCGTAAATTTTTTTGTTTTTTTTTCTGTGAAATAGGAATAATTTGAATTGTAGCATAATATTATATAAATTATAAAAATAGCTTGTATGAAAACATTTATTGTATTTGTAAAATTTTTCCGATGGCTAGAATTTTTTTTTTTTTTTTAATTAAAAATATGAGTTATAAATATATCTTTATATTGTATAATGATATCTCGCATTATCTACGAAAATACAGAGAATTCGGAGAATTGACAAATTTTCAAAATGAAATGAAGAAAAGAAATGCAACTCTTAGACTTAGCTTTTCAAATAGAATTTTTTTCGAATCTTTCTCATTCAAATTTTATTATATAGTCAACCAGTTATTATTTAATTACAAAAGTTTGAGCATGATTTACAAAAATTAATTGTTTCATAAATCGACTTTTAGGAAAAAAAAAATTCTTGATTTACATTAATTCTGGAAAAATTAGAAAATTTTGAAAATACAAAAAATCTTTGAATTTGTTAGAAAAAAAAATGCAAAATTTGGACATAAGGAAACTTGTTTGTAACCGTTTTCGAGCAATTTATAAAAATTAATTATCTGACTGTAAATACAGTGGAAATATCATTATCTGAGTTTTTTTTTATTAATTATACCATTTTTTTTAATTCTATCTCGTGTAGAGTTTATCTTGAAGAAAAAAAAAAGTTTACTCGTAAAGAATTCAATGTAACGAAGAATAGTATTTTTTAAATTATTTGCAAAAAGGAAAATAATAGGATTTGCTATAAAAAAAACATTTTTTTCTTTAGAAAATGAACTTTTTCTTTAGAATATTAAAAAAAAGAACAGTACTATTAAATTTTTTGTAGCTGTACATAAGAATATAGGTATTAGTGATAAAATAAATATGGTGATACTTCTTTAATAATTGTCAGTGTTGATGTGGAGAGAGATTCATTTTACGAGTCATTACCGTATTAAACGAATGAATTAGTTTACTTTTTAGTTAATATTTAATAAGATGAGATCATTTCTTTATCCGTGTAATAAATTATAATGAAACTGTGATTTCAATTCACAACAATAGTACTTTGGTTGCATAAATATACGATTATTTGCATAAAAAATATCAAAAATTTGTTGAAGATGTAGTTTTAATACCACTTTATTTAGATTTAACCTTCTTTTTTTTAATTTTAAAGTTATTTCTAAACTTAAGTTTTCGATTAAATTACAAAAAAATTAACTGAAAAATTAATACAAATATAATTTTAGTTTATAGTTCAAATTTAAATTCAAAAACACAAAAAAGTTTTAATTTCGTTTAAATACGAAGAGGAAAATATTCACCATTTATTATTTTCTCTTCTTATTTATTGTTTTAAAAATTATAATCTTACTAGCAAATTAATTCACTTATTAACAACATAATTAATTATTATTGTTTATATTTTCAAAAATTTTCACGAGAATTCAATTATTTTCATAAATAATAATATTTTTCCGAAGAATTCAATTATTTTTATAAATAGTAAAACTTTTTGCCAAAATTCGATTATTTTCAACAACATTTCAAGAAAGAATTCAATCATTTTCTAAAATTTTAATAAATCCTTCGAAAGAATTCAATTATTTTTTTAAGTTGTAAAATTCATAGCAAGAATTAAATTATTTTTATAAATAATAAAATTCTTCTCAGGAATTCATATATTTTCAGAATTTTCAATTACAATTATTAAAAAAAGTACATTATTTCAAGTAAAACTTAAAGAAATTCATCAAACGAATTTAATTATTTACAAAAACTGTAATAAAATTGCTTAAACGAGTTTCATTTTCTATCAATAATTTTAATTAAATTCGAATAGTGAAATTATTAATTACATTTATTAACAAAGTCAATTTTATATTCAATAATACTATTGTATTATTGAATATAAAGAATTTAATTATTTTCTATATTTTAATAAAATTCCTTGAATGAATTAAATTATTTTAGAAAATTGTAATAATATTCTGAGAAGAATTTATTTATTTTCCAAAAATTTGAATAAAATTCATTAATTAAATATTTAATTTCAATTATTAACAAACACGATCATTTTAAAAAATTGAATATTTTTAAAAACTCAATTATTTATTTGTTTCATAAATTTTTTTGCAAAATTTCATTATTTTCGGGAATTTTATTAAAATTTGTTGCAAAATTCAATTATTTTCAGAAATTTTAATAAAATTTTTGTCTAAATTCAATTTTCAGGAATTTTATTAAAATTCCTTGCAAAATTCAATTATATTCATGAATTTTAATAAAATTTTTGTCTAAATCAAATTTTCAGGAATATTTAAAAAATTTATTGCAAAATTCAATTATTTGCAGGAATATTAATAAAAATATTTGTCTAAATTCAATTTTTAGGAATTTTATTAAAATTTGTTGCAAAATTCAATTATTTTCTTGAATTTTAATCAAATTTATGTCTAAATTCCATTTTTTAGGAATTTTTAAAAAATTTATGGCAAAATTCAATTATTTTCAGAAATTTTAATAAAATTTTTGTCTAAATTCAATTTTCAGGAATTTTATTAAAATTCGTTGCAAAATTCAATTATTTTCATGAATTTTAATAAAATTTTTGTCTAAATCTAATTTTCAGGAATTTTTGAAAAATTTATTGCAAAATTCAATTATTTGCAGGAATTTTAATAAAAATTTTTGTCTAAATTCAATTTTCAGGATTTTTAAAAAAATTTATTGAAAAATTCAATTATTTTCATGAATTTTAATCAAGCTCTTTGCAAAATTCAATTTTTTCCTGAAATGTTATTAAAATTCTAATTCATCTATAATTTTAATAAAACTCTTTGCAAAATTCAATTATTTTCAGAAATTTTAATAAAATTTTTGTCTAAATTCAATTTTTAGGAATTTTATTAAAACTCTTTGCAAAATTCAATTATTTTCATAAATTTTATTAAAACTTTTGCCAAATTTTAATTATTTTAAGGAATTTAATTAAAATTCATTGCAAATTTTAATTATTTTTCAAAGATTTTACTAAATTTAAATTATTTTTTAAAAAGATTTTACCAAATTTCAATTTTTTTAAAAAAATTTTTAATTGCTATATGTAATTGTAAAACTATTGCGTCTTTCAAAAATTATTTAGAAATATTTTTAATAAGTTAATTTTACAAATTTATTTTTTAAAATTGTTGAATATATTCTACCTTAATGTCTTTAAAAAGAAAAATAAACGGTTTCAATTATTACAAAAAAATTGAATTTTTGGATTTAAATAATTGAATTCTTGAAGAACTTTCGGAAAAATATTAAAAAGTAATATATAGATAATTGATTTAGAAATGAAGTTTAGTTAAAAATTGTAGAAAATAATTGAATTTTTGTAAGGGTTATAACTCTTTAGAAATTATTAAATTTCAGAATTTGAAATTTTTTAAATTTTATTTCCTGGTGAAAAAAGAAATAAGAAGTCCTATTTTAATATTTTATTTAGCAAAATGATACAAGTTTTGATTAATTGAATTTAGAAATCAGTGAAGAATCAGGGAAATAGAAAATAAAATATTTTTGACAACACTAAATTAAATAAACGACTTTTTCGACTTTTTTTTATTTTTAATCGACTAAAGCAACTTCTTTTGTTCGTTAAAGTCGATCCGAGGCCTGTATAGATTATATTAATTATTATTCTAGATTCTATTCAATATTATAATTATTATTCTTATAATTTTTTTCTAATTACTCTCATAATTGTTTTCAGGAAAGAAAAGATAAAATTAGAAACGAATATTTTCTGATTTCAAATTTTTAATTACTGTTTTTGTTACAGATTTTTATTTACCAAAAAAATGAAATTGAAAATTTTCTTCAATATATATATTAAGATATTGGAAGCTTTTTTCGGAATGAAATTATACCTTTGAGATGTCGCTTCTTTCGTTTATTATATCCCTATGGCGGGCGGTATTCAACAGGCTGATATTTATAGACACGGGAGTCTCGTGCATACTTACAAAACGATTCAGGCGTCAAAATTTTATTCCCCAAGTACTTTTTTATTTACATTTTTATATTCATGAATTTTATTTGAATTTATCAAGAAAATAATTTGTCGATATATATTTAATAATTTTACTGTCGAAATTTAGAAATAATCGCCAAATTCATTCACCGATGAATCATAGTTACTTCTTTTATGATTCTGAAATGCATCAAAATTTTGTGGAAAGCAGCGACATTTTAAAAATATATGTAATTTCTGCGAAGTGAATTATTTCTCTTGTGTTAAGTGACGTTTCTACTTCTTCTTTTTTATTTTTCTTTGTAATTTGTGCTTTTGTCGATAGTATTTCTCTATTTTAGTTTTCTTAAACAATATTTCGTAAAAAATTTCAATTTTAAATTCCAATTCTAAATTCAATTATTGGGATGTTTTTTCATTTCTCGGTTTTTAAGAAAATTAATTTCTAAATTGCGTTTGACCCATTTTTTGTTAAAATGCAAAAGACGTCCTTTGATATTGAAGGAATATGTCGAATCATACTCATCAAATTTTGTTGTACTCGGTGCCAAACGTTTTTCTTTCAAACTTTAGATCGTTAAAAATTTTTCCTAACAGCTTCTTGGAAAATTGTCGACATTTGTGCACCTTTCAAACAACCTGAAATTTAAATGTTAAATTACAAATTTTTGAAAATTTCTACAAAAACCAAATTGTCTAATTATTCGATATTTATTAAATTTTTCATTTACTTTTTATTCGATTTTTTATTTACTTTTTCATTTAGTTTGTTATTTCGTTTTTTTAATAGGACTTTAATTTTTAGTTTCAAAAATATTTGTAATTCGAAATTCAAAAACCAAAATTGAATAGAAAAAAAAAATTGCTAAATGTCAAGGGAGAAAAAAAACTCTTGTTGTAATCATAAAAAAAATTAATAAAACAGATTCGGCATAATATAGTGGTCCAAGTGGATGATATTAATAGACTCGACAGATTCACGTAAACTTTCAACGTATCGGACATCTTGAGATGAGAGAATATTTCGCAGAGAAATAGGAATTATAGTAAAGATCGAATCCGTCTTTTGAAAAGAGAGATATTAGAAGAAAATCAGATGCCAAAGAGATGACTTCGATCGATTACCTCGTGCTCCGAGGTAAACGTAAGACTTTATTTTGAGGTGAACCTTAAACATGCGAATGAGTCAGTTTACAAAGTCTCAACTCAGTTTTAGATGGAACATGAATCTGTTGCACATGTTGTGATAGTAATAAACTAGACAAAAAAAAAGAGAGAAGAAGAAAAAAAAAACAAGAGTGGGGAAAAAAGAAGTGGAAAAAAATGCCAACAACGTGAGATGTGAAGTGGCGAAAGGAGAATTATTGTCTATTTATTTCTAGTCCGCAATTCAACATTGGTAAAAGCAAATTGTGACAAGATGATGTTCACTGGCGGTTCACATGCTAAGAGAAGAAATGCCGGTGGCGGCTCTGGGCGAAAATCATCACTTGACCATCGAAATGTCACACAATCGCGCATGGGACCAGAAGGATATACTTACAGGTGAGAAATATTTTTTAATTTAGAAAAATATTTACAGAAACAGTAAAAAAAATAAGGTAATTTTTATTTTCTTTCAAATTAAAATTTGAATATTTTACTCACTTGATTGAGTTTGAAACGACTTTTTATTCGCCACTTTTCTATTTTTAACATTCCATTAAATTAAAAAAATAAACGAAAACAAAATATACGAACATTCGTTTTGATTAAATTATTTTTAAGAAATTTTTTAAAGTTTTCCCTACTTTTTTTACTATTTTATTTTATTAAATATAAAAAAATCATTAAAAATTGAATAAAAATCGGAATTAAAATTAAATTCAATTGAATTTTCAATTTAAATGAATTTTTATTCGATCCTTTTACTATTTTTTTCTATTCAACTAAAAAATCATTAGAAAATTAGACCGAACTAAAGTTTTATTCAATCTGATAGAATTTTCCATTAAAATAAATTTTCGATTGACGCTTTTCTATTTTTAATATTCCGTTAATCTGACAAAATAAAATAGAAAATAAAAGAATGAACATTCTTTATAAGATTGAATTATTTAAACGAATTTTTTTCAATTTTTTCTAACTTTTATTTGCATTTACATTAAAAAATCATTAGACAAATTAATCAAATTAAATAAAAATTGATTTGAGAGAATTTTCAATTTAAATACATTTTTTCTATTTTTCTATTGAACCCGAAAACAAAAAAAATTGAAAAAAATTCCTTTAATTTAAAAATAATTTTTTAATTAAATTATTAAAGGAATTTTTTTCAATTTTTTCTAGTTTTTTTTTCTATTCATCTGTAAAATCAGTAGAAAAATGAATCAAATTGAATAAAAATTCGATTTGAGAGAATTTTTAATTTAAATAAATTTTTATTTGACGTTTTTCTATTTTTAACAGTATGTTGAACCAAAAACAAAAAAACTGAAATAGCAAAAATAAACATTCTTTTTGATTTAATTATTTAAACAAAGTTTTTTCAATTCTCTTATTTTTCCTAAATTTCTATTCCAGGAAATTCAAAATTCAAGTGAAAAATTATTAGAAAAATAAATCCAATTGAATAGAAAAATTCAATTTGATTGAATATTCAATTTAAACAAATTTTGATTCGAACCTTTTTTTATTTTAAAATTTCTATAAATAGAAATTTCAGAATAAAAAAAGAAATTGTTAAATTTAACAATTTCTATTTTAAAAATAGAAAATGCGTAAAAATATATAAGAATAATTACTCTATGTAATTGAATTTTCAATTTAAACGAATTCAACAATTTTCTATTTAAAAAAAAATCTTTTCACTAAAAATTAAGTAAATATATTTAAATTAAATTTAAAAAATAATTTTATTTAAAAAATTTTCTATTTGGTCAGAAAAAGTAGTGAAATAAGAAAAATATATAAGAATTCCATTTGGTGAATTTTCAATTTAAACGAATTCAGGAATTTTCCATTAAAAAAAAAATTCTTGCAACGAAAAAATATATTTCAATTTAATTCAAAAAATAATTTTATTTTTTTTTCTATTTTGCTAAAAAATAGAAACAAAAATAATCACGACAAATAATTAATCTATTTGAATATTATTCATAATAATATAAAAATAACATTTTCGTTTTTTTTTAATTTTCAATTTTGAAAATTTTGAAAAATTGTTCCCTATTCAATGAATTTTCCTTTTTTTACAGTAAAAAAATAAAAAAATAAAGAAATAAAAATAAAAAAACTGCTAAAAATAGCGCACTATTAAAAATTTCCATTTTCTTCTGTTTCAAGAATAAAATTCTAATTAAAAATATAAATTTACAATTCCAAGAGAGAAAAAAATAAGAAACAATGAATAATAAAGGAATAAAAAAAAGAAAAATGGAGAATATAAAAAGTGAATTTAAATGATAAAGAAAAATTTATAAAATTCAGACTATTTATCTTCGTCTTGTTAACTGTCCTTCATCGACAAATTAATGAGATCTTTAATTGAACACGTCTGACTAAAATCGAACGTAACTACTGTGTGAGTAATACAAGTCCGGCTGAGATTCTTCTTAATAAGTATTTAATTATAATTGTTATTGAGTAACATTACCGCAACAACTCCTTTAAATCTGATTTTCTTCAATTATAATTCCGTTATATTGAGTAATATTTCCATTACATCCTCTCCTCTCTGATTTATCTGTAAAACATTGAAAAACTTTAATATTAACTCTTCCGTTACGTGAAAATTCTATTGATAATAATAATTTTTACGTAATGGGGAAGAAAACACTAGAATACAAAAATTATATCACAATTGTTGATTAAATAATTCTTTCGCTACAATAAAAAGTGATTTTCTTTCATTTTTCAAAATGAAGAACATTTTTCTTCTCCTATATTCTAATATTTATTATTTGTATAGTAAATATTAATAAATATTTTTTGTTATTTAAAAATTAATTTTTGGCGGTTATTGTTATTTTTTAAAGTCAAAAAAAAACCAAAAAAAAACTCGTTTCATTCACTTTACAAAATTGACAAAAATTCCATTCCATATTTTTTATTTTCCTGACTTTTTCCTAATTTTCATCAAAAATATTTACTTTTTTCTTATCCTCCTCTTAAATTGAATTCCTGCTAAGAATTTTATTATTCATGAAAGAATTTAAAATATATTTATAAAAAAAAAATTTAATTCTTGCGAAGAATTTTATAAAAATTTTTAAATAATTCATTTCTTTCGAATAATTTTATGCAAATTCTAATTTAAATAATTGAATTGAAGAAAATTGTTATTATTCATGAAAAGAATTGAATTCTTACGAAAAATTTTAAAAACCATTTTTTAAATAATTGAATTCTGTTTGGAAATTTTATGAAAATAGTAGATATTGAAAATCATTGAATTGCGAAAGGTTTTTAAGATAATTAAATTTCATAAAGAATTCTATTAAAAAATTTGGCAATAATTGAATGTCTGTGGGAAATTTTATTAAATTTTTTTGAAAATAATTGAATTTCTAAAACAATTTTATTATTTATGAAAATAATTGAATTCTTGCGAACGATTTATTAGAATTTTTTTAAATAATGGAATTTCCAAGAAGAAATTTATTACTTTTGAAAATAATTGAATTATTGTGATGAATATTGTTATTTATGAAAATAATTGGATTTTGAAAAGAATTTTATTAAAAAATACCTAAAAATAATTAAATTTTCGAAAGTAATTTTTTTATTTATCGACATAATTGAATTCTTTCGGAAAATTATTTGTGTAAATAATTGAATTCTTAGAAAAAATTTAATTAAAATTTTTAAAAATAATTGAATTATTTCAAAAAAACTTAATTAAAATTGTATTTAAAACAATTAATTTCTTTCAAACAATTTTATTAAATTTTTGAAAATAATTATTCAATCCTTCCAAAATATTTTAAAAAACATTTTTTTAAATAATATTGATTATTTCGAGCAATTGAAATTCAGTTTTTAAGAATAATTACATTTTTTGAGCAATTCCTGTAAAATTGTATTAAAAATAATTGAAATCCTGCTATGAATTTTATTATTTATGAAAATAATTGAACAGTTCCCAAGAATTTTATTATAATTCTCAAAAATAATTGAATTACAGAAAAGAATTTTATTATTTTTGAAAATAATTGAATTATTGCGGAAAAGTTTATTAAAATGTTTATGAAGAATTGAATTTCTGTGAAAAATTTAATTATTTTTGAAAGTAATTATTGAATTCTTTATAAGAATTTTATGAACATTGTGTTAAATAATAAATTTTTTCGAAATATAATAAATATTATGACAATTTTATTAGTTTAAATAATTGAATTCTTGTGGAAAACTTTATTTGTGAAAATAACTGAGTTTTTCGATTATTAATTTTAAATATAGTAATAAAAATAATTGAAATTCTTCGATGAGTTTTATTATTTATGAAAATAATTAAATTCATGCTTAGAAATTAATCAAAAATTTTTTTAAAAAATTGATTTTTCATGAAAAATTTTATTATTAGTGAAAGTAATTGAATTATTGTGAAAAATAAATTGAATAAAATTTTGTTAAATAATTGATTTTTTCGAAATTTTTTTGGAAAATTAGTGAATTAAAAATAGTGGAAATTCTCTAAAAAAATATTATTTATATTCTTTGTTTAGAAAGTTGAATATATATTAATTTTTTTACCTTCACTATTCTTCAGAATAATTAAAATTTTCGTAATGAAGATTATTTTTAATTTAGGTATCAAATAACAATTTTTGCGAAATTCAATATTTTCCTCGTACAAGAAAGTTTAATTATTTTCAATTTTGAAAATCGGATGTCAAATTTGAAATTAGTATCAAAATTTGTTAAAGATTTTTTATATACTTTAAAGTTTAAAAATATAATATAATTTGAAAATTTAATTCTAATTAGTTGTTCAGTTATGTGTGACTTACTGAGTAGAAAAATAATATTTTGTTTGTCATTTTCACAGAACAAGGACTCCAACTCCTTTTAATCCTGCGGATCTTCCACCGAGTTCATCGACGAAAACTTATGTTTACAAAACACGTGTACCAAGGAGGGTCGCGGAAGCCTCGGCGTCACCTCCACCAGCTGAAAATATTGGCGGTGGATTTCCAATCACCAAGAGACGAGGAGCTGTAAAACAAAACAAAGTCCACGTTATTAGAGGTCACAAATTGGTCGCTAAATTTTTCAGACAACCAACTTTTTGTACATTTTGTAAGGAATTTCTCTGGTGAGGACAATATTTTTTTTCCTTTAAATTTCACAATTGCAATAGAATAAAAAAATGAAACAAAAATAAACGGAAAATATTTTCGTAATTGACAATCAAATACTATTATTTAAAGTTGAATGATTACTATTACTTTCGTTTTTATAATTTTCAATTTTTCAAATTCAAATTAAAATAAAAAAAAAAATTTGAAATATTTAATTTTCAGTTCAAAAAATAAAATTTATTTAATTTATTTTCAGTAGTTTTTCAATTTTCACAAAAATTTTGAAAAATTCCAATTAAAATAACATGAAATTTGAAATATTCAATTTTCATTATTTTCAAAAAGAAATTTTTACTCCACTTATTTTTATTGTGTGACAAAAATTACTTTTATTTAATATATTTATTATATCAAAATAGATAAAAGAAAATTTTGTCGGTTTGAGAGAATTATATTTATTTATTAATTTTTATTTAATAATTTTTATTTTTTGATAATAATAATTTAATATAAAATACATGGATGAGAAAATTTTGTTAATTTAAGAGAAATTATTATTATGATTAAGTAACACTGTAAATGTGATTATAGTAGAGTGGAATTAAATTTACGCACTCGAAATTAAACATCGTTTTAACAACATATGTACCTGGAGTATTTTCAAAACATTCATTCTCCGCACTGATGCATTTAATGAGATTCTCTCTACCTCGATCGTCAAAGCGAATCAAAATTTATCGCTTTTTCCCCTATAAATTTATACCCAGCACTACCCACTGCCCACGTACCACCTCAACTTATAAACTTTAATTCATAAATTCGACACTTTGGTGGAAATAAATTTTCAGTCTTAAATTGATTTTCTTTTATCAGACAGAATTATGTAAAATTAAATAAAATTTTGTTAAGACACAAATTTCTACACTTTACTATTAATTAATTCCACTTAATATTGTCACTTAATTACCACTTCATTATTCAGTAATATTAATAAATTTTAACTATTGAAGATTTTTTTACGGTTATTAATTTAGGGGTTTATTTAAAAAACCCTTAAATTAATTTTTATTTGTATTTAATTAATTCCAGTAATACAGTAATTTTTTTAACATTTTAAGACTTTTACAGTTATTAATTTAGGGGTTTAATTAAAAAATCCTTTAATTAATTTTGTTTATTGTAGACAATTTCAAGTCATTTTAATTTAAGTAATTTTTAAAGAAATACTTATTATGAGACACATAACTGAAAAACTAATTAGAATTAAATTTTCAAATTACATTATATTTTTAAACATTAGGTAAAGTATGTAAAAAAACATTAACAAATTTTGATACTAATTTCAAATTTGACATCAGATTTTCAAAATTGAAAATAATTAAACTTTCTTGTACGAGGAAAATATTGAATTTCGCAAAAATTGGTATTTGATACCTAAATTAAAAATAATCTTCATTACGAAAATTTTAATTATTCTGAAGAATAGAGAAGGTAAAAAAATTATTATATATTCAACTTTCTGAACAAAGAATATAAATAATATTTTTTTGAGAGAATTTCCACTACTTTTAAATCGCAAATTTTCAAAAAAATTCCGAAACAATCAATTATTTAACAAAATTTTATTCAATTTATTTTTCACAATAATTCAATTACTTTCACTAATAATAAAATTTTTCATGAAAATTCAATTTTTTAAAAAAGTTTTAATTAAATTCTGAGCATGAATTTAATTATTTTCATAAATAATAAAACTCATCGAAGAATTATTTCAATTATTTTTACTACTATTTTAAATTAATAATCGAAAAATTCAGTTATTTTCACAAATAAAGTTTTCCACAAGAATTCAATTATTTAAACTGATAAAATTTTCATAATATTTATTATATTTCGAAAAAATTAATTATTTAAAACAATGTTCATAAAATTCTTATAAAAAATTCAATTACTTTCAAAAATAATTAAATTTTTCACAGAAATTCAATTCTTCTTAAACATTTTAATAACCTTTTCCGCAATAATTCAATTATTTTCAAAAATAATAAAATTCTTCTCTAAAATTCAATTATTTTTGAGAATTATAATAAAATTCCTAGCAACTTTTCAATTATTTTCATAAATAATAAAATTCACAGCAGAATTTCAATTATTTTTAATACAATTTCACAGGAATTGCTCAAAAAATGTAATTATTATTAAAAACTTAAATTCAATTCCTCGAAAAAAACCATTATTTAAAAAAATGTTTTTTAATATTTTTTGGAAGGATTGAATAATTATTTTCAAACATTTAATAAAATTGTTCGAAAGAAATTAATTGTTTTAAATACAATTTTAATTAAATTTTTTTGAAATAATTCAATTATTTTTAAAAATTTTAATTAAATTTTTTCTAAGAATTCAATTATTTACACAAATAATTTTCCGAAAGAATTCAATTATGTCGATAAATAAGAAAATTACTACCGTAAATTTAATTATTTTTAGTTATTTTTTTTCAAAATTCAATTATTTTCATAAATAACAATATTTTTCACAATAATTCAATTATTTTTAAAAGCAATAAATTTCTTCTTGGAAATTCCATTATTTAAAAAAATTCTAATAAATCGTTCGCACGAATTCAATTATTTTTATAAATACTAAAAATTTTTTTACGAATTCAATTATTTTCAAAAAAATTTAATAAAATTTCTCACAGACATTCAATTATTGCCAAATTTTTTAATAAAATTCTTTGTAAAAATTTAATTATCTTTAAAAACTTTTCGCAATTTAATGATTTTCAATATCTACTATTTTCATAAAATTTCCAAACAGAATTCAATTATTAAAAAAATGGTTTTTAAAAATTTTCGTAAGAATAATTTTTTCATGAATAATAACAATTTTCTTCAATTCAATTATTTAAATTAGAATTTGCATAAAATTATTCGAAAGAAATGAATTATTTAAAAATTTTTATAAAATTCTTCGCAAGAATTAAATTATTTTTTATAAATATATTTTAAATTCTTTCGCATGAATAATAAAATTTGTAGCAGGAATTGAATTTATATTAGCATGATAAGAAAAAAGTAAATATTTTTGATGAAAATTAGGAAAAAATATGGAATGGAATTTTTGTCAATTTTGTGAAGTGAATAAAACGAGTTTTTTTTTGTTTCTTTTTTGACATTAAAAAAATGACAATAACCCACAAAAATTAATTTTCAAAACAATCAAATGAATGCAGAGAATTTAATTAATTATTAATTTAACGGAAAGGAAACTTACGATTATTATAAAGTATAATATTAATTTCAGTTACATTCAGTAAATTTTTAACTATTTATTTCTTTTATTTATCTAAGCCACAGTCGTTAATTAAATTATGATTTTTAATTGAATTTTTATTATTTTTTAGGGGTTTCGGAAAACAGGGCTATCAATGTCAAGGTAAAGTTTTTAATCCAACCAATATTTTATTTTAATTTAAATTAAAAAATTAATTTAATTATTTTAATTAAGAACTTAATTTAATGTAATTTAATTCTGAATATTAATTAATAACGAATCATTATTTTTTAATCCAATCTAAGAACAAACATGAGTGATAATTTAATGAATTTTCAATAAAAGAAAAATAATTGTTTTTTAACGAAGAAGAAGAAGAAGAGTAATTAATTGAGATGAATTTTTCTTATTCTCAACAGCTTGTCAAACGGCAGTTCATAAAAAATGTCACGACAAATTATTGACAAAGTGTCCTGGAAGCGGAAGAGAATCAGAAAGTACGATTGTAAGTACTGGAGGTAATATTTTCTTTTCTTGTACTAAATTTTACGAAAAGGGTATAATTATTATGATTGTAACTAATAATATTGATATTTTATTTTGCATGACTATTAATAAGAAAAAAAAACTATCTCTTGCAGTGCACTTACATTAAATTTATCATTTGCGCACAGTCAATCTCTAGAAAGATATTTGATAATAAATTGAAAATCGAATTCAAAGAAATTAATTTAAAAAAAAATATTTGGATTTTTATTTATTTTTATTTATAAGAAATATTTGCATTTATTTTCCAAATAGATATTTCGATTTATTTTCCAAATCAATATTTTTGGTTTTATTTTCCAAATAGATATTTGGATTAATGTTCCAAATCGATATTTGGTTTTATTTTCCAAATAAATATTTGGATTTCTTTTTTCAAATAAATATTTGGAAAATTGTAAAAAAATTGAAGAAATAGGATTTTTAAATAGATAATAATTGAAACTTATTTCTTACAATAGACGGGAATTTTATCAAAGCATCTTTGTTTGATTGACTCTTCGCATTAAGTAATGCCACTTGTTGCAGACAATTAAGAGAAGAATTTCAACTAACCAAGGGATTTTCATAAGAGGAAGGCTTTAATAGACGCAGAATAATCTAAAAAACTCAATCAAGTGCTGTAGAAGATTCCGTTTTAAATCGTTAAGAATTCATTATCTCGTCAATATTTTACATAACGACAATTTTTAAATTTCAGTTTCGTTCATTTTCACAAGAATATTGAAACTTGACTTCTTTACAATTTTTTTTCTTTTTAATAAAATAAAAAATAGAAACTTAATTTCTAAAAGTAAAAAATTTAATATTGAATATAAAATTAAATATTTCAATCTTCTATTCGAATTTTTCCGAAATTAAATATTTCAATGTACTATTCAAATTTTTTGTAAAATAAATATTCCAAAGTTTAATTATTAAAATTTTTGCAAATTAAATATTCCAAAATTCAATTATTCAAATTTTTGGAAATTAATGAAACACTTCAAAGTTCGATTATTAAAATTTTTAAAAGTTAAATACTCCAAAGTTCGATTACTAAAATTTTTATAGAATAAACTTTTATTTCTTGATGCTACAACAAATTTTTGTATTTTTTTTTCTTCTAAAAATTAAGTAAATTAAGTAATATTTTAATATTAAATAATATTGAAATAATAAATAATTTTGAAGAATTGAATAATATTAAAATAATAAAATTGAAATAATTAATATTATTGAAATATTGATATTCAAATATTTAATACTTTTGAATGATTCTCGTTTCATTTTATTTATTTTTTTTTTTTGAAATTGAAAATTGAGTGAGCTTAAGGTGGTGGAAGCTGTTTTGTAAATAAAAAAGAAAACTCTTTTTGTAATTGTAGAATTACATTAAATGACTAATTGTAAAAGAATTAAAATCGAAATTGAGTATGCTTATACGTGGACTGCTACTTTGTCTTTCTAGAAACCTAATGCGTCTTTTACCATGTTTAATGGCAGTACTTGAGGGAGCGATTCAAGGTGGACGTACCACACAGATTTCGACCCCATACCTTCATGTCTCTAACTTTCTGCGATCATTGTGGATCAATGCTTTATGGATTTTATCGTCAAGGTTTAAAGTGTGCCGGTAAGTCGACTTTTTTTAAACTTTAAAAACAAATTTAAAGAAATCTTCAACAAAAAAAAATGGATTTCTATCGCAAGAGCTCGCGTATTGAACAATGAAAAAACCAAATAAAAATCCAAAAATTGTATTTTTGTCTTATTTAATTTTTCATTTATCGAAAAAAAGAGAAGAAGAAGAAGAAAATAGGTGAAAAAATTATTTAAAAACCAAAGCAGACGAAAAAGACGAAAAAATCGAGAAATTTTTTTTCTAATAAACAGGGACAGACGTTACGAAAGTTTAGTTTCGTTTTAGTTTCAATTAACACAAAACTAAATTAAATGTAAATTTTTTATTTAGTTTCGTTTCAGAATCGGTCCTTGATAATAAAAGAAAGGAAGAAGAAAATCATTTAAAACTACAATGAAGTATTTTTAGCGAAAATATTTTATGGAATCGTTAATTTTTTGGAACAGTTCAAAAAATACTCGAGTTTGGATAATAGAATATTCTTTGATAAATTTTTTTACATTCTTCTAAACCGTGAACAATAAATTATTTTAGAAAAAGGGCAAAATCGCAGTGTTCCTTTTTTCTGTTAAAAGAAATAATTTTCTGAATTTTAAATTTCTTAGTTGAATTTTTCCAATTTTTACGAAAATACAAATATAAAAATAGGCTGAGATCATAAATAATAAACAAAGTGATCATTAACTATTATTAAAAATATTGCTTTTTAATTTTCTATTTAAAATTTTTTAATGTAACATTTTTGAATTATTTTGAATAAAAATTGATTTTGAATATAAATGAATTTTTGATGTAAATTAAATTTGAATATAAATGAATTTTTAATATAAATTGGAATTGAATATAAATGAATTTTTAATATTTGAATTTGAAAAAAATTGAATTAAAATATAAATTTGATTTGAATATAAGTCAGGAACCTGGAAACCTGGAAATGTCAGGGAATTTTATAAACATTGAAAAAGGGAATTTTGATCGAAATCCTGAAAAATTGTTAATTTCTAAAGTTTATTCTTGAAATCTAATTTTACATAAATATTTCCAAATTAATTGAATTTTAAAAGAGTTGCGTTTACGATTTTCATAAGTATAGATGAATTTCAAAAGATTTTAATTTGAAATTTTGTAAAATTTCAAGTTTGAATGAATTTTATTAGAAATCGTCTTAAAGAACGTAGATTTTTGAAAATTTCAAAAATTTTAATAAAATTCATTGTAAGAATTCAATTTTTTTGAAAATAATTTTAATAAAATTCTTTGTAGAAATTTAATTAATTTAAAAAATTTATCAAAATTCAATTATATTTAATGTGTACTATTTCAATATAATTTCACAAAGGAATTCAATTATTTTAATTAAATTTTAATAAAATTCGTCTCAAGACTTCAATTATTTTCAAATGTAATATATAATTCTTCGCAGAAATTTAATTGTGTTCAACAATTTACAAAAATTCTCGTCAAAATTCCAATAATCTTTAAAAAATTTTCTTCAAAATTCAATAATTCTAACAAATTTTTATAAAATTCTTGGCAAAAATTCAATTATTTTCAAAAAATCTTTAAAAATTCTTTGGAGAAATTCAATTATTTTAAATTAAAATTTTAATCAAATTTCTGAAAAATGAACTTATTCTTAAAAATGTTATTAATGTTAATGTTAATTAATGTTTATTAATGTTAAATGTTATTAATGTTATTTGTCAAGAGAATTAAATTATTTAAAAATTTGTTGATAAAATTCTTTATAAAAATTCTATTTTAAGAAACATTCAAATATTTAATAAAATAGTTATTTTTGTATTTAAATAATTAATTGAATTCTCATGGATTTTTCTAGTAAATATTAATTTAAAAATGAATTTCAGTTAAAATTTTACATTATCATTGAATATTGAAAGTTAATAGCGAAAATTTTTAGAAATAATTGAATTTTAAAAAGATTTTAAATTAAAACTTTTGAAAATTTGAACTTTTTGTACTTTTAATTAACAATTTTGTAGAATTAATTTTTAAAAATAATTTAAATTGAATTTTTCTTTAATTCTTCAAGTTTTTTATTTTCTAATAATTATATGTTTAATTGGAGAATGTCAGAAGAATCGAAATTACGTAAAAATTAATATTGAAAATAATTTAACATTTACAAAGAATTTTATCATTTTTAAAAAGTAATTGAATTCTTGCAGAGAATTTTATGAATTTTAAAAATAATTGAATTCTTGCGAACAAATTTTGTCAATTTTAAAAATAATTGAATTATTTCGAAGAATTTTATTAAATTTTTTTTAATTATTTGAAGTTTTTAATTTCTAATTTATTTAATTGAAGAATGTCAGAATAATCGAAATTTTAGGTAACATTGAATTGAAATAAATGGATTTAAAAATTTTAAAAAAAGAAATTTTTCAAAAATTATTAAAAATAATTGATTAAAGAAGAATTTTAGTTTAAAATTCTAGAAATGAAGAATTGAATTGAAATGAAAATTATTTTGATGAATTTACAGTAATAATATTTTTATAATAAAAATATAAATATAAATATAAAAATATAAATATCAATTTAAGTGAATTTTCAATATTTGAATTTGAATACCAATAAATTTCGAATACAAATGAAAATATAAAAATAAGCATAATTACTATGTTTACTGTTCTATAAAAAATATATTTAGTTTTATATTTGTAAACACTCCGAAGGAAGTTAATTTAATAGTCTCTCGTTTTGACAATCGAATTATCAGAGATTAGAAAAAAAGAAGTTCGTGTTTCAAAACGTGGGACGTTATTGGATATATTGACGTAATTCGAATGCGACTATTTTTTATTAGTTTTATTTTTGTTTTCCATAAAGAAGTGAGACTGCAAACGATTGTCACCCCATCTAAACAATAATTTATCGTTCACTCGAATTTAAATTTCTAACTATATTATTGTTTTTCATTCAAGAAATTTCAAGTTTTTTTTCTGAAAGAAAAATGTAATTTAAAAAGAAAAATAAATAAATCACTAATTTTAATAACTAATTAAAATTTATTAAAACTTTCAATATTTTTGATTAATTAATTTGAAAAAATTAATAATAATTCACTAATAGCTGATTTTTTTCATTTCTTATATTAATTTTTGGGATAAAATTTTAATTTTCTTTGAATGATTTAAAAACATTAAAAATAAAAATAAAAAAAATCTTAATTTATTAATTTAGTAGGGAAAGAAGTAGGAGAATAATTTTTAATGATATTAAATGAAGAGGGAAAGAAATTTGAATGATATTAAATCAATAGGGAAAGAATTTTGAATGATACGAAATCAATAGGTAAAGAATTTGAAAGTCAGTAGGGAGAGAATTTTTTATGATATTAAATCAAAAGGGAAAGAATTTCGAATCAAAAGAAAAAGAATTTTCAAGAAAGTGAAAGCGAGTAAGAGTATTTTAAGAAAGAAGCTAAAAGAGAATATTTCTCGAGGATTATGTGAATGCCATTAATAACAAAGAGAAAAAAATCTGTTTAGAAAGAGATTCTTTAGAAATACAAATTCTTGATCTTTGCGTCTTGTTGATGATAATATGCGAGCACCTATAAACTTTGGTCGGTGTCGATTTTATTTACATCACACAAACGAGAATGAATAAACGTATAGTGTGACAGTAGGGGGAGAGAATTTAAAGGATCGAATGAAGAATTATGTTTATGCCTTTTTGACTTTTCATATAGAAAGAGAGCGGTTTTCTTGTCACATCATCATAAATATTTGCCTACTGGTGCATTTTCCCCTGTTGCAAATTATTTGTAGTCGTTTAGGAAATTAGAGAGAGACTAGGCATATAGTTAGATGCTTAGATGCCTCATATACTAGAATTCTATTATTACACTGGGTCGCTGGCTTAAACTCAGTTGGTCTTGGCTCCCTGAACCGTGAGAACGTTTTTTACACCTGACTCCAAGACCGTCCTCGTGCCATCGATTGAAAATCATTTTTCTTTTCCTTTGTTTCGTTTTTTTTTTGTATTAAAGTAAAGAAGAAAAGCGTGAAGAAAATTTTTTAACAACCTCAAAAATGCCTTATTACGGAGACGGAAGCTCATATTATTATGGGAATTCCTTCGCCAATCACAGTTCCTTGATGACAGGCACCGGGCGGTAAGCCTCTAATCCTGAAAATTCATTTTTTTAATTAATATTTCTATTATTTGAATTTTGAAATATTTTCATGACAATTTTTTTCTCCTGTAGAATTTACTCTCAAGATTTATGGATTTTGAAAAGGAAATTATTTTCGAAAAGAAGAATTTAGAGCAAAATACTAATAAAATTTAGTCAATGGTTTTAAAAGTTAATTACAAGTTTTTCTTTTAGTTTCTAAATGAATATAATATTAATTACAAATTAAGACGCTTTTTTTTAAAAACCAGAAATTTATTCAAATTGAATCTTTATAATTAAGGACGAGTTCGAATCAAATTGAAAAGATTTAGCCAAAACCTTTTAATTTCTAAATGAATATTTTAATTTCAAATTAAAGTATTTTTTTTAAATTGAAATCTGTTCAATTTAATATTTCATAATTAATTGACTTAAATATTATAATTAAAAACAAGTTTCAATCGAACTTCGAAAAGAATAAAAAATCTAATCTTAATTTAATTTTCAAATTTCAATTTAAACAAAAAAATTGAGGTTTGAAATAATTTAATTTTTCAAATAATTTGACAATTTACGGTCTTTTTAACAACAATTAGAAATAATTTAAAAAATTCGTATTCATTATGAATATGGTGCACGTGCTTATAAGTGTTTTTTAATCTTTCGAAAATCCATAAATCGTCGAGTTAATTCATTTTATACTTAAAATTTCCAAACAACAACTTGAATTCAAATATTCAAATAATGAACTAAAACATTTCTGGACAAATATTATGTTTTAGTAAAAAAAGTATTTTTATAGTAGAAAAAGTATTTTTATAGTAGAAAAAAGTATTTTTTGTAATAGAAAAGGTATTTTTATAGTATAAAAAATAATTTTCAATATAGTAATAAAGGAAAAGAAATCGAGAAAACTATTTTTCAGAACTTGGATTATCAGAAACTAATAATTAGAATTTGCGACTTGATTAAAATTCGCAAAAATTTTGAAAATATGCAAAAACTGCTTCTCACGATGAAAATGAAATCACGAGCATAAATAATATTTTTTTTCTCTCAACGACTGAGAAATCTGTCTGAAAGAAAGATGATGAATGTCGTTTATTAGTTTCCCCGACATGTTTGTTTAAAAAAAATTTTTTACACAATTCTGAGTCAAAATTCTTATTCTTTTATATCAAATTTTAATTGTGAATTACGTTTTTAAATGCGAAACATTTTTGAAAAGAGCAATTTTGACAAAAAAGTTCAAGTTAAATATGAAAATGTTGGAAGCGGCCACGTGCCAAAATAATGGACATTTATTTTTTAACCACAGAAACTGGGTATTTCAACTTGACAGTTTTCTGAATATGATATGAGAAAAAAAAATATATTTCGATCTTGTTTACAACTTTCACTTGTAAGGAATGAAAGGAAAGAAAAATTGACAATAAGAAAATTTGTAATAAATTCCAAAAGAAAAAAAAGAATCAAATTTTCTCGTGTGAAATATTATATATTGGCAATTTGTCAAAATTCTCTTAATCTTTCGCATCCTCAGGGACATCCTTCAAAGCCACTGCCACGGACATTATTTTATTAAAATCGAATTCATTGGTGAAAAACTAGAATTTACGTTCTCACGTCGTCATATTTTGGTTTGCAAGTTTTCCTTCCCTTTAAAGCAAATTAAAACAGCACGAGAGAGTGAGAGAGAAAGAGAAAGATGAATTAATCATGATAATAATTTATTGGAATAAATTATTCTGAATTATTCTTCTCATTTATTTATTCTAATTGGATTGAAAGAAATGAATTCAACAAGACTGGAAGCCAATTAAATTTAATTTTAAATCGAAATATAATTAACCAATTTATATTTAGCAAAAAATTATTTTTCAATATAATTATATCTTTATTTTGAATTTTTTTCTTTCGTACAATTTTTATTAATTTTTTAATTCTAAATTTCTAATTTCGAGAATTTAAAATAAAAAATTGAACAATTTACAAATCCTCAAAATACAAAAATCAAAAAATTCAAATCAAATTTAAAAATTTTTTGGAATTTAAAAATGAAGAAGAAATTTGAAAATAAAAATTCAGAATTAAAAAATTGCAGAAAGAAAAATTCGGAAAGAATCCTCAAAATACCTTTTGAGGACAATTTATTGTAGGGAGAAAAATAGAAAAGTCAAAATAACGTGGAATGTCTTAACAAGTGTTCGTTTTTAGATCGAGTAGAACGTAACGATGTTAAAATTAAGTATCTAGCGAGGGAGGAAAGTCTGAGCAAATTACAATCGATTGAAGGGCACTTAAAACTGAGAATAGTGAAATATTTATTTTGAATGCAATTTTATGAGAAAAGAAAAAAATATCTCCCCCTCTCTCTCTCACACTCTCTCGAAACTAGAACGTTGAAATTTATTTTTAAGGGGAATTTTCGTGTTGTAGAAATAATATACTTTTCTCAAGAATGAGTGAAATGTCCTAAAAGCTGCCAAAAAGCCTTCGGAGTAAGTGCAAGATACCGTGGACTTTCTCTGAATCTAAAATAGAAAATTCATTTCCTGAGTTTAAACCTCAAAATAAACCATATAGAAAAGAAAGAAAAGAATGACGTTAACACGAAAGAGGACAACGACTCGAAATAACCAATAAAAATACAGAAGACAAGAAAGAATGAAAAAAAAATTAAGATCAATTTGATTTTCCTTCTATGAAGAAACCGAAGAAAAACTGTTAATACTCCAAATTTTCTCTTTGGAAATTTTTTTTACTCTTTTACTTTTAAATTCACACCTTAGAAATCTATTTAATAATTTATTTGTTTTATTAATTTACTTTCGTTCGTATTCAATTCAGAAATTTTTTCTTGTCTTTGAAACAAAATTTGAAAAAGTATTTAAAAATAAATCGTTCAAAATTTGACCACTTTGGTTGCAATTAAAGTCTTCATATTAAACTATAAATATCGTGCATCACTGACACACTAGAGATTACAGAATTAACTTTTAGTGTTACGTAAAGTATTTCTCAGTTTCTCAAACCGTGCGTAAAAAATTATTATTCCACGAATGTATATTTTCATGAACTACATTTTTTTTTGTTTCAACGCGAGATAATCCAAGACTTCTGTGAAATGTGTTTTTATAATTCCAAATTTTTGGAAAGAGGCAAAAATAGACAGTCAGATTCAAAATTATTTGAAACAAATACTAATAGTCAACATTAATTATAAATAGTTAATTAATATTTCCTATCAGTTTATTACAATTTTTGAAAAATGTAATATTTGTCCAGAAAATTGAATGTAAAGTTTTCTCTACAAAATAAAAGAAACTAAAATAAAAAAAATTATAGACCCTTTAACGTTCCACTGGCGAGATTTTCTCCTCATCTATCGACCATCTCCGAATCGCCGTTAAGTAATTTGCGAAGATATTCACCAGTCACGATAGCAAGACGACCTCGACGCACCATTGACACGGCAGATATTGACGTTTCAACGCCAAGAACATTAACGCGCGAGAATTCCCATCAGCGGCATCATCTTCGCAGGGACAGGCCGACAATTAAAATTAGATCGCAGGCTCTGAAAGATAATCCAGCATTGCGTGAGCATTATGAGAAACATGAGAAAAATGTTGGTGAAATGTTGGTTGAGAAATTTCTCATCAAAGAAAAGAAATATGATCGTGATAATATTGGTGGTCTTCACTTACATAATCATCAGCAACAACAGCAGGAACAGCAACAGCATCTTCATCACGAGCAACAGCAACAAAAACAACAAGCAAATCACGAATGTGATTCAAAAAATGCTCTCACCGAGGCTATTCAAAGACGAGTCACCCGGCGTTTCACTCGAAGAAGATCGTCCGCTGATGTGCAATTAAATTCAGAGCAACTGGAGCGTGAACTTGCTTACGCACAGGTACAAGCCGAAGTTTTGGACACTCTCGTCGCCGAGGAGCAAGCCGAAATGGAAGTCGAGGCACGGAAGGCGTTCGCCAAGAAAAAGACCCATCGACCAGCTCACAATCTTCCCCAGGTTGAGGTGTGTGTCCTGAAAAAATTACACTTTATTACAAATCTTTCTTTTTCCGTTATTTTCCATATTTCTTCAAATCTCCAATTATTTCAATTACTTCAATTTTCAAAAAAAAAAGAAAATTCTAGATTATATTCTTTGCAGAAATTCAATTATTTTGCAAAATTTTTAATAAAATTCTTCTCAAGAATTCAATTATTTTTATAAATAATAAAATTATCCGTAGAAATTAAATTTTTTTAAATACAATTTTGATAAATATTTCTCAAAAAAACAAATTCAGTTATTTTCAATACAATTTTAATAAATTTTAATAAAAGAATTAAATTACTTATAATTTAATAAAATTCTTCTCAGAATTAAATAAAATTTTTCAAAGGAATTCAATTACTATTAAAATTTAATCAAAATTCTTTGAAATAATCAAATTCTTCCATGAAATTACATTATTTTTAGAATTTTAATAAAATTTTTTGAAAGAATACAATTATTTTCTAAAATTTTAATAAATTCGTCGAAACAATTAAATTATTTTTATAAATACATAGTAAAGTTCTTCGGAAGAATTTAAATTATTTTTATAAATAATAAAATTCTTCTCAGGAATTCCAATTATTTTCAATATAATAATTTTAATAAAATTCAATAATCAAATGTTTAATTATAATATTATTAACTACATTATCTTCAAAAAACCTAAAGAATTTTTTCAAAAGAATTGAATTACATATTTACAAAAAATCTAATAAAATTTAATAGTAAAATTAATTTATTTGTAATCTTTAAGAATTACAGTTATTACCAAAATTAATTATATTCCAAAAATTAAAGAAATTTTTTGAAATAATTCAATTATTATTGTATCTATAGTATCTATCTATTCTTGAAAACAATTCAATTATTTTCAATATTATAATATAATTTTCTGAATGAATCAACGTATTTTAAAAAATTGTATATACATTCTGAGAAGAATTTAATTATTTGCAAAAAATGTTAATGAAATCCAATAATCAAATGTTAAATTTCAATTATTAACAGGCACGATTATTTTTAAAACTTGAAAGAAATTATTCATAAAATCCAATTACTTTCAAAATTTTCAATTAAAATTATTAATAAAAGTCCATTATTTTAAAAAAAATTAAAGAAATTCTTCAAAAGAATTTTAGGATTTTCAAAAATTTTGATAAAATTCTTCGCAAGAATTTAGTTGTTTTTAAATATTTTGATAAAATTTTTTGCAAGAATGCAATGCAGGGTTGCCACGCAACCTGGAAATGTCAGGGAATTTTATAAACCTTAAAAAAAACCTGGAAAAATCAGGAAATTTTGATTGGAATCCTGGAAAATTATTCACAATAATTCAATTATTTTCATAAATAATCAAATGTTTTTACAGAGATTCAATTATTTTCATAAATATAACGCATCGCAGAATTTCAATTATTTTTAATACAATTTTAATGGAATTTCTCAAAAAATGTAATTATTCGTAAAATTTTTATTAAAATTCATCAAAGATATTCAATTATTTTAAAAAGCCTTCCTATAATTTATTTATTAAAATTTAAAGTATTATTTTATTATTATTTTACATTTTTAATTAAATTTCTTGAAAGAATTAAATTATTTTCAAAAATTTTAATGAAATTCTTTTTAATAATTCAGTTTATTTTCAAAATAATTTTAATAAAATTCTTCGTAGAAATTTCATTAATTTCTATAATTTATAAAAATTCAATTATTTTCAATATCTACTACCTATTTCAATAAAATTTCACAAAAGAATTCGCAAAAGTTTGAAAAAATTATCGTCAAAATTTTCAATTATCTTTAGAAATATTAAAATTTTTCTTAAAAATCTAATTATTTTCAAAAATTTTAATGAAATTCTTTTTAACAAATTCAATTTTTTTTTTCAAAAATTCTCCTCCATTCAATGATTTTCAATATCTACTATTTTAATAATCCAAAAGAAATGAATTATTTTAAAAATTTTTTGATAAAATTCTAAGCAAACCTTTTATTATTTTTATAAATAACAAATATTTCACAGCTATTCAATTATTTACCAATTTTTTTGTAAATTTATTTGCAATAATTCCATTATTTTCAAAAATATTCAATTTATTTTCACAGAGATTCAATTATTTTTATAAATATTAAAGAACTTTTTCAAAAATCATTAAAAATAATAAATTTATGGAAGATGTTTAGTTAAAAACACGAAAAAAATTCAATTTTGTAAAAGTTAGAAATTATTGCAAAAATTCAATTATTTTCAAGAATAATAATATTCTTCGCAAAAATTAAATATTGTTCAAAAGTAATAAAATTCTTCTCAATTATTTTCACAAATAATAAAACTCATTGCTGAATTTCAATTATTTTTAATACAATTTGAATCGAATTTCTCGAAAAATGTAATTATTCTTAAAAATTTTATTAAAATTCGTTGATAGAATTGAATTATTTGAAAATTTTTGTTGATAACGATTCTTTATGGGAATTGAATTTTAAGAAACATTCAATTATTCAATAAATTACTTATTTTTGTATTTAAATAATTGAATTGTCGAATTTTCTAATTATAATTGATTCAAATATGAATTTCAGTTAAAATTGTAGATAATTGAATTTTGATCTTTGAATGTTTGAATTTTTTCATACTTTTAACTGAAAGTTGTGTAGATTTAATTTTTTTGAAAAAGTTCAATTAAATTTTTTTTTTTATTTGAAGTTTTTATTTTTTAATATTTGATTGAAGAATTTTAAAAACCTGGAAAAATTCCGTTTTTTAACCTGGAAAACCTGGAAATGTCAGAGAATTTAAAATGAGCAAAAGCGTGGCAACCCTGCAATGATTTTCAATACATTAATTTTAAAAGTTGAAGACATTCAAATTTATTTCTTTTCTGTTAAATAGTTTTTTATTCTTTCTTTATTGTTAAATATTTATTTAATAGGTGAAATAAATTTTTATTCTGCTAATATTGGAAAATTAATTTTTGAAAATATCTCAAATTTCTGCAGATAATTCAAACGAGTGAGTCAGTTTTGCACGACGACAATGACGACGAACTGTCACGCATTCGCAAGAAGGTAAAGAAGAAGAAAAAAAGCATTGACAAACTGCACTTACCAACGAATCACGAGCAAGAAATATTCTCTCAATCAGTGACAGAGGACTCGAATAGTAATATCGAGAGCAGAGAAGACGAGGAAGAACAGAGGCCAATTCAAAAATTCAAAGTCGAAGCCTGCAACAGTGTTGGCGATTTTTCTACACTTTGGATAAAAACATCGCCCGAAATCGAGGCAAAAACAGGCGAACAATTTAGAGAAAGTGTCCGACTTCCAGCACCTAAAAGACTACCAGTCAGCAATTTAGAAACCGAGGCGAAAATTGTCTTACCAATTCCAAAGACTTACATTAAGGACAATTCGAGAAATAGCGTTTATTTGACGGTGAAAAAAGCCGATAATAATTCATCGCAGAACATTAATCAGTCCAAGATATCGAATCATACTAGCGCAACAACGATCATTGATCATCATGAATCGAAACTTGCCAAGATCGATTCTAAAGATACATGCGACACTCCTCTAGAGGTCAAAAACATTTCTGATACCTTGGCCGTCAGTTCTGCGCCTAATGTGCGGAAGTCTCTCAACACGGATGCAAAAGATAATTTCCGCAACACTTCTCTAGAAACCGAGACGAAAACTAGTAATAATACTTTGAAGACTGACAGTTTGTCAAACGAAGTTGAGAAATTGGAAAAAATCCCCGCAGATAAACAACAAGAACAATCGACTGACGAGAAACCAAAGGAACTTGAAATTTCAAAACCAAAACAGGATTTTCACCAAAAAGTAGACAAAGAAGATAAACCCCAAGAATTAATAGTTTCATCGAAAGACAAAGTATTCTCGAAAGAGAACAACACACCTAGATTAGAGTCGCCAATTAGGGCGAAGCTCGCCTCTAAAGATAGAACATTAAAAAGTCACCCAGAGGGGGTGTCATCACTATCGAACGAAATACCAACCGATGGAATAAAATCACCAGTGCTTTCGACAAATGACCCATCATTCTCAAAGGAGACAACAACAAGTTTACAACTCCAGGAAAAATCGCGAATCCCCTCCAAAAAACCAGTCGTCAAATCCAAGTTCACCTTCAATCGTAAGGAAAACGAACCAAAGGGAAAACCAAGAGAATTTTTGAAAATACCCGAAAAACAAGAAACATCACCATCCGATGAAGTGACACCGACAAACGAAATTCCCACCGAACGTGAAAGTGATAAAGAAGAAACAAATTCGGAAATCGATTTTTGGAGTGAAATCAAATCGGCAAAAATGGAGATAAAACGACCCGAACCATTGGATTTGAGTCGAGTACGTGAATCACTGAAATCATTCGACAGTCCATCGGCGTCCCTTCCAACTTCTGGTGTATCAACCCCATTATCAGAGATTTCACAAACAAATCTCTCCTCCGATGGATTCCCATTGTCAACCGACACATCAATTCTCGACGATGACGATGGTTTGGCAACGCCAACAAACGAATCCATCACTACAATTACCAAATGGAACAAGCAGGATAATCTCTCAAATCTCACGGATTTGGAAAAGGATTTATCGACCCTTCCATCGAAGAAAATAATTAGCAGCACCACAAGCAGTCCCGCCGATTCGAAAAAGAAGAAGAAGAAAATCGTCAAACGGAAAAAATCCAAAAACGATAAAAATGATACGGACAGTGTTAAGAGTTCGACGAAATTATCGAAAAAGAAGAACTTCACTCCTGATTCAACGATGAAAATGTCAAATGCACGCTCATCGCCTCGTGATGCGCCATGTCGTCCATCGGATCTCATGAGAATATTCTACACAACGCCGAGGCAATTAATGACAGCGACACCGCGCGATTTACGTAAAGTGAGACGAGTAAAAGTTAAAAAGCGTAAACCACCGCCTAGAAATTCATCAATTAGCAGTGACAGTACGGGAAGTACGACAAGTACTCAGAGTACAAATACAAGTGCAGAGGATGGATGTAATTCGATGGATGAATTGGAACAGAAAAGAATGGCTTCAACGCGAAGCAATGATTCTGGATTTGACGGTTCGCCAAGACTATCGAGTACTTATTTCTTTTTTTAAATTTCACTTTTTCCTTTTTGTGTTCCTTTTTTTTTTGCATCAGCATGAGAATTTAATGGTTGGTTTTTATTCGTCTTTTTCTTCTTCTTCCTCTTCTTCTTTAACATGCAGCTTTCGGCAAAACAGAAATAAATTTTTTCCTCACTGAAAAACAAATTTAAAACTGTTTTTAAAAAAGTAGAAAAACAAAAACGGAAAATGTATATAAAAACATTTTAATTCATATGGATTTAAAAATAAAATAGAATATTCTCGAACAAAAGAGTGTGATCTCTTTTGTTTTAATTTTAATAACGACTTAAAAATAACATAGAATATTCTCGAACAAAACAATTCTTTTGTTCTAAAATTTGGTCTTTTAATATTAAAACGAAATTTTATTAGAATTTTTGCCTAAAAAAAAAATTTTTCAGACAAAAATTACAGAGTAAAAAACAATTCTTTTGTTCTAAAATTTGGTCTTTTAATATTAAAACGAAATTTTATTAGAATTTTTGTCTAAAAAATATTTTTCAGACAAAAATTACAGAGTAAAAAACAATTCTTTTGTTCTAGAATACTTATTGGTCTTTTAATATTAAAACGAAATTTTATTAGAATTTTTCTCTAAAAAATATTTTTCAGACAAAAATTACAGAGTAAATACAATTATTCTTTTGTTCTAGAATTTGGTCTTTTAATATTAAAACGGAATTTTATTAGAATTTTGTCTAAAAAATATTTTTCAGACAAAAATTACAGAGTAATTAAAAATAATTTCAAGAAAAAGAAGAGAAATATTCTTTAATATTGACAAAATGGTTTTATTTTCATACAATATTTTTTGCAAAAGAAATTTACGAAGAAAAATTACAAGAACGACGGAAAAATATTTCTTTGTAAAAAATATTTTTCTTACAAAAAAGAAAAATTATTAAAAAAAAAAATTTAATTTAATATTCAGAACAAAAGAAATAGTAAAAGGGAATATTATTAAAATTTGTGGAAATAGAATTTTTTCTAGAAAAAAATTACTTTGAAGTCAAGAAATAATTTCAGAAAAAAAAATTTTATTCTCATTTCCAAATTGGTTTGATTTTCAAAGAATAATTTCTTGCAAAAAAAGTTTGCGAAGGGAAATTTTATAAGATCGATTGAAAAATATTTTTTTGTAAAAAATATTTTGTTCACCTACCAAAAAGAAAAATAATTTTTAAAAAACAGAGGAACAAACAAAAATGAATAATATTTATGAAAGATTCCATAAGATTTTACTGTTTTTTCAAAATCTTTTACTAATTTTACAAAATAAATAAATAAATAATTTCCCCTGAAAAAAAAATTTTTTTTTTAATTACTTCATGTTTTATAATTCATAGAAAATTAAAAATGAAATTTAGTTTTCAGAACAAAAAAAATTATTTTTCTTTGTTCTGGAGAATTTTTCTTTTTTAAATTAAAAATTCTTCTTTAAAAAAATAGTAGAACGGAATATTATTAAAATGTTTAGAGAAAGAAATATTTTTCTAGAAAAAAATTTAAATTAATATGAAGTCAAGAAATAATTTCAGAAAAAGGGGAACTATTTTGTAATACTGACAAAATGATTTGATTTCCAAAGAATATTTTTTTCAAACAAAGTTTTCGAAGAAAAATTACAAGAATGACTAAAAAAATTTTTTTACAAAATAGAAAATTTTTTTTTAAAAACAGAGGAAGCAACAAACAAAAATGAATAATATTCATGAAAAATCCCATAAGATTCCGTTTTTTTCATATGAAATTCAAGATAAAATTTAATATTCAGAATAAAAGAATAATTTCTTTTGTTCAACAAAAATGAATTATTACTAATTTTTGTTTTTAGGAATATTTCTAAAAACTTCCGTATGATTTGCACTAATTTTGCAAAATTATTAGAATGGAACGATTAATTAGAAAATTTTGATAAAATATATTGAATCGTTTAGAGTTTTTCTTTTAACGAAAAAAGGTAAAAAGTTGCCCGAGAAAAAGTTTCTCACGGAAATATAAATTTTCCCCAAACAAAGTAAAATGTTTACAAAAGTTTTACTTGATTGAACACGTTGAGAAGTGAGAAATAAATTTTGCCACTTATTGTGACTTAAAAGTCTAGTTTCAAATTAATTATTTCAAATTTTGACAGATGCTTGGCACTGAATCACAAAAATGAGAATATCATCACCTATAATTTTTCTATGCTAAAAAAAAAAAATTCATTTACTCATTTTTTTTTCAAATTGAAGAGGATAAAATTTGTAATTAAAATTTTAAAATTAAAAAAATTAAAAAAAGTTCGAGTTTAATGAAATGAAAAAGGTTTAATGGAATTTAAAGAAAAGAAAATCGAAAATTTTTTCTTCCTTTATAAATCGATTGTAATGAGGGATTTATCTGGATTTTCACTTTTGAATGGTTTACGAAGAGTAATAATAATAATTATAAAAGTTTCTTCAACAAACACGGCAATATTTGTATGTCTATCGTTTCTCTAGATATAATCTCTATACAAACATAGTGTCTGCTGTGGGTGTCTTACGAAATGTTTCTGAAAATTGTCCAAGGACGTGAAATTATATGCTTTTAAAATCTGCTGACCGCGACAATATTATAAATAATTAAAATTTTGAAAATATAATTATTATTTATAAAATCTCTCAGGGAAACTGCAGTAAAAAAAGAAGAATGCGTTTTGAGAAAATCTTTCTACTACTTCTTCACTAGATTGGAAATAATTCGTCACTAATTTCAATTCGAAACAATTATTCTTTGTAAAGAAAAAACGATATTTTGAAAAATTATTTTAAAAATATTTGAAAGAAATATTTTTTTTTTATTATTATTTTATATTTTTTTCTATTTCTTTACATTTCTTTCTATAATTTCTAACTAGTAATTTTTTTGTATTTACTAGTATTATTATTATTATTATTATTTTTATTACTATTTTAAATTAATAATCGAAAAATTCAGTTATTTTCACAAATAAAGTTTTCCACAAGAATTCAATTATTTACACAAATAATTTTTCGAAAGAATTCAATTATTAAAGATAAATAAGAAAATTACTCCCGAAAATTCAATTATTTTGAGGTATTTTAATAAAATTCTTTTCAAAATTCAATTATTTTTATAAATAACAATATTCATCACAATAATTCAATAATTATTTTTAAAAGTAATAAATTTCTTCTTGGAAATTCCATTATTTAAAAAAATTCTAATAAATCGTTCGCAAGAATTTAATTATTTTCATAAATAATACATTTTTTTTTTAGGAATTCAATTGAGGCCTTGGATCCAATAACTCGCCCGACGCTCGAACGATTTCCCTATTGGTAGTCAAGACCGTCAAAATAACTAAAAAAGTAAAAGTCGGTAATTTTAATTTTAAAACATACTACCATATAGAGAATAAAAATGCGCAACTTTTTTTTCTTTGAAATTTTTTTGTAGGATTTTTATTTTTAATAATAATGGCCAAAAACTGAATATTTTTTATTCCGTAATTTCATTGAATTTTGGAACATAAATCGTCGTATCTCATACAAATCTGTATGAAATCAATTCAAATTTGGAATACTTACGCATTTGGATCTACCAACGACGATAAGTTGATTAAAATTTGAAAAAAATGTTATTGTTGAGTTATTTGTTAATGCAAATGTGGACCTGTCGGTAAGTGCGATTTCTCAACTTCAGTGAAATAAAGTCTGTGGGGAACTTTCGAGTTGAGAGAACTTCCAGTGACAAATTTGTTAATTAATATCTGAAGAAGTTTTCTGGAAATTTTCAAGCCATTTTGTTAACAATTTTAAGAGATATAATCCTTTTCCGAAAACGTAATTTGCACGTCAGCGCCGTACTCACAGCAGACAGCGCGCCGTGCATGACAACGTTTGGAACAAGTGGAATATTATACTGTCTTGTTTACAAATCTATCGATTTTTGAGGTTAAAAATCAGCCGGCTTTTTTAATTAGTGATTTTTTTATTATATTTATGTTTAAATGTGATTTTTATTGACATTTATACTGAAACAAATCTATTTTCAATTATGTTGAAAAATAATTCTACTGAAAAAGGTAGAAAAAGGTAATGGTAGTAATAAATAAATAAACACTGGAAAGTCAATTTAATTATATCATCAAAGTCACATATAAAAATATTAATGACTAATATTCCTCTATTGATTAATTTACATTTCTATTTGAGATACCGATAATAAAAACAATTAGTCGATTTCTCAGTGATTATCTACAAATTAAAAATAATAAATTTACCATATTTCTAGCTGCTTTCCTTTTGTTGTCTTTCCAAGCACTTTCATCTCTTGACCTTTTTCTACCTTTTTCAATAGAATTATTTTTCAACATAATTGAAAATAGATTTGTTTCAGTATAAATGTCAATAAAAATCACATTTAAACATAAATATAATAAAAAAATCACTAATTAAAAAAGCCGGCTGATTTTTAACCTCAAAAATCGATAGATTTGTAAACAAGACAGTATAATATTCCACTTGTTCCAAACGTTGTCATGCACGGCGCGCTGTCTGCTGTGAGTACGGCGCTGACGTGCAAATTACGTTTTCGGAAAAGGATTATATCTCTTAAAATTGTTAACAAAATGGCTTGAAAATTTCCAGAAAACTTCTTCAGATATTAATTAACAAATTTGTCACTGGAAGTTCTCTCAACTCGAAAGTTCCCCACAGACTTTATTTCACTGAAGTTGAGAAATCGCACTTACCGACAGGTCCACATTTGCATTAACAAATAACTCAACAATAACATTTTTTTCAAATTTTAATCAACTTATCGTCGTTGGTAGATCCAAATGCGTAAGTATTCCAAATTTGAATTGATTTCATACAGATTTGTATGAGATACGACGATTTATGTTCCAAAATTCAATGAAATTACGGAATAAAAAATATTCAGTTTTTGGCCATTATTATTAAAAATAAAAATCCTACAAAAAAATTTCAAAGAAAAAAAAGTTGCGCATTTTTATTCTCTATATGGTAGTATGTTTTAAAATTAAAATTACCGACTTTTACTTTTTTAGTTATTTTGACGGTCTTGACTACCAATAGGGAAATCGTTCGAGCGTCGGGCGAGTTATTGGATCCAAGGCCTCAATTATTTTCAAAAAAATTTAATAAAATTTCCCACAGACATTCAATTATTGCCAAATTTTTGAATAGAATTCTTTGTGAAATTTAATTATCTTTAAAAACTTTTCGCAATTCAATGATTTTCAATATCTACTATTTTCATAAAATTTCCAAACAGAATTCAATTATTTAAAAAATGGTTTGTAAAAATTTTCATAAAAATTCAATTCTTTTCATGAATAATAAAAATTTTTATCAATTCAATTATTTAAATTAGAATTTGCATAAGATTATTCGAAAGAAATGAATTATTTAAAAATTTTTATAAAATTCTTCGCAAGAATTAAATTATTTTTTATAAATATATTTTGAATTCTTTCATGAATAACAAAATTCGTAGCAGAAATTCAATTTATTAGCAGGATAAGAAAAAAGTAAATATTTTTGATGAAAATTAGGAAAATGTCAGGAAAATAAAAAATATAGAATGGAATTGAAGGAGCTTAAAAAATTTTTAATTCAAATATAAAAATTGTTAGGAGAGAAAACATAATAAAAAAATAATATAGATTTCGAAGTAGAATTTTAGATTTAAAAAAAATGGAAAAACATAATTTTATTTTACTTTATTTAAAAAAATAAATATTAAAAATTAATATAGAAAATTTACAAAAAAAAACCCAGAATATATCAAATATTTTTTTTTCTGCAACTTTTATCAAGATTTTTCCAATTTATCTCAATTAGTAAATATTTTGATTTCGTTCCATTCTTGTAATTTTGAAAAATTAGAACAATTCGATTTTTAAAGAGCATAAATTTTTAAATAGCCATTGTCTGTTTTTCTAATTCTTTAAGAAACGAACAAAATTGTAAATACCGAGCTCCTGCGATTTATTCCTTTACTTTTAAAAATAGAAACTGTTATTTGAAAAAAACGAGAGAAACATTTACTAAATTTCAAAATGCTTTTTTTCAAAATTATAAAAAAATGTTTATATAACAAATTTTGTTATAAAATAAAAAAAATTTTTACATTTTTTTATAGAAGAAAAATTATTTTTGTTATGAAAGAAAAATTTTTGCATTTTTTTCTGAATTGAAAATAAAAATTAAATAGATTGTGACATGGCGTGCCATAAGAAGTGTGAAAAATTAACAGGAAATCTTTGTGGATTAAATCAAAAACTTGTTGCCGAAGCTTTACAATCGTTGAAAAGAGGTGAGTTTCTTTTTTAATTATAAGCTAGGTATAGAGAGAAGAAAATATAGTAATTGAATTGCAATCAAAGAGAATGGGAAGTTGACAATTCAAAATCGTAATTGGAGATAGAACTGACGTATATTGCTTACATCGATAGCAGTGGCTTGTGCCAATTTCCTTTTTATTTGTCGCCTATTTTTGATTCTCTCTCTCTCTTCCTCTATTGTAATGAGAAATTTTCTGACAAATGAAAATCAGGTACCAAGAAAACAATTATCTTTGATACCTGATTTTTTTACTTTTATTTTTTTATTATTATAATAATTATTATCGTATAAGACCGAGTCTAATAAAAATAAATTATCAAAAAAATATAAATAGAAATTTCACTTTTCTCCTAAGATCAATTTTTATTAAATACTTTTTCATTCGATTAATAATGTTTTGACAGCAAGCACAGGTGTGATAATCGTTTTATTGGGAAAGAGATCAGGAAAAATGGCAATGATTTGTTAAACGGCAGAGAAAACTGCCAATGCCACGTTTCACTAAAAATGACAAATCCGACTTGATTTTACACTCAGTATTTTCTCGGACTCTGTGAAGCTCAAGAGGTTTTCTCTAATTTTACGATAAAATTGTTTTTCTTTATTTTATTTTTTTTAAAAAAGGTTTCCTTTAAAAAGTGCCATTTTTCAAATAATGGAATTTCCTGTTGTTAAAACAGAAACAGGTATGAAAAATTTTAACTACTCGAGATAATAAAAGAATAATTACGAGAAAAAGAGTCATTTGAAATAAAGAAAAAAGAAAATTTGCAATTTATATTCTTTGTAATTTTCATACTCTAATTGTTTCAAGTAGGAATTTCTTTTTAAACGTTTGTATTCAAAAATAAAATGAAATAATTTTCTTTTCTTGGAAATTTTAACCAATATTTGATTAATTAAATTTTAATGCTTATTTTGATATTTTTATTAGTGTTATTCGAGTAGTTAAAATTTCACACAGATGGTCCATATTACGTCAAGGTCGGAAGGCGATCCTTTGTGAGAAGACGTCTTCGAGCTTTCGGCGATCCTTTCCCACCAAGTGAGCATTCACGACTATCACACTTTTTTACTTTTCAAAACATTTTTTTTCCATAAGTAATATTTTATTAATTATTATTTTATTAATTTTTATATTTATTTTTATTATTAAAACAATTCTATTTTTTTATTATTAAACAAAGTTTATTTAATTTATAAATAAGAAAACTTTTCAAAAGCCAGAAAATGACTATTTTTACCAAAAAATTAAAAAAAATACTTTTACTAAACAATCTAGTAAAAAATATTTTAGTACTAAAATATCAAAATTATTCAGAGATAATTTCAGTAGGAAAGAGAAAAAGAGAGTGATAATTCTTTTCATGTTGCAACGAAATTAGAAAATTAAATTTAGAAATTTAAATCTCTTCAATTGGCTATTAAGAAATAATAGAAGTTTAAAGAAGAACGTGACTCATTTCCGAAAATAAACAAAACGGAAAAAAAAAGAATTGCATTCTTAATGATCAAAGTATGAGGGTGCATGGTGCTAAATTGACCTTGAAAAATGTGATAATCTTCCGCATTCACTTATGATAACACCTGCCATTAATCAATCAATTATGCCACGTGTACTGAAACCCATCGTTTTGATTTGCTTGGTACTTACGTATATGTCAATGGACGCCAAGTCTATTTTTGAAAAATGTCACAGGGCCAAAAGTCCTCTCTATAGGTATAGTTCCATTAAACGTATAATGCCAGCTTGAAAACGAATATTTTTTTCTGACAATTAATACACGACTTGCAATGTGCACCACATGAATTTTGTGGATTCCCTTTAATTCGATAAGGAATATCTGAAAAATAAATTTTCCATTATTTACTAATTTTTTCAAACGTAATAATATTTCAAAATTCATAAATTTTAATTATTAATTCTTAATTCTTAATTTCAATTTCAGTATTTCAATAAAATTTCGTTCAACAAATTTAGGAAATTAAAATTTCAAATAATTTTCAATAGTGCAAATTTAATAATAATATTTTTAATGATTAATTACATTCAAATTAAGAAATTTCTTGGACGACTTCCAATATGCCAATTGTAATTTAAATTATCTTGAGAATTAATTTTAAAAAAGATTTTATCCACTATTTTAATTACTCTTCACTTAGCACGTGATTAATAATTCCCATGACAATTCAATTTTCATTTTTCGCAATTAAAGGAAAAGGAAAATTTTAAAATTGAAGAATCTAATATTTATCCAACGGTTAAAATGTAATAATTTCAATTTATTGATTTTATTCATGAAAAAATAAACATTTTTAATTAGTTTTGAAATTTAAAATCCACAAGTTTCGAACTTTCAAATGAAGGAAATATTTTCTAACATATTTTTTTATTAATTCAATATTTTTGGAAACCATAAAATTATATAAATATATAAATATAAATTATATAAATATTTTTTTATTACAAGTATTCCATAAAAACTATATTCTTACAAATTATTGATTGTAATAAACGTTAAATACTTAAATTTTCATCTAACTATTAAAATATAATAACTTTGTTTACGAAAAAATAAATATATTTTATATTAAAAAAAAATAAAAAAATAAAATAAAACTATTCTTATGAATTATTGATTGCAATAAAAGTTAATTACTTAAATGTAGCATTTAGAAAATAAATCATTTTTTTTTTAAAGTCACGCAAAATTATTGTAATAAAATTTTAATTTGAAGAATCCTAAATAGATAAATTTCGTTAATTTGAAAGTTCAGAAATTAACTAAATCTAAATACTAATTTTCGTTATATTTAAAAAAATTTTGTAAAAATAAGAATTTTTACTCTTTCTAAAAAATAGTGTTTAAATTCATTTTTTTAAGTTATAAAAAATTTTATAAACTTTTCGAAGAAATTTTTATAGAAACATTTTTTTATAGACAAATTTTTGGAAAAATAGTAAAAAACTACAAAAGAAGTAAAATTTGTAAAACTTGTTTCTTTCTTTTGAAATTGTATTCGAATTATTTTTTCTATCTAAAAATTATTTATTCTTAATTCTTTATTTTATTTAATAGTAAATTTAAAAACTGACTAAAATTGACAAATGACAATTAGTAAAAATTTCATTTCTCCTTCTTTCTAGAAAATTTTTCTTTAGATTTCTGCCTTTAGCTTGTACCATGCAATTGCATTCAACTTTCAGCGCCTCATTTAATAAAGTGTTAAACAAAAAATATTTTTAGAATCGGCAATGCTCCATCTTGCGTTTGAAGCAATGCAATTACTCACTTGTCACTCTATTCCTCTTCTCAGACTTGTGATTGTAGTTTAGTACTTCCTCATGGACCTACCATTCTCTCGAGTACAATGACTTGACTTTCGTTCGTAGCCTTTAAAATCGAGAATTCATTTTCTAGGTCAATTCACCAACAATAGTTTACAATAATTCTCCTCTCAATGATGCCAAATGTCACGATAAACGTAAAATTCTCTCCGTAAATTGTTTACGTCATCTAGAAGAAGAAGAAAAAGCACATTTTTCAATTAGATCCACCAAAGAAAAAGTTATTTCAAAAAATTGAACTTTGAAAAGCTAAATTAAAAAAAATAGTAATTAAGAAATTTTTAAAATATCTTTTCTTAATTATAAAGTTAGAAATTATATTAAGAAGTAAAATAAATTATAATATTATAATTTAATGTAAATAATTAACTATTTTAATTTTTAATAGTTAATTTGTTTGCTTTTTATGTTGTTTTTTATCTTCTAACTGTGTGAGATATGAATTGATTTTAATTTATTTTTTTAATGCTATTCTGTAAGTTTATTAAAATGATTTCATTTTCTTTTAACAGCTCCATCCCAATCGTTAGAAAATCACAGTTCTGACAATTTTCACACGAGCGGACGAATTACACCACCAGCCACAAATTTGCCGAGATTTAAAAAATACGCAGTGACAGACTTCAATTTCTTAAAGGTTCAGTTATTACTTTTACAATATTGATCCAAGAATTTAAAATATTCAAAGAAAAATTAAGAAAATAGTAAATTTAATTAAAATTGCAATTTTATGAAACAGGGCTCGAATCAGTGAAAGTATTTAAAAATACGTACTTTATGGACCAAAAATAAAAATTTATGGGCCATTTACGGACCAATTACTGACAAAAATATAACCACGATCCAAGAATTTGTAACTAAAATTCTTCTAAATCAATTATTTTTAATAATTTTCGAAAAAGTTTTTTGACAATTCTCAAATTCATTTTTTTACAATATTCAATTTTACGAAATTTCAATTAGGTATTCGTAAATAAATTCTTCAATTAAATAAATATTAGAAAATAAAAACTTAAAATAAAATAAAATAATTTCGATTAAGCTTTTTGAAAAAAATTAATTCCATAGAATTTTAATTATAAAAGTATGAAAAATTAAAATTTTAATTTAAAACCTTTACAAAATTAAATTATTTCTAAAAATTGCAATTATTATTAGTAACATCTCTAAAAGTCAATTGTTATCTAAAACTTTAATAAATTAATTTTCCAATCAATTTTTATTAGAAAATTCTACGAGAATTCAATTATACATAATTTTATCAACAAAATTTTTAAATAATCGAATTCTTTCGACTCATTTTAATAATAGTTTTCAGAATTAATACATTTTTCGAAGAATTCGATCAAAATTGTATTAAAAATAAATGAAATTCTGCAATGAGTTTTATTATTTATGCAAATAATTGAATTATTGCGGAGAATTTTATAAAAAAGTTTCAAACAATTAATTTTTTCTGAAAAACTTTTTGCAAATTTTATTCTTAATCATTGAATTTATGTAAAATTTTCATTATTTTAGAAAATAATTGAATATTCGTGTAGAACTTTGTCAAAATTGTTTTTAAATAATTGAATTCTTTAGGGGAATTTTATTAAACTAATAAATATATAAAAATTATTGAATTAAAAAAAATTTGAAAATAATTGAAATTTTGCAATGAATTTTATTAAAATTTTTGATAATAATTGTATTTTATTAAAATTTTTGAAAATAATGTATTTTATTACTTTTGAAAATAATTAAATTCTTGTGATGAATTTTGTTATTTATGAAAATAATTGACTTCCTCCAAATGATTTTATTATTTATGGAAATAATTAAATTCCTGAAAATAATTTTAAAATTTATGAAAATAATTTAACTACTGCGAAGAATTTAATTAATAATATCAAAATGTTTGTTTAATCTTTAATAATTGAATTCTTTTGAGAAATTTGTTTAAAATAGTAAAATATTGAAAATAATTAAAATTTTTGAAAATAATTGAATTTTGCAATGAATTTTATTAAAATTTCTGAAAATAATTTAATTTTGTCGAAGAATTTTATTATTCATGATAAAGATAATTAAAATGATCACAATTTTTTTAGATCTTTTGAAAATAATTGAATTTTTGCGAAGAATTTTATTAATTTTGAAAATAATTGAATTTCTGCAATATTTTGTAATTTCTACAAAATTAAATTTTTTTTTAAGTGTTTTCAACTAAAATTCTTCTATAAATTCATTATTTTTAATAATTTTTGAAAGAGTTCTTTGAGAATTTTCAAATTCATTTGTTTACAATTCAATTTCACTTTCAATTATTTGGAAATTCTTCAATTAAATGTATTAGAAAATAAAACTTTCAAAAAAATAATTTCAAGTAAAATAATTGAAACAAACTTTTTTAAAAAAAACCATTCTTCCACAGAATTGTTAGTTAAAAGTATGAGAAATTAAAATTTTTAAAGATTTTAATAATTATGAAACCTTTTCAAAATTCAATTTTTTCTAAAAATTCACACTATAATGCTTTTAATATTCAATTTTTATCTAAAATTTGAAGTAAAATTTATTTTTAATTCAATTATTTAAATAAAAAAAGTAATTTATTGAATAATTGAATTTTTTTAAAGAATTTTATCAACAAATTTTTAAATAATTGAATTCTTTCGACGAATTTTAATAAAAGTTTTAAAAATAATTACATTTTTTTAGAAATTCCGTTAAAATTGTATTAAAATTCAGCATTGAGTTTTATTATTTATAAAAATAATTGAATTCCTAAAAAGAATTTTTTTTACGAAAATAATTGAATCCCTGTAAAAATATTATTATTTATGAAAATAATTGAATTATTTAGAAAAAAATATATAAAAAATTTGTAAATAATTGAATTCCTGTGGATTTTTTATTATTTTATGGAAATAATTAAATGTTTGCGTAGAATTTTATTAAAAATTGTTTTTAAATAATTGAATTTTTTTGGAAAATTTTATTAAAATAGCAAATATTAAAAATCATTGAATTGAGGAAAATTTTTGAAAATAATTGAAATTTTGTCTAAGAATTTTATTAAAATTTGTGAAAATAATTGAAATTTTGACTAGCATTTTTTTTATTTTTGAACATAATTGAATTTCTTTGAAGAATTTTATTATTTTTGAAAATAATTGAATTTCTACAATCATTTGTAACTTGAAGCAAATTTACGGACCTAGTTCGAGCCCTGTATATGAAATTAAAATATTCAAAAATTAGTTAAGTAAATTGAATTAAAATTGTATAAATTGAAAATAAGGGAAACAAAAATACTTTCAGGTCTTGGGCAAAGGAAGCTTTGGAAAAGTATTGCTGGCGGAATTACGTGGAACAGAATGCATCTACGCGGTGAAATGTTTAAAGAAGGACGTTGTCCTCGAGGACGATGACGTCGAGTGTACTCTAATTGAGAGAAAAGTACTGACATTAGCCACCAGGCATCCATATCTTTGCCATTTATTTTGCACCTTTCAAACGGAATCACATCTTTTCTTTGTCATGGAATATTTGAATGGTGGCGATTTAATGTTTCATATTCAAAAATCGGGACGATTCTCCGAAGCGCGGGCACGATTTTACGCTGCTGAAATTTGGTCTGGTCTTAATTTCCTCCATAAAAAAGGCATCGTCTATCGTGACCTTAAACTCGACAATGTTTTACTCGATTTTGAAGGTCATATAAGAATTGCCGACTTTGGAATGTGTAAACTGCAAATTTTCTTGGACAGGACGGCCGATACATTCTGCGGGACACCTGACTATATGGCACCTGAGGTAATTATTATTTATTTGTATATTATAATTCGTGGTAATTTTATAGTTTATGAGTCAATCAAAAAAGATAAAAAAAATTCAGAATTTTCTTATGAATTCTAAAAATTTAATTTTTTTCAGCACTTTTAATAAAAATTCCCGTCTTTTCCCTGAATTCCCTATGTATATTAAAAATTGTTACGTTCTATTATTTTTAAAATTGCTAATTTTATTTTAAATAGTGAGAGAGAAGTCAGCCTAGTAATAATTAAATTCAATTGATTTAAATTTAGTATGATGGTAAATAAAATTCTTTACCTGTGCAGATAATAAAGGGTTTGAAGTACAATCAAGCCGTGGACTGGTGGTCTTTTGGTATTCTCCTTTACGAAATGCTTACGGGACAATCGCCCTTTTCTGGCTGTGATGAGGAAGAATTATTTTGGAGCATTTGCAATGAAAGGCCTTTTATTCCTCGATATTTGTCTCAAGATTCGACGAGCATGTTAATATGCTTATTAGAAAAAGATTCCGGGAAACGACTACCCGCTCATGAAATTGCCGTTCATCCATTCTTTCAGGTGAGATTCTGAATTCTTTTTCTTTCTTTTTCCTACAGGAATAAAAGAAAAATTCAATTAATTTATCTAATAATAATTTTAAAAAACAATCGGAATAAATGATTGTTTCAATTTTATTTTGGATAACAAACATTCAATTTTTTTCTAAACATTCTGATAAAATTCTTTGAAGCAATTCAATTATTCTCATAAATAATAACATTCTCTGCATTAATTCAAATATTTTCATAAATAATACAATTCTTTGGAGGAATTCAATTATTTTTAATACAATTTTAATAACATTTCTCGAAGGAATACAATTATTTTTAAAAATATTAATTAAATTCAATTATTTTCAAAATTTTCAATTATAAAATTATTAAAATAAAACTGCATTATTTTCTCGAAATTTAAAAAAATTCTTCAAAAAAATTTAATTATTTAAAATTCTTTTTAAAAATTCAATTACTTTTAAAACAATTTTTAAAATATTTAATGAAAGAATTAATTTTTTTTTAATTTTTAATAAAATTTCACGAAAGAATTCAATTTTTTTCTTAATTTGTTATAAAATTTTTCAAAAGAATTCAATTATTTTCTAAATTTTAATAAAATTCCTTAAATTAATTAAATTATTTTAGAAAATTGTATAATAAAATTCTAATCTAAAAAATTCTAAAATTCTAATTCTAATTATTTCTAATTAAATAATTATCTAAAAATTTTAATAAAAGTCAATAATTTAATTGTTTAATTTCAATTATTAAGAAACACGATTATTTGAAAAACTTGAATGAAATTGTTCATAAAATTTAATTACTGTCAAAATTTTTAATTAAAATTATTAAAGAAACTCCATTAATTTAAAAAAATTGAAAGAAATTCTTCAAAAGAATTTAATTAGGATTTTAAAAAAATTCTTGTCAAGAATTCAATTATTTTTATAAATAATAAAATTCTTCGGAGAAATTCAATTATTCTGAAATTGTTTTGATAAAATTCTTTGCAAGAATATTCAATTATTTTCATAAATAATAAAATTCTTCGAAGAAATTCAAATATTTTCAAAATTTTTGATAAAATTCTTTGCAAGAATTAAATAATTTTCAATATATATTAATTTTAAAATTGGAAATTACATATTAAAAAAGAAAAATTATGAATACAGGCCGCGGATCGACTTTAAGGTGCAAAAAAAGTCGCTTTAGTCGATTTAAAATAGAAAAAAAGTCAAAAAAGTCGTTTATTTAATAATTCAGTGTTGTCACAAAAATTTTATTTTTTATTCTTCTGATCTTTCACTGATTTCTAAATTAAATTATTTAAAACTTGAATAATTTCGTAAAATAAATATTTAAATACTTCTTGTTTGTTTTTATACGGGAATAAAATTTAAAAAATTTCTATTTAAAACCTTCTGAAATTTAATAACTTCTAAAAATTACAATTTTAATTCTCTCAAAATTCAATTATTTTCTACAATTTTTAATCAAACTTCTTCTCGAAATCAATTATTTTTAATAATTTTCCGAAAGTTCTTAAAGAATTCAATTATTTAAATACAACTTAAAATGTTTTCAGGACCTTAATTTTTGTTAAATAAATCTGTCCCATGTTTTTTAAGTTATTATAATTAATTTTCAAAAAATTATAATAAAGAAATTCTTAAAATTAATTTTTCAAAAATATTTTAAAAATAATTTATAAAAGATAATAGTTTTTCAATTATATAGAATTGAAAAATTTCCAAACAAGTGAAATTTGGTAAATTATATTAAAAAAATAATTGAATTTTTAAAGAATTTTAATTATTAATATAAACGCGATTTCTCCAAAATTTTAATAAATCTAAAATAGTCATATGTTGTTAAAATGTTAAAATTAATTGTAAAAAATTTTAATGTTATTATTTTTCGTATGTATTTGAATTTTTTGAAATTTGTAATTGAAAATATTGAAAATAATTGAATTTTAAAAAATTAGAATGCAAAAAATTCTAAGAATTATTTTTTTCAAAAATATTTTAATATATTTTGAAGATAATTTTCATTAATTACCATTTTTAAATTTACACTTGAAGATATACCATTAAAATTTTTGAGAAATCAATTATTTTCAAAATTTACAATTAAAATTCTTTTAAAGTTTATTTTCAAAAATTTTTATCAAACACTTTGAAAAAAATCAATTATTTTCAATTTAATTTTACAAAATTTCAATTATTGAAACTCTTTTTTATTGTAAATTTTGAAAATTTATTTAGTAATTTATAAAAATAGTTGAATTGTATCGAAGAAATTATTAAAAATTTTAGGAAATAATTTCGAATTTTACGGAAATATTTGAAAATATTTGAATTCTCCCGAGGCGAAAAATCGCATTTTTTGAAAATAGTCGAAAAAAGTTGAAAATGTTATAATATCCGAGGCCTGGATTTAGAAAAATATTTATTTATGAATGAAACGAAAAATATACGAACAATTGAATGAAATAAATTAATTTTACATAATTAAATTAAAAAAATTGAATTCTTCTTAAACAGAAATTATAAAAATACATTAAATTTTCATTACCTTGAAAAATCGAAATGTTTAATAATTAAAAATATTTTCCCACTATTTAGAGTCTAGCGTGGGATAAACTGGAACGAAGACAATTGGAAGCACCGTTTAAACCAGCCGTGGAACATACCCTTGATACGAGATACTTCGATACAGCATTCACGGCAGAACGACCGCGACTCACCGCTGTTCCGGAGGATATCCTCACTTCAATGGATCAGAATGTGTTCAGAGGATTTTCATACACAAATCCAAACGCCACAGACTGAAAAATTCAATAATTCTCTTTAATTAATTGAATAATAGGAAATTGGCATAAATATTAAAGTATTTTTGGATATTTTACATTCGTGATCATTAAAAAACATTTCAAAAATATATATTTAATAAAAATTAAAAATAATAATATATTTATTTAATATGTTAATAAAAAAGTAATATATTATTTAATATGTTAATAAAAAATAATATATTATTTAATATAAAAAAATTAAACTATTGTGAAAATAAATTTTCTCTGTTTAATCTTTAATATAGTTTATAAACTGTCAAGAGTTACAAATTTTTATAAAAATTAGAAAAAAAACGAAGAAGAATTTAAAATCCAACTTCAATTTTTTTTACTACACTTTTTCGATTTTTGAAAATTTCTAAAACTTTTAAAAGAATTCGAAATTCTCCAAGTAAATTCAAGTAAGCTCAAGAGTGTAAAATTCAGTTTTTCAGCTTCCAACAAAGTTATACAGTATTGAGGATTATATTTTCATATTTCTATTGTGAAAAGCACTCGCTCAATTGTACACACTTTTATAAAATAATGGATTTTGTGTTCCGAATGCGAAGTTGGGGGGAAAAAGTAAAAGAATTTCTTAATCGACAAAAATGAAGGAATGGACTGAATTGTAACTTTTATACTACAATGCAATTTTTCTTTTTTTTATACAAAAAAAAAATTGTTGCCTTTTTGTTCAAGCCTTGAAAAAATAATACCTTTTATTTATTTATTTTTTTTTTTTTGTCAAGAGAATATGAGTCGCGATTTTGTGAATGAATGAGTTTTAGAAAGAATTTATTTATCTCTATTGATATAAGTTTTAATGCTGCGATAGTTTTTTTTCGATGAGAATAATTGTACAGAATTTTGTATTCAAGTAAATCGTTGAATATAAATGAGCGAGTGTTCGCTCATAAAAAAAATATAAACTGTTATTTTTTTGTAACCTTCTTTCTAGTTTTTGATTCAAAAAAAAAAACGCAAATTGCGTTGAGGAAAAATTCTAATCATTCACGGTGATATTTTAGAGAAACTAAAAACAATTTAAAGAAACTGAAAACATTTTTTAAAATCAAAACAATATTTAAAGAAATGGAAAAAATATTTTTAAAAACTATTGTTTTTAAATTATTTTTTTTTAAGAAACTGAAAATATTTAAAGAAATTTAAAAAAAGAAAAAAAAGACAAATATTAAAAATAGGTAGAAAATTATTCTTTGGTATAATAAATTAAAAAGCTGAATATTAAAGATTAAATTTTTATAGTGAAATTAAAAAAAAATTTAATTCACCGTAAATGATTATAATTTTCCTTGACGCAACTCGCGAGTTGTCAAAGGCAATTGAGCAGTTATACCAGTGAATTTCCTCCTCTAAATGCTTGTTCTAATTGCGCCACTAAAACCGCCTTCCTCTAACCATCTTTCTCTTCGTTTATCAACCTCTGTTTCATCTCTTCCCTTTGCCCTGTCTCTCCTTAGTCTCTTCCTACACCTATTTTTCCTTTAAATTTGGCTCCACATTACACTCTAACTTTAGATTCGTCAAGGCGTCAGTGAATTACGTCCCCACATCTAAACCACCACCACTGAGAAAACCTGGTCGATTTTCAAGAAATTTCCATTTTCCCCACGCTGAAACAAAAAATTTTTTTCGCAAACATTAAAATGTAAAAAAATACAGAAAGAGAAAAATAAAATAGAAATTCAAAAGAAGCTTTAAAAATAAAAAATAAGAAACTAATCAAGAAGGGTTGCCACAAATATTTAATTTTATTTTTCCCTGATTTCCAGACAAAATTTTTACTTTTTCCCTGACCCTAAAAAATATTCTAATTCAATCTAAAAATTATTAGATACTCAAAAAAATACATTTATTTGCAAATTTCTTTAATTGTAAAATTATTCGAAAACATCAATAACTTCTTTTTTAAATAAATATTTAATCATTATTATTTTTCCGTGGGAATTAAAATTCTTCAAAACATTCAAATTCAAAGCTTTTTGAAATTCAACAACTTATAAGACTCGAAGTGATCGCCTTCTTCATGTTTTGTAATAATTTAAATTATTAGAAAATTTTTCGAAAAAAAGTTAATTATTTACAAAAATCCTAAAAAAATCCTTCGCAAGAATTCAATTATTTTTACAAGTTGTTAATTTCAATTTTTTTTGTTTTAATTGTAAATTCAATTGTTTAAAAAAAATTAAGTAATAATTAATTACAAAATCTATTTTGTATTTATTCACTATAGTAGTAATTCACTATAGTGAATTTCATTCATTTATATTTTTCTGGTTTCAATTATTTTTGTTTCAATTGTAAATTCAATTGTTTTTGTTTAATTTCTAAATTCAGTTGTTTTTGTTTCAATTATAAATTTAATTGTTTTTATTTCAATTCTAAATTCAATTGTTTAAAAAAATTACTAATATCTATATTAATAATAATCATTATATTCACAATTTTTCTTTTAATAATAATAATAAATAATAATAATTTAATAATAATAATTAATAATAATTTCCAATATATATATTGAAAATTATTTAATTCTTGCAAAGAATTTTATCAAAAATTTTGAAAATATTTGAATTTCTTCGAAGAATTTTATTATTTATGAAAATAATTGAATATTCTTGCAAAGAATTTTATCAAAACAATTTCAGAATAATTGAATTTCTCCGAAGATTTTTATTATTTATAAAAATAATTGAATTCTTGACAAGAATTTTATTAAAATTTTTGAAAATCCTAATTAAATACTTTTGAAGAATTTCTTTCAATTTTTTAAACTAATGGAGTTTCTTTAATAATTTTAATTAAAAATTTTGACACTAATTGAATTTTATGAACAATTTCATTCAAGTTTTTCAAATAATCGTGTTTCTTAATAATTGAAATTAAACAATTAAATTATTGAATTTTATTAAAATTTTTAGATAATTATTTAATTCTTCGTAGAATTTTATTATACAATTTTCTAAAATAATTTAATTAATTTAAGGAATTTTATTAAAATATAGAAAATAATTAAATTTCGGAAAAGAATTTTATTATTTATAAAGATACTTGAAATTTTGACAAGAATTTTTTAAAAAAATTTTTATCATAATTGAATTTTTTGCGAAGAATTTTATTACTTTTGAAAATATTTTAATTCTTCCAACGAATTTTATTCAAGATTATAAAAATAATTGAATTCTTGAAAAAAAATTTGTTAAATTTTTTAAAATAACTGAATTCTCGCGACGAATTTTATAAAAATCTTTTTAAATATTTGATATTTTTTGAAAAATTTTATGAAATTTTGTATTTTTAATAATTGAATTCATGTGAAAATTTTATTACTTATGAAAATAATTGAATTATTTCGAAGAAATTTATTAAAAATTTTGTAAATAATTGAATTCCTGTGAAATTTTGTCAAGAATTTTATTAAAATTTTTCTAAAATAATTGAATTTTGGAAAAGAATTTTATTATTTATAAAAATACTAGATATTTTGATAAAATTTTTTTTTTTAATTTTTGAAAATAATTGAATTCTTTCAACGATTATTATTAAAACTTAAAAAAATAATTTAATTTCGGTGAAGAATTTTATTAATTTTTAAATAATTGAATTCTTAAAAAGAACTTTGTTAATTTTTTTTTTAAATAATTGAATTTTTGCGATGAATTTTATAAAAATATTTTTAAATAATTGAATTTCTATAAAAATTTTATTACCTATGAAAATAATTGAATTATTTGGAAGAATTTTATAAAAATTTTGTAAATGATTGAATTCCTGTTAAATTTTGCCAAGAATTTTATCAAAATTTTTAAAAATAATTGAATTTTGAGGAACAATTTTATTATTTATAAAGATAATTGAAATTTTGACAAGAATTTTTAAAAAATTTGTTAACAAAATCGAAATTTTGTGAAGAATTTTTATAACTTTTGAAAATAATTGAATTTCTGGAATCATTTGTAACTTTTCCAAAATTCTAATTTTTTTTAGTATTTTTAACTAAAATTCGTCTATTAATCTAGTATTTATGAAAATTGTAAAAATGGTTCATTAAATAATTTATAAGTCATAATTTTATGATAGTTCTTGTAAAATTAAGTTATTTAAAAAGAAATTATTGTCTGAATTAGAAAAAATTGAAGGTTTTGTATTAAAATTCGTGGTAATTTCATAGTTGACGAGACAAACAAAAAAGCATCAAAATAAGAGTTTTCTCATGAATTTTAAAAATTCAATTTTTTCCAGTACTTTTATAAAAAATTCCTGACTTTTCCCTGATTTCCCTGACTTCCCTGACCTGTGGCAACCCTGATTGTAAATAATCACAATAAAATTATATTTATAAAAAAAATTATAATAAAACTTTTTCATAATAAAATAATAATTTAAATAATTAATCAAAATCAATTTACAAGAATATAAAAATTTTCTCTTCTCGCGATAAATTTTGATTTCTTGCAATAATGTTCATTGACCTATTAATTGAATGAAGGAGTGTTTATAGAATAGAACATTACTTAAGACTAATCTACTTTAGTGTCTCCATTCTAACAGCTCTTAATCAATTGTAATTGATGATTTTTTAAAAAAGAAAATGATTAATTAATATTTTTTCGTTTTTAAAATTGAGAACATCGAGACATTTGATATTTATTATAGTGAAAAGAAAGAAAATTTCGAAATGATGATTCTATTTTTGAGTGTTGCAGTCTCTTTTACGGCACATTATGAGGCGTTCGTGAGACAAGAGACTGTGGATAATTTTCATTTTTCACTTTGCAACGAAAGGCAAATCAAAAAGGAAGTAAAAGCATTTAGTTTGCCGAGTGGACGTAAATAGCAATTAATCCCGAGCAAAATTGCTATAAAGCAATGAATATTGAAGATAAACTTTCCGAACGAGAGAAATATTGTCCGTTCATCAATTTTTAGTTTATTTTTTCTTCTTTTTCCTTTTTTTCTTTATTTTTTTTCTTCTTTCTTTTTCTTTCCTTCTTTTTTTTATTTTTTCTTCTTCTTTCTTTTTTACATCATTTTCCTTTCCTTCTTTTTTTATTTTTTTCTTTTTCGGTTAATTTTTTTTCAGTTTTATTTTTTACGATTTGTAGAATTTATATTTTATACTCATTTTACAACTTATTTATAAATTTTATATTATTTACTATAATTGTATATTTTATTATGTAATTTAATTAGTTTAATTTTTATTTTTATTAATAAAAAAGATTTTATTGGAAGAACATTTTTTTTAGCGTAAACAATTTTTTATTTCATTCATATTTAAACTAAATTTAAATTTGTATAATAAATATAAATTTATATAAATAAAGAAAAAAATAAATTTTGATTTTAGAAATTTTCAAAAAAGAAACTAAAAGAGGAAAATTAAAATAAAAGAATTCTGAAACAATTTTCTACAAAATTGACAAAAAATTTCATCTTTTTAAACAAATGAAAACATTTTTTGTTTAAATTTAATTTAAACGTTTATAATTTGCTAAATTTTGTTAAAATTTTTCCTCGTTTTAAATTACAACAGAAAAAAAATTCATAAGCTGAATAAAAATTACTTTTTTGAAAATAAAGAATCAATATAAAAATTGTTTTTACAAAAAAAAATTAAAAGAAATAAAAACTAATAGAAATAATTTTTCTTTTATAAAAGAAAATAAAACAAAATTATGGAACAATTTTCTACAAAATTCACAAAAAATTTGATATTTTTAAACAAATAGAAATATTTTTTGTTTAAATTTAATTTAAAATTTTTAAATTTGCTAAATTTTTCCTCGTTTTAAATTACAACAAAAAAAACTCCACAAGCTGAATGAAAATTACTTTTTTTGGAAATAAAGAATCGATGAAAATTGTTTTTACATAAAAAAAATTAAAAGAAATAAAAACTAATAGAAATAATTTTTCTTCTATAAAAGAAAATAAAACAAAATTATGAAACAATTTTCTATAAAATTATCAAAAAATTTGATATTTTTAAACAAATAGAAATATTTTTTGTTTAAATTTAATTTAAAATTTTTCCTCGTTTTAAATTACACCAAAAAGAACTCCACAAGCTGAATGAAAATTACTTTTTAGGAAATCGAAAATCGATGAAAATTGTTTCTAGATAAAGAAAAAAAAAATAAAAGAAGGAGAAACTAATAGAAATAATTCTTTTTATATAAAAGAAAATTCCAAAACAATTTTCTATAAAATTGTCAATGAATTGTATCTGTTTAAACAAATAAAATTATAATTATTATTTATAAAACCAAAATTATAATAAAAATTAACTTTAAATTTCTATTTGATTTAAAATTCTGTAATTTGATCAATTTTGGCAAACTTTTTCTCTGTTTTCATTTCAAAAGAAAAAAAATTTGCCAAAATGTAGCAAATTATAAAATTTTCAATTAAATATTAATTTTAAATTAATTTTTATTAAAATTTTTTTTTATTTTCAAAAAAGTAATTTTCATTCAATTTGTGACATTTTTTTTTTTTTTTTTATTTAAAACGAGAAAAAGTCACAAGTTAAAAGAAAATTACTTTTTTGAAAGTCAGGAAAAATTATTTCTCGACAAAGTAGAGAAAAAGAAGAAACGAACAGAAATAATTCTCCTTCTACAAGGGAAAATAAAACGAAATTCAAGCATCAACTTTCTATAAATCATGGTTTGAGAATAAAATTAGCTCCACTTGTGTCGGTCTCGAAAACTTTTAATAAAAGTAGATTACCACGAATAGAAGTGATTTCTTCAACAGAACTACCCATATTGTCCATCAACACTATTATAAACCGAAAAAAGTCTCTCTCAAATTTCGCGAATATATAAATCCATTAAAAACGAAATTCAAAGGCGGAACAAAAAAACCCAAAAAAAAACAGAAATTAAATACAGAAAGATAGAAAAATAAATAGAGAAAAATTTGAAAATTTCATGAAAGTTCCGGTCAATGGACCTCAATATCCCTCTCACAAGTTAATGTTTTTCAACACGCCTATATACTTAGCCTTCAGATTAAATGTTTTAATGAGAAATACAGACATATTTGACGTTTAAAAGCGACCGCGGGGCGCCCGCAGGGCCGCGTACAAAATTTCGCGACTCTCAACATCAAGAAACATGTCCTGTCCTATTAATAGAAAATCACGTCTCACACGCGATCCGTCCCTTAAGACGTGGAGTTATTTTCGCCCCGCGACTCGCTACAATTCTTCGTTCAGTGCTTTTCAAGTTTCGTCGAGAGTAAAGTGCGCGCTTTCCGATTTTCGTGATAGCTTTAAACTTGGAGACAAAAGAGATGTTACAATAAAAATATAAATGACACTTTGAAAAATGCCGAAACTAAAAGTCGACCTTGTTCCACATTCGGATCATATTCCTCTCATTCATTGAATTTTTTCATGTTTTCAAATTTTCAAATTCTAGATAATAAAATTATTGAATATTATTTATTATTTATATATTTATTGAATTAAATTAATATTTATCGGACGTAAATAAATAAGTAAATAAATTTGCAAGGTTTTGGTAATTATTCCAGCAAAAATTGTGAAAGTTAACGAAAAATTGGTCAAGTGTCCGCAATCTAAATTTACGGGTATCATAAAGTCGCGCCTTGCCAAAAAATATTACGATATAAAATTTATATGAAAAAGAAGTGCCAAAAATATTTTCTGTGAAAAAAAATTGAAAAAAAGTGTTAAAGATTTGTTTTGTCCAGATTATTTCGAATATTGAAAATTTGTCGCTTTTTCGCAAACATATTTTTTTTGTCAAGCTAAGAAAAATAAATAAAAATGAATTATTTTGAATTATAAAGAGAAAATTTACCAAATGGCAAAGATGTTCAGTTCACTGCGTTTGGCGACGATGCGCTCGCACAAAAATCGTGCACGTCCAGGTAGTGTTGCAACGTCGGCGAGTTCCGATTCGCCACGCAGCGACGAGCAATATTATCCATCGGGATTCCTCTCCATGGAGGAAATGGAGAACAATCCCTGTCCAATAAGCGTTTCGTCGAAAGTCGCTCAGGTGAGAATTGAAAGAGAGGGCGGCAGTTTGGGAGTGACATTACGTGGCGGTGTTGCGAGAGCATTAATAGTGACGAGTGTCAAATCCGATGGACCTGCCGCAAGGGAAGGAAGAGTTAGACCCGGTGATCGATTGCTCGCCGTCGATGAGACTGAATTGCGAGGTCTCTCATTGGCCGAGGCGCAACGTGCTCTTCGCCGTAGTTCCGATGCTCCCGTTGCATCCCTCACCATTGAATACGACATCGCCAATATGGACGAGGCGAGGGCCGCCACTTCCGGTCCGCTTCTGGTTCAACTCGAGCGAGGACCTTCCGGTGAATTCCTTTTTCTGAAAAATAGAATAAAAAATTGAATTAAAAATACAAAAATAAATAAAATTTAATAACAAAATTAAAAATTTATCTCGCAGGTGAATTAGGACTCACAGTGAGAGAGACTCCAAACGGCGTCTATATTGAGAGTCTTCGGCCAGCGAGTACAGCGGATCGTTGCGGTGCCCTTCAACCAGGCGATCGTCTTCTTGCCGTTGATGACACGACGGTGCAGGACGCAGTGAATGCTGCGAAACTTCTTCGCAATTCATCGGATAATTGTCGATTAGCTCGACTGGAAATTCTGCCGAGACCGCCGAGTTCATCGAATAGAACCATTAAACGCAGGGCACAGGCACAAAAAATCCTCAATCAAACACTCTATATGAAGGAGAATTTAACAATTGTCCTGAGGCCCGATCATCGAGGTTTGGGTCTCGTTCTTAAACTCTCCGAAGATCATCTCAATTACATTGTTGACATTCTCGAACCCGGTGGACCAGCCGAAAGAAGTGGCGTTCTTCTGCCAGGCGATAAAGTCATCGCCATTAATCGACGAATATTACGCGATCTCCCTCCGTCCGAAGTTGCCATTCTTCTCGAATCTTCTCAGGTCTTTTCTTTTTTTTTTCATCAAGATCGAACATTGAATTTAAATTGACAGGGTTGTCACGCTTTTCCTCTTTTCAAATTCCCTGACTTTTCCAGATTAAAAAACAGAATTTTTCCAGGTTTCTAATACGAAAATTATTCGCAAACATCAATAATTTCATTTTTAAATAAATATTCAAACATTATTATTTTTTCACAGAGAAATTAAAATTTTTTAAAATTTCAAATTCAAAAACTTATAAGAATATTATTATAAAACATAAAGATAGCGATCACACGCTTTCTTCATGTTTTACAATAATTAAATTAAACTTGCTACTTTGTTACTGTAACTTCTTCAAAAATTACTTTCATCATTACGATTATTCATTTCTAGAATTTTCAACTAAAATTCTTCAATTTCTTTTAATAATTTTTGAAAAAGTTCTTTGAGAATTTTCAAATTCTTTTGTTTACAATTTAATTTTATGAAATTTCGATTATTCTGACATTCCTCAATTAAATATATTAGAAATTAAAAACTTTAAGTAATTAAAAAAAATTCCATTCAACTTTTTGAAAAAAAATTAATTCTACATAATTCTTAATTAAAAGTATGAAAAGTTCAAATTTTCAAAGATTTTAATTTGAAACAGTTTGAAAATTCAATTATTTCAAAAGATCCACGCTATAATGCTTTCAATATTCAATTATAATCTAAAATTTTAACTGAAATTCATTTTTAAATCAATATTTGTTAGAAAATTTTACAAGAATTCAATTATTTAACTACAAAAATAAATATTTCATTAAATAATTAAATGTTTCTTAAAATTGAATTTTCATACAGAATTTTATCAAAAAAATTTCTAAATAATTTAATTCTCTTGACAAAGTTTAATAAAATTTTTAAGAATAATTTCATTTTTCGAGAAATTTGATGAAAATTGTATTAAAAATAATTGAAATTCTGCCAAGAATTTTATTATACTTTATAAAAATAATTGAATTTCGGAGAGGAATTTTATTTTCTATAAAGATAATTGAAATTTTGACGAGAATTTTTGTAAATTTTTTAACATAATTGGATTTCTGCGAAGAATTATAATACTTTTGGAAAAAATTGAATATTCTTGCAAAGAATTTTATCAAAAAAATTTCAGAATAATTAAATTTTTCCGAAGAATTTTATTATTTTATGAAAATAATTGAATTCTTGACAAGAATTTTATTAAAATTTTTGAAAATCCTAATTAAATTCTTTTGAAGAATTTCTTTCAATTTTTTTTAATTAAAGCAGTTTTTTAATAATTTTAATTAAAAATTTTGACAGTAATTGAATTTTATGAACAATTTCATTCAAGTTTTTCAAATAATCGTGTTTCTTAATAATTGAAATTAAACAATTAAATTTATGAATTTTATTAAAATTTTTAGAAAATGATTTAATTCTTCTCAGAATTGTATTATACAATTTTCAAAAATAATTTAATTAATTTAAGGAATTTTATTAAAATATAGAAAATAATTAAATTCTTTTGAAAAATTTTATAACAAATTTAGAAAAGAATTGAATTATTTCGTGAAATTTTATTGAAAATTATTGAGTTTTTGCAAAGATTTTACTATTTAAAAAAATAATCGAATTGTGAAAGATTTTTTAAAAATTCAAAAAAAATAATTGAATTCTTTCGTGAAATTTTATTAAAAATTTTGAAAAAATTTAAATCTTTCATTAAATATTTTTAAAATTGTATTAAAAGTAATTGAATTTTTAAAAAGAATTTTACAATTTTTTATAAAGATAATTGAATTGTTGCGAAGGATTTAATCAGAATTTTTGGAAATAATTGAATTCTTGAGACGAATTTTATTAAAATTTCTTCTTAAAACTTAAATAATTGAATTCTTTTGTGAAATTTCATTGAAATAGTAGAAATTGAAAATAATTAAATTTTGCTAAAATTTTGAAATTAATTAAATTTCTACGAAGAATTTTATGAAAATTATTTTGAAAAAATTTTTATTGTTACAAAGAATTTTATTATTTATGAAAATAATTCAATTTATTGAAGAAATTAAATTAAAAATGTATTGAAAATAATACCTAAATTGTAATAAATAAATTTTAGCAAAAGTTTTAAAAATAATTGATTTTCTTTGCTGAATTTTAATAAAATTTTTAAGAATAATTTCATTTTTCGAGAAATTTTATGAAAACTGTATTAAAAATAATTCAAATTCTGCCAAGGATTTTATTATAATTTTTGAAAATAATTGAATTTCGGAGAAGAATTTTATCTTTTATAAAGATAATTGAAATTTTGACGAGAATTTTTGTAAATTTTTTAACATAATTGGATTTTTGTGAAGAATTATAATACTTTTGGAAATAATTGAATTCTTGAGACGAATTTTATTAAAATTTCTTCTTAAATAATTGAATTCTTTTGTGAAATTTTATTGACATAGGTAGTAGACATTGAAAATAATTGAATTTTGACAAATTTTTGAAATTAATTAAATTTCTACGAAGAATTTCATGAAAATTATTTTGAAAAAATTTTTATTGTTACAAAGAATTTCATTATTTATGAAAATAATTCAATTTATTGAAGAAATTTAATTAAAAATGTATTGAAAATAATACTTAAATTGTAATAAATAAATTGTAGCAAAATTTTTTATAATATTTGAATTTCTTTGCTGAAGTTTAATAAATTTTTTAAGAATAATTCCATTTTTCGAGGAATTCCATAAAAAATGTATTACAAATTAAAAATAATTGAAATTCTGTGATGAGTTTTATTTTGTATTTATGAAATTTTAGTCAAAAATTAAAAAAATTGATGGCCTGAGAACATAGCTTTGACTCTTAAAAGATTTTTTAAATTTCCAAATACCATAAACTTAATAATAATTACGAGCCAAAAATTTTTTCTTCCGTAGAGATTTTTATACGGCGATGACACAAAATTTTTTCAATTTTAAATTAAAATTTTGTTAAAAATCTTTAAAAACAGGCGAAATTTCAGAAATTTTTTTAAATTCCATTCTATTTCCAAGTTTTTTATACCCTTTTCTAAATTCCATACCTTTTCCAGGTTTTCCAGGCTCTGTGGCAACCATGATTGACCAAATTTATCCAGAATTTAATTCGTTGATCTAAAAAAAAGAAAGAAAAACAAAATTATTGAATAGAAAAAAGAAACTCGTTGATCAAAAAACGAGAAATAAAAATATTAATTAGAAAAAAAATTTACAGAAAATTAGGAAATTTCTTCTAGAAATATGTTTTTGAAATGCCAATTTTTTCTTTCCAGGTTGAATTGGTGACGGAATATAAAGTTGGAGGCGCAGTGGTACCAAGTTCGGGAATATTTATGGTTAGAGTTGCGAGACCATCTGGATGTCAGCCAGATTTGGGTCTCACTGTAAATGAGGATTTGGAAATTGCCGAAGTCCGCCGAGGATCATTATCATATCGCACTGGAAGTTTATCGCCAGGCGATCGACTATTGGCAATCGATGGTCAAAAATTAGACCCGGGCGATCTTCGCGAAGCTGCTCAATTACTCCATCGACCTGGGAATTCCGTAGTCGGTCTCACGGTTCGCAAACCGGATCTAGTCTCAGATACAAGGTAATTTCTTCAGTCGAACTAGTAAATAAAATAAATAATAGTAAATATCGAAACTTTTGGTTAATTGAAAATTGAAAAAAAATTCAAAAGGGAATCGAGTATAGCCGGAGATTCCATACAACAATATCCAAATGGTATTTTGCGTTCCGCGAGGGAGAGTTTGCCGAGTGTCGACAGCGCCGTCGATTCCTGGGGCGAAATCGGAGAAGTTTGTGGACCGGAAATATTAAGACTCTGGGACACGACGTCAATTGACAGTGGTCAATTAGAACTGCCAATGCCTTCTTATCAAAGGTAAATTTCCCTTCATCGAAGTCTTTACTTTTTTTTGCCAAAATTCTTGCATTTGAAAATAATTTTCGAAAACAGTTCGAGTCCAGACACACGTGACCAACAGATAGTGCACGTCTCCCTGCACAAGGATCCAGTTTACGAGGACTTTGGCTTCTCCGTGTCCGATGGCGTTTACGAGCGTGGCGTCTATATAAATCGCTTGCGACCAGGTGGCCCTTGCGATGGAATTTTAAAACCCTACGATCGCATTCTCCGTGTAAACGATTCAAGTACCGAAGATTACGATTGCTGTCTGGCGGTTCCACTTATTGCGGCAGCTGGTTCACGTTTGGATCTCACAGTAGCGAGACCAAATCTCGATAATGTCAACAAGACTCTATAAAAAGAAAATTAATCCATTTCAATTAAAACAAGTCTTAATTTTGGTTTTATTTTTGTACACATGCGTTTATTTATAAAAATATATGTATAATACATTATTTTTACCTAAAACACTTTCTCCCGCATTCTATTCACATGCATACAAAATGAATGCCCTAATTTTACATAAACTCTGTACAAACAAAAAATTCTCTAAAAGTCTTGGCGTTTCTTCAATTTTCAGAGAGAGAACAAAATTTGCAGTTCATAATTTCTTTATAATCTTTATATTTCATCTATCAAAATTTGCACCTATGTATAAAATTAACAAATCCGTAAGATTTGCATTAAAATCACTTTTTTCTAAATTAGAATTTTCTACAAAAAAAAAAACGAAAACGAGAAAAATTTTAAATACGATCGTACCAGCGATCATGAAAATCATGAGAATGAATTCGTCATTGCCCGATATTTAAATCGCAGGTCAAATATTCTCCACACAAAAAAAGAGAGAACTAAAATAAATAAAATTAAGTCAAATGTATAAATTCTCGAAATTTTTTTCCCATTTGCAAAATCACCCCATTTTCAGAGTGAAAAAAACTAATTTTCGGGAAAAAACGAGAAAATTCATGACTGTGTCAATCCCTTGAAAAAAAAAAACTAAACAGCATAAAGTCTTTGTAATTCTTTGGCGGTGCCATTAATCATAAAACTATTGTGACCATTGTGATTTAATTTTTGATATTGCGGTAATGTCCTCGAATTATTGTCAGCATATCGCTGATCGTATTTCGCCTTATTGTAGCAAAGTACACCAAATATTGCCAATGTCATTCCAAAGACATTTAAACCAGTCACTGGATTTCCCAATATAAGTAATGTCACTGCGATGACAAATATTCTTTTACTTGCATTCACCACCGCATAAGTTAGAGGCGAGACAATTGATAATACTGAAAAGGCGACAATATTTTGTAACCAATTCAAAACACCGTCGACTGCAAGTAGACCAAAAATTCTTGCATTCATATCGACGGCTGTTCCCGTTTCTGGATTGTGCAGCAAACTCCGAAAATCCGACATTAACCACACTGGAAGAAACATGAATAGTGCTAAACGTCCCAGGACATGAAGAAGACGAAGATGATGAATTCCCGTGTCATGTAGAACCTGAAATAATTCATTTTTTTAAATAAATTAAAAATAAATTTACATTTTTTTATGCAGAAAAATAAAATTTTCAATAAAGTTATTACAGGCTTCACAGTGCCCCTAAAAAGTATTTTAGGGGAAATAGGGGACTGAAAATTAAAAAATAGGGGACTTTTAGGGGACCATAAAAATTGGTTAAATAAAGATAAAAATATAATTTATTTATACAGGGTTGCCACAAAAATTTTATTTTATTTTTCCCTGACCTTTCCCTGATTTTCAAACACAACTTTGACTTATTCCCTGAAACTAAAGAATATTCTGATTCACTCTAAAAATCATTAGATACTCAAAAAAATGTTTTATTAAATTTATTCAAAAGTAAAATTATTCGAAAACATCAATAATTTTATTTAAAATAAATATTTAATTCATTTCTTTATGTTTTATAATAATTAAAGATGATCAACTGCCAAAATCATTAGTTTATTATTATAAGAATATTGTTACTGTAATTTCTTCAAAATTATTTATATCATTTCAATTCAATTAACATTTTCTAGAATTTTTAACTAAAATTCTACTTTAAATCAATAACATCAATTATTATTCAATTAAACTTTTTCAAAAAAATTAATTCTACAGGATTTTTAGTTAAAAGTACAAAAAACAATAATTTAATTCTACGAGAAATCAATTATTTAAATACAAAAATAAATAATATTGAATGTTTCTTAAAATTTAATTTTTACGAAGAATTGTATTAACAACTTTTGAAAATATTTAATTTCTTTTAAGGAATTTAATTAAAATTTTAATGAGATATTTATTATATTAAAGAATTTTATAACAATTTTTGAAAATATTTGAAAACTTTTTTTGAAGAATTTTTGAATTCATGAGAAGAATTTTATTAAAATTTTTGAAAATAATTGACTTCTTGAGAAGAATTTAAAAAAAAATTTTGACAATAATTTAATTCTTGAGAAGAATTTCCCTATCTATTTATAAAGATAATTTAATTCTTGACGAGAATTTTTAAAAAATTTTGAAAATAATTTAATTTCTGCAAAGTATTTTTTTACTTTTCAAAAGAATTGAATTCTTGTGATGAATATTGATATTTATCAAAATAACTGAATTTTGGAAAAGAATTTTATTAAAATTCCTTAGAATAATTGATTTTATGGAAAGAAATTATGCGATTTTGTTGTTTATCAAGATAATTGAATTCTTTTGCAAAATTACTTAAAAATTTTTGAAAATAATTGATTTTCTGCGACGAATTAAATATTATTTATGAAAACATTTGAATTATTGGAACGAATTTTATTGTTTTATTAAATAATTGAATGTTTCTTAAAATTGAATTCTTTCCTCAAGTTTTAATAAAATTTTTAATAATAATTGCATTTTTCAAGGAATTTATTTAAAATTGTATTAAAAATATTTGAAATTCTGCGATGAAAATAATTGAATTCGTAAATGAAATTTTATTATTTATAAAAATAATTGAATCTTTTCGTAGAATTGTATCAACAAGTTTTTTCTATAATTAAATTTGTTGATAAATTTTATGGAAATAGTAAATATTTAAAAACATTGAATTGCGAAAAACTTTTGAAAATAATTGATATGTTGCAAAGAATTTTATTTAAATTTTCGAAAATAAGGGGAATAGGGGACGTTTAGGGGCCAAAATTGAAAAAATGAAACTTTTAGGGAAATAGGGGCCAGACTGTGAAGCCTATTAAAAAAAATATTAAAACAAATTTAAATTGGTATTTAAATTTGTAATTAAAAATGTAATTAAAAATTCGAAGGATTTTTTGAAAAAATTTGTTTACCTTTTTTGAATAAATGTTTTGTAAGGAGAAGGCCAGCGTCGAAAGTAAGGCGCTAATCAGTCCCAACATGTTGAAACTTATTTCGGTTAGAGTCGCAATTGCAACTCCGCCGACAATTGGCATGAGACTCAAGTAAACCTGCCATGTTTGCTTTTCACGTAGAATTATCCTCGAGAGCAGTACCGAGAAGAACGGCATTGTCGCCTTCACTGGGACAAAGCCAAGTTTCGTTTAAAACCCAGAAGAAAGATTCATTTTAAAGATACATTTTAAAAATAACAAAAATTTTAATGTAGCAAATATTTTACTTATTTCTCTCCTAAAAAATCGTTTGCAACTTAAATAATTTTCAGCACATTAAATACCAAAGAAATTAAATACAAAAATATATTAAGTACTAAAATATTTAATACAAAAGTATATTAAATACATTTTTCTAAAGTTCCAAACGTTCAAATAAACCAAATTTTATTTATTTATTTCTTCTTCAAATTAAATTTTTATCACAACAATTTTGCGTCACAAAAAGAAATAAATCAGTTTTAAAATGTACAATTTAAGTTTTTAACATTTGCAATATGAAAATATATTTTTAAAGAAAAATATTTCGTTTATTTGAACTTTAAAAACTTTTAGAGTATTTAAATAAAAAAAATATATTAAATATAAAAATATATTGAATATTAAATACGAAATTAATTTATTTTCGTAATAAAAAAAAGGAAAGAAAAATAATTTACAGTTTTCAAGAAATTGTTTCTCAGGGAATGAAACAATTTTTTTTAAAAACTGTTTTACGATAAGATAAGAATTTAAAATGCTAATACAAACGTACGATAAAAAAGTACAAAAGTATTTTTCATTTTTATTTACAAATGTTACTTTATTCTTCTTTCAAATTGTTTAATGAAATTTCATCCTGACATTGATATTATTTTCTGTAATATTGATCCCGTCGTAATGAACAAACTTATCGAGAAATTGAAGACTATTCTACTGTTTCATTTTGTCTTTAAATTTTTAAAATACTTTTAAAATCCATTTGAAAAAAAAATATTTAAATAGTAATTGAAATACAATACAAATACAATAGAATAGTATTAAAAAATAAATATAATAAGAAAAGGAAAGTTTATAGCTATGAGAAAATCATTTTCAGGAAAGAAATATAAAAAACTGAAAAAATATTAAGATTAGATTAGAAAATTAGAATAGATAAAAAACTATAAAATATAAAAGGAAGTAATTGAAATTAAAAATAATTTTATATTTTAAGAAAAATTATAAAATCCATAAACTATAGTAATAGTCAAATTGCAGACACGAGATGGTATTTTTTTTTTTTGAAAATAAACCTGAATGTCAGGTGAAAGGACATTGTAACCACGTGGACGTCAGTGCGAGATAAAAAATTGATGTCAAAATTTTTGTACTTACCAGTGTGGGCATAGGATACAGGCACTTTCCAGATGGAGACATGTCCAAATACACTGACGAGAAATTTGCCCAGTGCTAATGGTACAATCAATCGAAAATAATAGCCCCAAGCAATGTCGTTTGAGTATTTTCGTACACCCCAAAGGTTAAAGAATGGCCCCGAGTATATTGTGATTGAGGTTAGTTGAACCATTGTCGCTGTCATTGGATATGGAAATTCCGATAGTAACATTTTCCCAACGACATTATTAGAACTCGATATTATGTACCACAATATACAGAGAAATAATATTGTCAAAATTTGTCGATTTTCCCTTGAATTCTTCATTATTGCACTTGTCACTTATTCATTCACTAATCATTTACTATTTCATCTGTTCACTTATTTTCCACTTCATTTACAATTTTTTCTTCTTCTTCTAATTATATTGTACCGGTATTTGAATACCACGTAATCAGTTTCTTTCGGTGCTTTCGGTTTGTGAAATTCGAGGAAATATTAAGGAGGAAAAATGTACACTTGACATTACCTCTATTCTATCTTTCACCCGCGAGGTCTTTCCCCTCGACTGCCCTCTTTCATTTTAAGAATTTTTCTTTACCGACTGTAGAAAAGGTTAGAAATGAGATTGTCAAACTGTATAGTCAAAAAGGTTAGGTTAGGTTAAACGTGAAGTTGGTTATTTCGGAAATACATAACCTCTCTTGGTGATTAAAAATTATAAAATATTTCTAATTTAAGTTTATAAATATAATTAAATAATGGCTGAAAATCATTATAAATTGAGTTGCACACTTGTTGGGCATAAATTAGACGTGCGATCTTTGACAGTTACTAAGGAAGGAAATATTGTCTCAGCCTCCAGGGACAAAACGGCTCGTCTATGGAAACCAAGCGGGTATTATTGAGTTTTTAATTTTCAAAAAGAATAATAATTACGATCAATAGAAATATGTAATTAGATTCGAATATTTTAATGTTACTCAAACAGGGTTACCACAAAAATTTAATTTTCTTTTTCCCCAACTTTTCCCTGATTTCCAGAGAAAATTTTTGACTTTTTCCCTGACCCTAAAGAATATTCTGATTCACTCTAAAAATGATTAGATACTCAAAAAAAAATGTTTCTATTACATTTATTTACGAATTTCCTTAATTGTAAAATTATTCAAAAACACCAATAACTTCATTTTCAAATAAATATTTAATCATTACTATTTTTTCATGGGAACTAAGATTTTCAAAATTTCTAATTCAAACCTTTTTGAAATTAAACAATTTATAAAAAATTGTTATAAAACATGAAGAAATCGATTACTCCGAGTCTTCGGCTCGGAGCAATCAATGTCTTCATGTTTTATAATAATTAAAGATGACCGAGAGATAAAATCATTAAGAAGATAAAATTAATTAAGAGATAAAATCATTAAGACAATAAGAATATTGTCACTGTAACTTCTTTAAAATTGTTTTCATCATTTTCATATTTCTAAATTAAATTATCCACAATAATTTTTGTTCAATAATAATACATAAATACTTATTTATTTTTCAACCGAAATTAATATTTTGAATAATTTTAATGTAAACATCTTTTTCAAATTAACTATTTCTCAAAATTGATAAAATAACACGTTTAATATTCAATTATAATCTAAAATTATAACTGAAATTCATTTTTAAATAAATTCAATAAAGAAAGTTCTACGAAAATTTAATTATTTCCGTGGAGAATTATATTATTTTTGAAAATAATTAAATTCTTCCAAAGAATGTTATTATTTATGAAAATAATTGAATTTTTGTGAAGAATTTTGTTAAATTACTTAAAAATAATCCAACTCTCTTTGAATGATTTATGAAAATAATTGAATTTATGTGAAAAATTTTATTTTTTATGAGAAAAATTGAATTTCTGTGAGGAATTTTTTTTAAATTTTCGAGAATTCTTGCAACAAATTTTATTAAAATGTGTTTTTGAAGAATTTTTTATTAAAAAATTTTGAAAATAATTTAATTCTTTTCTGATGGAATTAAATTTAAATTATATTTGAAAATAGAATAATTCTTATAAAAAAATTTTATCAAAATTATTTAAAAATATTTTCCTTCAGAGAATTTTATGCAAATTGCAATGATCCACAAGTTTTAAACGTTCAAATGATTGAAAAATTTTTTCATAGAAATATTTTTATAAATTACTGTTCGCAATAAAAATTAAAAACTTAAATTTTACACTTAGAAACTTTAAAAATAATTTTTTTTATAGTGACACAAAATTATTGTAACAATAATTTAAATTGAAGAAGAAATAAATAAATTTCGTTCATTTGAATGTTCAGAACTTTGGAATCGTAAATTGTATTTCAAATAATTGAATTTCTGTAAAAATTTGATTATTTATGAAAATAATTAAATTTTTTGAGAAGAATTTTATTAAAACTTTTTTTAAATTATTGAATTCTTCTGTAAAATTTTATTAAAAGATTTGTTATTGAAAATAATTATTTATTTAATTCTCAACTAAAATTCTTCTTAAAATTGAATTATTTTTAATAATTTCGAAAAAGTTCTTTGATAATTTTCAAATCCATTTGTTAACAATATTCAATTTTACGAAATTTCAATTATTCGTAAATTCTTCAATTAAATAAATATTAGAAAATAAAAACTTAAAATAATATATTAAAAAAATTCAATTAAACTTTTTCAAAAAAATTAATTTCAAAATTCAACTATTTCTCAAAATTTATAAAATAACGCGTTTAATATTTCAATATTATAATCTAAAATTTTAACTGAAATTCATTTTTAAATCCATTCTTACTAGAATTTTCAACAAGAATTTAATTATTGAAATACAAAAATAAATAATTAGTAGAATAATTAATTATTTCAAAAAATTTAATACTTATTATAAAGAATTTTATGACAATTTTTGAAAATAATTGATTTCTTTCAAAGAATTTTAATTAAAATTTTGAAAATAAAATTTAAATTAAAGAAATTTATTTAAAATTGTATTAAAAATAATAAAAATCCTGTAAAGGATTTTATTTTTTTTGAAAATAATTGAATTCTTGCAACGAATTTTATTAATTTTGTTTTAAATAATTGAATTCTATGAAAAATTTTGTTATTTGCAAGCCTCGGATATTATAACATTTTCGACATTCAAAAAATGCGACTTTTTTTGACTTATTTTTAAAAATTACGACTTTTTCGACTTTTCTTCCGAATATTGCAATAATTTTTAGTATAAAATGCAACTTATTTTCGAAATTTACAATTGAAATGAGTTTCAATAAATATTGAAATTTTGTAAAATTTAATTAAAAATAATTGATTTTTTTCAAAGTGTTTGAATTTTAATTGCTAATTTTGAAAATAATTGATTTCTCAAAAATTTTAATGAAAAATCTTCAAGTGTAAATTTAAAAATAGTAGGATTAATTTTGATAAAAATAATTCTTAGAATTTTTGCATATAAACAGATTTATTTGACAAAAATTAAGATCCTGAAAACATTCTAAGTTAATAATTGAATTCTCTAAGAACTTTCGGAAAATTGAGCCGCCGGATCGTAGAAGGGCACGTAAATTTTTCTCGGCCGATTTCTAAGTCCCCTGAGCACTCAAAATTCAACTTCTGAATTTCAATATTTTAAATACACATCCTTATAGAAAATTTCATTCCGCATCTTTTTTTCTTATGAAATTTTTTTCTATCTATTTCCGTTTTCGAAATATTTGGGAAAAACTGTTTTTTTGAAAACTGTAAATTTAATGACATTTTTCACTTCAACTCGCGATATTTTAGACAATTTAAAACATTTTTTAATGAAACAAAAAAAAAAATACGTCTCAAGGTATTCTACGAATAATAAAAAAAGAAAAAAGTGGTTTTCTTTATAAACAAAATTGTTATTAATTTTTTTCTTTATTAATGTAAAAATCACGAACTACAATCTTCACGGCTCTCGTTTAACGGGCGAATTTTGAGTAACAGAGAACTTTCAGTGAGAAAGTTGTTCATTATGATCCAAAAAAGTTTTCTGGAAAATCACAGGGCTAATAATTAATTAGTGTTGAAATGGTAAATGTTTAAAGTTGCTAGCAGCCAAACGTGTAGCACGCGCCACTGGCCATAACCTATGAAACAACACTCCCATGCAACCGTGGCGAGTGACGCATTCTATACGTTTGCTGCTAGCAACTTTAAACATTTACCATTTCAACACTAATTAATTATTAGCCCTGTGATTTTCCAGAAAACTTTTTTGGATCATAATGAACAACTTTCTCACTGAAAGTTCTCTGTTACTCAAAATTCGCCCGTTAAACGAGAGCCGTGAAGATTGTAGTTCGTGATTTTTACATTAATAAAGAAAAAAATTAATAACAATTTTGTTTATAAAGAAAACCACTTTTTTCTTTTTTTATTATTCGTAGAATACCTTAAGACGTATTTTCTTTTTTGTTTCATTAAAAAATGTTTTAAATTGTCTAAAATATCGCGAGTTGAAGTGAAAAATGTCATTAAATTTACAGTTTTCAAAAAAACAGTTTTTCCCAAATATTTCGAAAACGGAAATAGATAGAAAAAAATTTCATAAGAAAAAAAGATGCGGAATGAAATTTTCTATAAGGATGTGTATTTAAAATATTGAAATTCAGAAGTTGAATTTTGAGTGTTCAGGGGACTTAGAAATCGGCCGAGAAAAATTTACGTGCCCTTCTACGATCCGGCGGCTCAATTGTTAAAAAAAAAAATTGATTTCGAGAAGAAGTTTGATTAAAAATTGTAGAAAATAATTGAATTTTAAGAGAATTAAAGTTGTAACTTTTAGAAGTTATTAAATTTCAGAAGGTTTTAAATAGAAATTTTTTTAATTTTATTCCCGTATAAAAATAAACAAAAAGTATTTTTTAAATATTTATTTAACGAAATTATTCAACTAAAGCGACTTTTTTTGCACCTTAAAGTCGATCCGAGGCCTGAATTTGTTAAAATAATTGAATTCTTGGGAAGAATTTTATGAAAATTTAAAAGCATACATAATTTAATTATTTTGAAATTGAATAATTTAATTAAAATTGTATTAAAAATAATTGAATTGAATTTTCACGAAGAATTTTATTAAAATTTTTGATATTAATTTTTATATTTCAACTATAGTGCAAATTTTCAAAAAAAAAAAAAAAAAGAAAAAAAAGTAGCTTTTAGTGTCACAAATTTAAAAAAGTATTCAAATAGTAGCTAATCGTAAAAAAGGTAATAAATAGTAGGTTTTAGTAGACGAGTGCAACGCCTGTAGTAGAATATTAAAAATCATTGAATTAAGAAAAATTTTTGAAAATAATTGAAAGTTTGCCATGAATTTTATTAAATTTTTTGAAAATAATTGAATTCTTGTGATGAATACTATTATTTATGAAAATAATTAAATTTTGCTTTTCATTTATAAAGATAATTGAAATGTTGACGACAAATTTTAAAATTGAAACTAATTTCAACAGAATTTTGAAATTAAAATTTTTCAAAAAATACTTCATTAAATGATTTATAAATTCCTAGTACTTTTAATAAAAATCCCTGATTTCCCTGACCTGTGGCAACCAAAAAAAAAAAAAAAAATAGTAGGGAAATAAAATTAATTAGTTCTTATTAAAATTTGTGAATTAGTTTTCCTCGTCGAAATCTGTATATTTAAAATTATTTCAGAGATGGAAAGACTTATACCGAGGCTGCTGTTTTGAAGGGACATAATAATTTTGTTAGTTCTGTGTGCGTATTGGAAACGACAGAAAAATACGCTTCGGGTGTGGTAATAACCGGGAGTAATGATTCAAATATCTGTCTCTACACACCGGGGGAAAATGAACCATTTTTCACCTTCAAAGCTCATCAGAATACTGTTTGTAATTTGCGAGCCAGCGAAGAAAATGGACACTTTCTCTCGAGTTCTTGGGACATGACGGCAAAATTATGGAACATAAACGACATTACCAATCCAAAGGTGACATTAATTGGTCACACAGCAGCCGTATGGTGTGTGGCAGACTTGAAGAATGCCCTCACAATAATCACCGGTTCTGCCGACAAATTAGTTATAGTTTGGACGAGGAGCGGCACCATAAAACACAAATTAAGTGGTCACACCGACTGTATTCGTGACATTGTTGGAATAAATGACGATGAATTTTTAACTTGCGCAAACGATGCGACTGTTCGTCATTGGAATGCCTCGCAAGGTGTCTGCCTTGGTACCTATGACGGACACACGAATTATATTTACAGTATTTCGGCGACACCCGGCGCCGAAATGATTGTCACCTCCGGCGAGGATCGAAGTGTACGAATTTGGCACAAGGCGAATATCAAGCAAACTATTTATCTACCACCGCAGTCGATTTGGAGTTCGAAAATATTGCCGAACGGCGATATTGTCACGGGTGCTTCGGACGGTGTTCTGAGAATATTCTCAGCGATTCCCGAACGTCAAGCGGATGCTCAAATTTTACAGACATTCGAAGAGGAAGTCGCGAGCGTTCAACTTAACGCTCAACAAGAACTTGGAGGCCTTAAGATTAGTGAGTGAGTACGATCAATAATTACTTGATGGTTATCAAATTTGCGGAGTTTAACAATTTCTTTTTTAAGATGAAAGTAAAAATTTCCTTCTTTTTCACTAGATTACCAGATTCGACTGCATTATTCACACCTGGCGTGAAGGACGGTCAGACAAAAATGGTCCGAGAGGGAAGTAACGTGGTTGTTTATAGTTGGTCAGCCAGTCAACAACAGTGGAAAAAAATTGGCGACGTTATGGGAGCAACCGGTGGAAGTAATGCCACTTCCGGAAAACAACTCTACAATGGAATTGAATACGATTATGTATTTTCGGTGGATATCGAGGAAGGTGCACCGCCTCTCAAATTACCCTACAATATCGGACAGGATCCTTGGCACGTTGCGCAAAAATTCATTCATGATAATGAATTGAGCCAATTATTCTTGGATCAGGTATTTTATTTTTTCCCTCTATTCGATTATTTAAAGCAGACTACTATTTACTACTCTTTTTTACGATTTGCTACTATTTAAGAATTCAATTATTTTCATAAATAATAAAATTCTAAACAGAAATTCAATTATTTTTAAAAATTTCAATAAAACATTTTTCACAAGAATTCAATTATTTCCAGAAATAATGAAATTATTTGCTGAAATTAAATTATCAGGATTTGAATTTTAGAGAAATTACAAATGATTGCAGAAATTCAATTATTTTCAAAAGTAATAAAATTCTTCGAAGAAATTCAATTGTTCAAAATTTTTTTTTAAAATTCTCATCAAAAATTTCAATTATCTTTAGAAATAATTAAATTCTTCTCCGAAATTCAATTATTTTCAAAAATTTTCCTCAATTCAATGATTTTCAATATCGACTATTTTCATGAAATTTTCCAAAAGAATTCAATTATTTATAAAAAAAATTTAATAAAATTCTACACAAACTTTTAAGTATTTTAAAAAAATAATAAAAATTTCACAGGAATTCAATTATTTACAAATTTTTTTTATAAATTTCTTCGGAATCATTCAATTATTTTCAGAAATAATAAAATTTTTACGGGGATTCAATTATTTTCGTACATAATAAAATTCTTTTTAGGAATTCCATTATTTTCGTAAATAATAAAATTCATTGCAGAATTTCAATTATTTTTAATACAATTTCAATCCAATTCCTCGAAAAAATTCTTTAAAATTTTATTAAAATTCGTCAAAAAAATTTAAGTTATTTAAAAATTTATAGATTAAATTCTTTATGAGAATTCAATTTTAAGAAACATGCAATTATTCAATAAATTGTTATTTTTGCATTTGAATAATTGAATTCTAGTAGAATTTTCTCATAAACATTGATTTAAAAATGGATTTCAGTTAAAATTTAATATTTAATTGAATTTTAAAAGCTTTAGAGTGTAAATTTTTAGAAATAATTGAATATTGAGAAGGTTTTAAATTAAAATCTTTGAAAATATGAATTTTTCATACTTTTAACTAAAAATTGTGTAGATTTAATTTTTTTTTAAAAAGTTTAATTGATTTTTTTTAAGTTATTTAAAGTTTTTATTTTCTAATATATATTTGATTGAAGAATTGTAAACAAAAGGATTTGAAAATTTTCAAACAAATTTTTCAAAAATTATTAAAAATAATTAATTTAAAGAAGAATTGTAGTTAAATATTCTGGAAAACAATTATTGAATTGAAGTGATAAAAGTAATTTTGAATAAGTTACAGTAACAATATTCTTATAACATAAAATAATAATTTTATCAGTCAGTCATTTTTAATTATTTATAAAACATGAAAATATCGATTGCTCCGAGTCGAACACTCGGAGTGATCTTATTTTTTTTTGAAATTATTTAAAGTTTTTATTTTCTAATATATATATTTAATTGAAGAATTTTACGAATAATTGAAATTTTGTAAAATTGAATTGTAAACAAATAAATTTGAAAATTCTTAAAGAACTTTTTTAAAAATTATTAAAAATAATGGATTAATAGAAAATGTTTAGTTAAAAATACGAAAAAAAAAATTCAATTTTGTAAAAGTTACAAATTATTGCAAAAATTCAATTATTTTCAAGAGTAATAATGTTCTTCGCAAAAATTAAATATTGTTCAAAAGTAATGAAATTCTTCTCAATTATTTTCACAAATAATAAAACTCATTGAAGAATTTCAATTATTTTTAATACAATTTTAATCGAATTTCTCGAAAAAAGTAATTACTCTAAAAAATTTTATTAAAATTTGTTGATATCGATTCTTTATGGGAATTGAATTTTAAGTCAATTATTCAATAAATTATTTATTTTTGTATTTAAATAATTGAATTCTAGTAGAATTTTTTAATAAAAATTGATTTAAAAATTAATTGTAGTTAAAATTTTAGATAATTGAATATTAAAAGCAATATAGCGTGGATTTTTAAAAATAATTGTATTTTGAAATTAATTTTTTTGAAAAAGTTTAAAATTGAATTTTTTAAATATTATTTTAAGTTTTTATTTTCTAATATTTATTTAATTGAAGAATTTACGAATAATTGAAATTTCGTAAAATTGAATATTGTTAACAAGGATTTGAAAATTATCAAAGAACTTTTTCGAAATTATTAAAAATAATTCAATTTAAAGAAGAATTTTAGGTAAAAATTCTTGAAAATAATAATTGAATTGTAAATGATTTTATCACTCGGTCATCTTTAATTATTATAAAACATGAAGAAATCAAACACTCCAAGTCGAAGACTCGGAGTTATCGATATCTTCATGTTCTATAGTTATGAAAAAGTTAATTTATATTTTTAAGTAAAATGTTCTCTTATTTGACTCGGACTGGTTATATTTTCGTCAGTAATTGGTCCGTAAAGTCCGTAATTCTAATAATTTAATTCTAATCAATTATTTGAATTCCCCAGGTTGCTAACTTCATAGTAAAAAATTCACAATCAGCACCAGTGATGAATGCAACAGCACAATATGCAGATCCATTTACCGGTGGAAGTAGATACATTCCCAGGTCAAATATTCCGAGTACCGAACCAGTAAAAACTCCCACTGCAAGTTCATCAAATTCCTCTGTCACCACAAACTATATACCTAGAGATACATATTTAAAATTGGAACAAGCGAATCTCACCGTAATTTTCGGTAAATATTTCTCCTTCAATAAATATTTCTTCTTTCAAAAAAGGAATTCATCAAATTGATCTTCTTCAAAGAAATCAAATTGTTCTTCTTTTCGAAAAACTGAAACTGATTCCTTATGAAAAAGATTTTAATTCTATTTTTCTTTCTTTCAAAATAATCGTATCTGTTAATTGTTATTAAAAAAATTATTGAATTCTTTAAAACAATTTTATTACAATTTTTAAAAATAACTGAGTCCTTTAGAGAATTTTTATTAAAATTGTATGGAAAATAATTTAATTATTTCGAAACTATTTAAAAATAACTGAATCCTTAAGAGAATTTTTATTAAAATTGGATTGAAAATCATTAAAAGTCCTGCGAAGGATTTTATAAATTTTTAAAAATAATTAAATGGTATCGAATAAATTTATTAACATCTTTGAAAATAATTTAATTGTTTGAAGAAAATCAATCAAAATGGCATTGAAAATACTTTACTATTTATAAACGAACTTTATCCAAATTGTTAAAAATTATCGAATTTTTTGTGGAATTTTATTAAATGTCTTAAAGATAATTGAAATTTTACGAAGAATTTTTATAATTTTTTGAACTGATGCAATTTTTTCAATAAGTTTCATTAAAATTATATTGAAAATAATTGGATTCTTAATAAGAATTTTATTACAATTTTTGAAAATAATGACATTGCTTTGAAGAATTTAATTAAAATTCTATTGAAGACAATTGAATTTTGGAAAATAATTGAATTCTTGCGAACCATTTTATTAGAATTTTGCAAAAAAAAAATTGAATCCTTTCGTGAATTTTTATTAAAATTTTATTGAATATAATTGAATTCTTGCGAAGGATTTTATTCAAGTTTTTGAAAATAATATACAATAATAATTATTTATGCACTTAATAAGTGATTATTTAAATTTTGAATCTGAAATTATTCAAAAATTGAAATTGATACTTGAAAATAAAAAATGTTGGTAATTTGCGTAATAATAATAAATGAAACATCGCGTTTCGCGCCCCAGCGGCGTATCATTTGCTAGTAAATAAATAATAAAATAAATAAATAATGATATTAAATTAATAAATGATAAATAAAAATGTTGTTCTTTCAGATAAACTGAGAGAATTTAATGCGAAACGTGACAGTATGCATCAGACATTACCGGATAAATTGGAATCAGTGGTAAAACTCGCGGGAAACGATGGTATAATACCAGGATCAATAGATGTTTTAAAAGGACTTTTAGATTGGACGAATGACATTGTATTCCCTGCTCTCGATATTGCACGATTGGCCGTTTTACGAAAAGAAGTCAACGATCAATTGTGTAATGAAGATTTAATGGAAGTGGTGAGACGACACATTAATGGCGATTCTCTGCAGTCAAATCAAATGCTTAGCTTTCGATTACTGGCGAATATGTTCAATCATGAGAAGGGCGAGAAATTTGGTCTTGAATATCGAGATGAAATTCTCAAGAATTTATTGAATCTACCCACACTCGGCAACAAAAATACTCAAGTAAGAGAAATCACAAAAATATTTCCACAATTAATCAAAATTTGAATTAAATTTGAATTAAATTTATAATTAAACTAATGATAAATTTATAAATTTTGTTTAGGTTGCAATTGCCACGTACGTATTAAATTTAACAGTGGCATTAAACAAGCATGACGACAAAATTGGCAAAATAAGAGTAATGAATGCAATTTTGTCAATGATATCGCGACTACAGGAGCCAGAGGCAATATTTAGAATTTTAGTTGGACTGGGAACGCTCATCGATGCCACGGTAAATGCAAACGATAGAAATGAACTAATTGAAGCCGTGCGTCAATCGGAAGTTGCCTTAACAATGCTTAGAACATTATCAGAAGACAATGGCGCTGTTAATTCACAAAATAAGCTTGCCAGCTGTTCGAAACAAATTATTAATTTACTTTTTTAAAAAAAAACACACGTGAATTTGCAATGCTTTTTATATATTTTTTATCTACAAATATTCGTATGAAAAAAAAGAAACCATTTGTACAGTTCTTTAATGCTGTAAAACGAAACTTTAAAAATAATTCTGTCACTCATTATTCATTACAAATTTGAAATTTTCAAAATTTCTTTCAATTTTTGTTATTTATATAATAAATTAAATGAAAATAAAATTTTTTGAAATTAACTTATAAAAAAAAATTTATGATGGTAGCAATAAATTATTATTACCTTGACAGGTGACAAATATAAATTTCCACATTTACGATTACTTGACATTTGACTGAATAAATAGTGTAAATAGTTTAAAATTTTGCTGCATTAATTTGAATATTTTATGAAATGTAATTAAATTTAATATTTATTCGCTTAAACTATTTTTTTTTTTTACTATTTATTGTTAAGAGGAAATTGATCATTAAACTCTTACTTTTTACCCTAAATCATTTTAATTAAAATTTGAATTCAAATATATTGAAATTTCAATTCAAATATTTTAATTAAAATTTTAATTTAAATATTCTAATTAAAATTTCAACTCAAATAATTTAATTAAAATTTTAATTTAAATATTTTAATTAGAATTTGAATTCAAGTATTTTAATTAAAATCTATGATTGACAAGTCCTAAATGTAAATTGAATGAAATGCAAAAAAGCAGATATTCGCTAATATAACTTCAGTCTGGAAGTATTTTCAAGATACTCTTCTCAGGAATAGAAGAAAAAAAAGTATAAAAAGCAAACTCGCAAAGTCAAAGAATCGATGAAGAAAGTCTGATTATGTCAGATTTATCGTTCATGAATGAGTTCACTGACGTTTCGTTTAGTTACATAACTTTAGGATTCAATTTGTCATGCCAGACACCTGTTTGAAATTCCCTATTTATATTCAAATTCAATTGGCTACTAATACATTGTTTGAATTAATAAATATAATATAATAATTTCTATTCCTAGCAAATAAACACGACAATTCTAATTTTTAAATCAAAGTAGCAAAAAAAAAAAATTAAATTTAAATTCTTTTCCATAATTTATTTTTATTTATTTATTACACTTTTCCCGCGGTCCCTCGGGACCATAAATTCATAATTAAAAAAAAGATTTAAATTAATAAATTTAACTAGCAAATTTTACGCTCGCGAAACGTGATCTTCAATTTATTATTATTATGCAATTTATAAACAATTTTTATTTTCAAATTAATATGGATTTTTGAATAATTTCAGATTCAAACTTTTAAAAAATCCAATTATTAACCAATTTACTAATTATGTAATTATTCTCGTTCATTAATTTCAAAAATTTTAATAAAATTCTTCGCAAGAATTCAATTATTTTCATAAATAATAACATTCTTCGTAAGAATACAATTATTTTTGAAAATTTTAATAAATCCTTCGAAACAATTCAATTATTTTTTGTAAATAGTAAAATCTTTGCAAAAATTAATTCAATTTTGATTGAATTAATCAAATTGAATTTTTTGATCAATTATTTTCAATTCAATTTAATTATAAAAAATTTCAATAGAATTCAATTATTTTCTAAAATTTTAATAAATTCTTTCGAAAAAATTAAATTTTATTTATATAATAAATAGTAAAATTCTTTGCAAAAATTAAATTATTTTTAATACAAGTTTAATAACGTTTCATGAAAGAATTCAATTTTTTTTTAATTTTTAATAATATTTTTCGAAAAATTCAATTATATTTATAAATAGTAAAATTTCTTGCCAAAATTCAATTGTTTTTTAATTCGGTTGGTATAAATTTCAAGAGAATTCAATTACCTATTTTTTAAAATTTTACTAGAATTCAATAATTAAATGTTTAATTTCAATTGTTAATTATTTTCATGAATACATAATACAACTCATCACAGACTTTCAATTATTTTTAATTTCTAATTCAATTTAATAGAATTCCTCGAAAAATGTAATTATTCTTAAAAATTTTATTCAAATTCAGCAAAGAAATTCAATTACTTTAAAAAATTTTGCTACAATTTATTTATTACAATTTAAGTATTATTTTCAATACATTTTTAATTAAATATCTTCAAAAAATTAAATTATTTTCATAAATAATGAATTTCTTTGTAACAATAAAATTTTTTTCAAAATAATTTTCATAAAATTCTTCGTAGAAATTTAATTAATTTCAAAAATTTGTCAAAATTCAATTATTTTCAATGTCTACTATGTCAATAAAATTTCACAAAAGAATTCAATTATTTAAGGTCATGTTATTCAGTGGTCACGTGCTCCATATACTTCACTATGGGAACACGTGACCACTAAATAACATGACCTTAAGAAGAAATTTTAATAAAATTCGTCTCAAGAATTCAATTATTTCCAAAAGTATTATAATTCTTCACAAAAATCCAATTATGTTAAAAATTTACAAAAATTCTCGTCAAAATTTCAATTATCTTTATAAAAAATAAAATTCCTCTCAGAAATTCAATTAATTTCAAAAATTATAATAAAACTCTTAGCAGAATTTCAATTGTTTTTAATACAATTTTAATGGAATTCCTCGAAGAAAGTTATTCTTAAAAATTTTATTAAAATTCAGCAAAGAAATTCAATTATTTTAAAAGCTTTTGCTACAATTTATTTATTACAATTTAAGTATTATTTCCAATACATTTTTCATTAAATTTCTTCAAAAAATTGAATTATTTTCATGAATAATGAAATTCCTAGTAACAATAAAATTTTCTTCAAAATAATTTTCATAAAATTCTTCGTAGAAATTTAATTAATTTAAAAAATTTGGCAAAATTCAATTATTTTCAATGTCTACTATTTCAATAAAATTTCACAAAAAAATTCAATTATTTAAAAAGAAATTTTAATAAAATTCGTCTCAAGAATTCAATTATTTCCAAAATTATTACAATTCTTCGCAAAAATCCAATTATGTAAAAAAATTTACAAAAATCCTCGTCAAAATTTCAATTATCTTTATAGAAAAAAAATTCCTCTCAGAAATTCAATTAATTTAAAAAATTATAATAAAATTCTTGGCAGAATTTCAATTATTTTTAATACAATTTTCATCTAATTTCTCCAAAAATGAAATTATTCTTAAAAATTTTATTAAAATTTGTCAACAGAATTAAATTACTTAAAAATTTTATTGATAAAATTCTGTGTCTCTTCGACTTGGAGTGGTCGATTTCTGCATGTTTTATAATAATATTCTTATAAGTTATATTGAATTTCAAATTTTTGAAAATTTTAATTTCTATATGAAAAAATAATAATGATTAAATATTTATTTAGAAATGAAGTTATTGATATTTTCGAATAATTTTCGTATTAAAAACCTGGAAAAATACCGTTTTTTAACCTGGAAAACCAGGAAAAGTCAGGGAATTTGATAAGAGCAAAAGCCTGGCAACCCTGATTTAATATTTAAAATTGTAATATTTATAACAATATTTAAAATATACTTTTATTATAAACTTTTTTCTCTTCTAAAATTAATTGAATTAACTAAAAAAAAAAAAAATTTAAATTGATTTTAGAAGAAAATTGTTTAGGAAAAAATTTGATTTAGTTTGAAAAACAAAATAAGTGAAAAAGAACATTTTTATCGAATTTTTCAAATCAAAAGAATACAATTGGCATTCGACAAAATTGAATTGTCAGGTAATTATTTTTGCATACGTGTTTAAAATGCACACGCGCGTAATAATTTACTTTCACTATTCCTCTCTTCAAGATCGTGTGTCAGTGTCGTCTTGCGTGATCAATTGGCAGGAAATCGATCGATTAATTTGTTTATTCAATTGATATATACCCTGATTTTACAATTAAAAAAAAAGGAAGAAGCGTTGATTCAATTTTGTTGATCAAACACTTAATGAATATTATTATATCATCGTGTAACTGAGAGAATAACACATAAATTATCAGTTAAATCAATGTCGCGCATAAACCTCTCTTTTTATACAGTTTTTTTTTCTTTATACAGTTTTTCACTATTTTGTTTCTATCATTAGATTTCCAATAATTTTTTTCTAGTCTATCAATAATTAGAATTTTCTTTACTTATTCTTTTAACTTTTGAATCAAAAATTTACTTTTGGAATATTTTACTTTATACAGAAAAACTGAAATTGATTCTTTATATAAAAGATTTTTCTCCTTTTTTTCTTCATGATAGATAATAAATAAATAATTACTTTTTTCGAAGAATTTTATTTAAATTTTTGAAAATAATTCAATTGTTTTGAGGAATTTCTTTGAATTTTTTTTGAAAATAATGTGTTTTTTAATAACTATAATTGAAAATATTTTATTAAAAATCTTTGAGAGTATTTTTATTGAATTAATTAAAAAAAATTTATTCCAATTTTAGTTTATTGAATATTTTACTTCATTAAATATTTTAATTTGTTAAATATTTTACCCTATTAAATATTTCATTTATCTTTATTAAATATCAAGAAGAATAGAAAAAGATTTATATTGAAATTCTAAAAGTTCAGATTCAAATTTTTTTTTTTGGCGAGTCATTTCGATTTCGTTACGCAATTTTTTGTCTCATACACGAAAGTTCCAAATAATGTGTTGCCAACAATATTTCCTCTAGCAATATTCAACCTTTTGGTTTTAAAAATCACTTTTTTGCCTCATACGTAAAATATAATTACGTTCCCTGCTCCTTCGAAATGGATCCACGAAATACTGAATTTGAGAAAAATTGAGAAAAATTCTCGAAACAGAAAAGATTCTTAATTTTGTTTTATGAAAAAATAAATATAAAGGAAAATAAAAACGAAAACATTCGGACTTGGAGATGGATGAATTTGTGTGAAAAAAGTTCACTGTCAGTTGACTGGTTCACTGTGGTTCACTATGTGGTTGACTGTGGAAATGAATAAATCAGAATAATTAATAAAGATGCAATTGGATATGCAATGAAACAAAAGAAGGACGTGGGAGAGTGAGTTTTTCATTTATGAAATAGAATATTTGTCTTTTTGAAATGATAAATGAAGATTGTATTATGAATGAATGAATGAAAGGAAGACTGATGAGTACTTTTTAAATAGAGAGTCACTGGGGCTGACTCAGAGCCTATAAGGACCGATATAAGGCCCTGGGGTGATTCGTCAAGATGACCATGACCATAATACAGGACAGAGGCCCCCAATACCCCCAACACACAACGTACCCGATCAACTTTACTTAGCTTTAACGTCGCTGTATACTAACACCATTAAAATACATTAAATGAACTACAACAGTAATAAAACTTACAGGATACCGAGTGGGTTTATTCTGGTATATCTAGGAAAGGCCATAAGGTTGAAGGATTTCTGATTCTAAAACAAGAACTATTTTTTAC